TATTTTATAAAACCGCCCTCAACCCCACCTTGAACTGAACTGAAGTGGCCAGGGAGAGGTAGACGATGCAAGTCATAACATTTGTTATCCATGATAAATACGAACAAGGTAATCAAAATAAACAAAATGGCGAACAAGGGAAGGTTTTCAGTTCGATTCAGGCTTTAAAAATTCGTTTGTATCCCCTTTCATTACAGTTGGCTTATTTTTTTATGACTGTTATCCTCAGATTATTAAGATCTAACATTATTAACATTATTCTTATTAATTAATTGTTACCTCTTTTTTTTTTAAAAGTGTTTTTAACGCAAGTTTCATAATTTTTGTTAGGCCTGCTCTTCTACGCCATGATACTAAGATTCTAGAATCTAGATCTAGAGATCTAGATTTTAGATCTATAGTATGCTACGGCTTTTTAATATGTTTAATAAATTATTAAATATAAAAATACTAGTCTAGACTAGAGAGTCTACTAGATCTAGATCTAGTAAGTCTAGATCTATTCTAATATTATTATTAATAATTTTATAATAATAGATCTAGATTTCTAGGCCCTACTACTAGACTTAGATCTAGATGAATTCCAAATAAAACATATTATAAACTTAATTCCGCATTAACTTAATACTTAATACTGTTAATTACTAATTACGAATTAATAATTCATAATTATTAATTAACAGTATTAAGTTAATTAGCCGAGGTCGCCCTAAGTAATGATATGATGTAATAATAATACTAACTATTAAACTATTAAACTAACTAGAGTCACTAGGCTTAACTAGTGACTAGATTCTAGTTCTAGAATCTAGATCTAGATTTGACTGATTTAGATCTATTCTAGATCTTTAGATTTTAATTTTATACATATAGAGAATAAAGTGCATAAAGTATCAAAGGTAGATATAGATTCTAGTTCTAGAATCTAGTTAGTTAGCTAAGGAACTTAAATATTAAATAATACTAAATACTACTTAATACTATATTATAAGGGAGGCCATAGGCCCTAAGCCTAAGTATTAAATTTATTAAGTTGATCTAGATCTAGACTAGATTGACTAGAAGATTATCTGTTAAAAAATATATCTAGATAGATCTATATAGTATATAGAGTATATAGGCTATTCAATAAAATCATTAAGTATTTAGTATAAATATTCTATAGGCCTAATGATTGTACTAATAAATAGTAGAATCTAGATCTGTAATAGAATCTAAGTATAGTAGTGATACTAATTTAATTTACTAATAGAAATAAAGTAGACCGTCTGACTAGTGTGGTGGATTTAGACTAGATCTAGATATAGTTTTAAGTTTTAGTATTGCTATACTAGCGTCTATCTTATACTCTATATTTCAGTTAATTATAATAATAGATAAATTAAATTAGGCCCATATTTTATATTATTACAAAGTGTCGCTGGTATAGATAGTTTTAGACTTGTCGTATAGTAAATAGTAATTAGTAGGGCAGTATATACATGTAGTCTAATTAATGATTAGTCTATTTAGAGCCCACTTGTTTAAACATATTTACTATTTAGTAGTATTAATAAAGTATAGCTACTCTATTCAAAGTATAGTTATTAGGTATAATACACAACCTCATAATCGCAAAATCATAACATTAGTGACTCAGTTAATTAGTAGGCCAATAAGTTCTATATTAATTTAATTTTAATAGTTAATACTTCTTAAATTACTAGATTTGTACAAATGAATACATTTTATTTTAGATAATTTAGGCTATAATACTGCTGAATAGTTCAGTTACATTATTATTATGAATTAGGGCCTATTTAGAGGTAATTATTAAATTACTAATTAGACGTATGATCACTTATGTTGGTCTAATAACTAATAGATTCATATTTAATAGCAGTAGGTCTGTAGGCTTAGAATAGTATTGTAAAAAAATAAAGTATTCTTAATTTTTTACAGTTGTCATATTAATTTTAGTTTTAGTAGGTAGAAGTAGGCCTGTGATAGCGCAAGTAGTTAGTATTAGTATGTAAGTTGAACAAAGTTAACTACTATAACTAAGCTTAATAAGGCTACAATTTTAAACTAAAAATTACATGCAGCCTAAATAAAAGGTTACAGACTAGTGCATTAAATAATATCCAAAATTTAAGTTTAATCTACATTAGTTTAATAATTGTAAAAATTACTGAGATAGAAGAGTAGGCTTACATGTGAAGAGCTGTCTTATTTTAGTTCTACTTAATTAATATATGACTTAGTCTACTCTTAGTCTCCTGTAGTTATCTTTTGAACATAAAAAAATGCAGAATAGTTAATTAAGCCAAAAGGTGTCAATTGTCATAGATGGATTAACTTACTAATCAAATCAATATAATTATACTTATTTATTCTAGTAGGTGTATGAATTGATGATAGTTTTAGTAGCCTAGTTTGAATATAAATTTTCAACTAATTCTTGAGGTGGCTAAACATAAGTAGTAGATCTTTATTGATACATTTTTAATTTTTTTTTTTTATGATATATACATGACTTTTGACACTTTTGAAGGCCTATTGTATTTAATGACAAACTCCTTACAATAAAATATCAAAAGAAATTCTTAGATCTATATATTTAATGAATGGTAATAATTAGATAGCCCATACAATCCCATGCATAAATAGTTCCATCATTGCTTTATGATTTGTATAAGACAGACAAATATTTTTATTTATACCATAAAATGTTAAAAGTATATAAATGTAATGAGTTTAATATAACAGTTTGTGAAATTTATTTATGTTTTTTTTTAGATAATACATACAGAGAAGATAAGTCAGATGAAGTTCCTTTTAAAAACTGGTCATATCACTGAATCCTCCAGTTCTGAAGACTTAATATACAGTATTCTTCAACAGTGGTCAGGCTTGACTGAAAATGGCCTACACATACCTATTAGATCCAACTAGTCCAAGGATACATGTTGGACCCAAGAAAACTTGTTCATATTGAACAACTTTTTTTTTAATATATTAGTTCTGAATGTAATTAAAAAAGAAATTTATAAAGTTTGTTATGTTTATTTTTTTCAGCACTGGTTGTGTGTGCTGGTGTATGCGGAAACTAATTATTGTTACCTTAATTTAATAATTGACTTAAACTGGCGAACTATAAATAGTTTTTAAGAATATGGTGCTGAAGTAGATTTCACCTAGTTTTGTTGCCTCTCCATATAAATAAATTGTATGGTCAGGAAAATGTCAAACAGCTTTTACTGTCCTTAATCAGTCAGGTACCAGTTAAAGCTGCTTTGAATTTGAATCAGAGACAACCTAAAGGATTAAGATTTAAACTCAAGAACTTGTGCTTTAGCAAATGTGTTCACAAATATGTAGTCCCACTATAAGTCTTTCATTTGAATATTATTTACATATAAGTTTATCTCAATATATAATCTATCATTTGTTAATATTATTCCTAGTCCAAACAACATGCTGATATGAAACCCATTGTATTACAAGAAGATAATAAGGAATGAATATTTCCCATAAGACAGCTTGCTTATAGTTATAATAATAATAAAAGGGCAATGTCTGCAAACAATTATACATTAATTTTTTATTTAGAATTTTCAACTTTTTATTATATCTCGTTCAAAATGAACAATTATTAAAATATCTTATGTTATGGTTTAAGCTTCAACTTTAGCATTTTGTAACTATTACTTAAATTTTCTACAATGTTAAAAATAAAACTACTATATCTATCATAGCTGTAAAACATGATAAGGGAAGAATCAAGAATATGGGTTTTTGTCAATTCTCGCCATACTAGCATATAAATGTAGACCAAGCTTAGAGAAATATGGCTGATAACTAACCATAAACCACAAATACAGCAAACTATAATCACTGCCTGTTTCCTGGTAATGTGTTGTTATTGGCTGTGCAAGTTTATAAACATATTTGTAATTGTTTATATATTACAAAAGAAAAAGACTGTAGCTGATCAGATGCATTCCAGATATTTGAGGAAAAGATGTTTTCTATATGGATAGGCAGCTATAGCAAATTAGGTATGGGGAAATGTTGAGTTAAGATAAACTATTTAATAATTGTAATGACTTTGAGGTGGTGGTGGAGATTCGGACCTTTGTGTCAAAGGGGAGGGGGTTCAGAAAGTAAGATGACACATTTCCATGTTCAACAAACACTCATGTTAAGAAACTGAATTTAAATTTAAGCCTTTATTTGCATTATTAAAATTTGTTTTATAAATTATTATAAATAATTCATCAATAGGCCTACATTGAATGCTGGAAAAGCCCATAGGTCTAAATATTTTATGAAAATCGCTGCTTTAAAAACAAACTGGGGCGGGGGGGAATGTTGGCTTAGGTTTACTTCTTTGGGGAAGGAGGAGGTCTGGCATCGTTGTGACATCGTTAATAGATGACCCGATAGTCAGAGGTCGATCTAGATTGATAAGGCCTATATAAAAATGTTGATGTTAATTACGCTTTACTTATTATTACAATGGAATATAGCCTAGTAGTTTATTTATATTAAAAAATATAACATCCCCTTGCACCACAACACCCTGACTACACTAATCCAAATTAAAATTAAAATGTTTGGTAAATTACTATTATATTATTAGTAATTTTGTGTTTAAAATTCTAGCCTTAGTAAACACCGGAAGTGATTTTTACTTATTTCACAAATGTTATAAAATATTCAATTTTGGTTCAAAAATATGCTTTCTGGCAATACAAAGTGGAACCACTTTTGGAACCACTTTTCCAGTCTATTGTGTTAGCGTAGTGAATACGTTTTATCAGTTTTTAAATATATTTTTAACTTCAACTTTTGTTTATACGATTTCAACGTTTGAGCATCCAGACTTTCAATATCGTCTTAAAAAAAAACACCGTCAAAAGTTTATTGATTTGACATAAAATTCTAACGGCTTAGGACTTAGGACAAATAGGACTAAAAAAATCGTTTCAGGGGTAATGGCCATGCATGATGTCTACGGAAGAGCAGACAGCCAACAGCGTGACGTAGCAAGCTTTCTCCGCGGTACAGCACACCGCAGCAGCCCTCAGACCAAGACTGGTGACGTCAGACGGATGGACCAATCCGAATCGCGTGTTATTTCACACTGATGTGTTTCCGTATTGTTTACCTAATGGACCAGTTTGAGTAAAAATTCTAGCTTTAAGATCTCTGAAAACTTAACACTTTTCATTTGCTTTTCATTGATGGAATAGTGCGCTCCATGATCCTGGTAAGTTTTTTTTCAATTGATTTTAGAGGCCTAATTAAACAGCTTATTAATGTATCTGGCTAATTAACATTCCATGGTGTGTTGCCTAATTCCACTGCGTCTTTTAGTTTTCTCAAGGAGCTTTTGATATTTACATAAGTTGAATGTGCTGATGAACAAAATATTGATGAAATACTACAATTGCGTGATCAAAGTTTGCCCAAAGATGGTTGAAATCGATGACAGCAACGGTCTATCGCACCATGTTAGGATGTGTGGCCCCGCCCTTCAAAATGTCTGAACCCAGCACGTCCTGGCTTTGTTTCAACTAAATCCACCCAATGCTGATGACATATTCACGTCTTTAGAACACTGGTCCATTTCTGTTGAGCCAAGTTGTTTTTAAATCGCATCGTCATCTGTCTCTCTCCATTTGTCATTAGTCCTAGAGAAAGGCGAACTGGTTCAATGCATAACTAATGACGTGAGTGGGGGATAGCTTCGTTATGGACGATGGCTGCTTGACCCCTGCTTGACCCCTGCTTGACCCCATCTTGTCCTCATCTTACCCAAATCGCTAAAGCCTAACCTTTTCTTATTTAAACCGCGATGATACAGATGCTCCTGGCACCTATACTCCGTGCGATTTATGTAGTCGAGTGACGTGTAAACACAACACACTCACTACACACAACACGTGATGGCTGAAAATGTTCAGTCTGTTTGAGAAGTCTGTCAATGTATTCATCTTTTTGTGCTAGCAAATAGAGTCTACATTGTCGTCTTAGAGATATCTGTACATTGTTGTCTTAGAGATCGTCGTGTTCGAGGTAGATTGATCTCTGCGTTAAATATTTTCAGTCTTTGCTGGATAGATGTGGACAGTTAGCATGTTAATCCTGTAATCCATTGGGTATATGTTAATCCCGTAGTCCAATGGGCATATGTTAATCCTGTAATCCACTGGGCATATGTTAATCCTCTAGTCCACTGGGCATATGTTAATCCTTTAGTCCACTGGGCATATGTTAATCCTGTAGTCCAATGGGCGTATGTTAATCCTGCAGTCCACTGGGCATATGTTAATCCTGCAGTCCACAGGGCATATGTTAATCCTGTAGTCCAATGGGCATATGTTAATCCTCTATTCCACTGGGCATATGCTAATCTTGTAGTCCACTGGGCATATGCTAATCCCGTAGTTCACTGGGCATATGTTAATCCTATAGTCCAATGGGCATATGTTAATCCTATAGTCCAATGGGCACATATTAATCCTGCAGTCCACAGGGCATATGTTAATCCTGTAGTCCAATGGGCATGTGTTAATCCTCTATTTCACTGGGCATATGTTAATCCTCTAGTCAACTGGGCATATGTTAATCCTGTAGTCCACAGGGCATATGTTAATCCTGAAGTCCACTGGGCATATGTTAATTCTCTAGTCAACTGGGCACATGTTAATCCTGTAGCCAATATTACCCATTAATCTGCTGTAACATATAAGGTCAGTTAGGCCGATCGCCATTCGCAGCCTCGGATGTTTGGACAACAAAAGTGTCAATATGGTCGTCAAGGCCAGTCAACTAGAGGGACAGGGGGGGGGAGGGCTTGTACAGTTAACTGGAGGGACAGGGGGGAGGCTGGTCCAGTTAACCTCAATGTTGGTCGGGGTCTAGTCGGGGTCAGGGATGATGTAATGCAGGGGTCAATGTGTGAGTTGTACAGGGGTCAAGGTGTGAGGATTGCAGGGGGTCAGAGTGTGAGGATTGCAGGGGGTCAGGGTGTTAGGATTGCATGGTTCTATGTGTGAGTAGTACAGATGCATATTCTCAATCTAAATAGATCATAACAATACTAGACAAAATGAAAGGTCGTTAGACATTGTAGACAGTTGTTGAATTAATTAAATATCAGAATGGCACATAATTTTTGACATGTTTACGCTAAGCTCTAGATGCTCTTGATAAATATCGTTGGGTCACTGAATAAAACAGCTTGTTAATGAATTACTAATTACATTTGCTGATGGATGCACCTGTTAATAAACTAAACACACACAGTTCAGAGGTCAGATGGCGTAGGTTACAACAACATTGACCTGACAAACTGATGAAAACGTTAGCCAACCATCCCACACAAAGAGAGTTGAGCAACCCTTACAAATACAGAGGGTTGGCCAGCCTCCCACATGAAGAGGGTTGGCCAGCCTCCCACATGAAGAGGGTTGGCCAGCCTCCCACATGAAGAGGGTTGGCCAGCCTCCCACACAAAGAGAGTTAAGCAACCCTTACAAATAAAGAGGGTTGGCCAGCCTCCCACATGAAGAGGGTTGGCCAGCCTCACACATGATGAGGGTTGATCAGCCTCCCACATGTCAAATTACTTTTTAAAAAATGCAATGGGAGGGGGTTGTAGGCTGAGGTGTGTGGGGTGTGACATCATTTTAAATTTAAAGGGTTAATGGGGCGGGCGTCTGAAGTTTTTGTGACAATTGGTGTGTGTGTGTGTGTGGGGGGGGGGGCAGAGCCGGCGTTAGGGGTACGCGGGGCCTGTGGCCAACTATCCGCGCGGGGCCTTATATTTTTCCATTGGTGTCTAAAACATGTACAGTGAGCAAGGGCGGAACTACAGTGCCGCCAGACCCCGCAGTGCGGGGGGGGGGGGCCCGGGGCAGTTTAGGGGCCCACATCCGACCGACCTTAATTTATATATATATGGATATATGGTAGAGGTGTAGCAAGGGGGGGTGCAAATCGAAAGTTTGAGGGGGGGGGGTGCAAATCGAAAGTTTGAGGGGGGGTGCAAATCGAAAGTCTGAGGGGGGGGGGGGTGCAAATCGAAAGTTTGTCCCCGGTCGACGGGACGGGTCGCTACGCCTCTGCCATATGGGGCCCAAAAGAATTTTTTGCGGGGTGGCCCTATTTTTCTAGTTCCGCCACTGACAGTGAGGCGTTTCTTTCTTCTCAACGCGAATTAATATTTATAACGATATATATGGTATTTTAAGCTGCTTATCAATGTCGTATTAACATAAAGACACTGATTAACAAATAATTGGTTTACTCAGAAGTGCTTTTGAAACGTTGCTTATTTCTGTTAAGGCTTTTTGTTTGAAAAGTAAAAAATAAAACAGATAGAAGTTCGAGACACACATTAAAGAGACGATGAACGTCAGCTTCGAACCTGATTTTTTTACATTAATGTTTATTTATGAAAATCTTATCAGTACGTTCACAAACGAAGAACTACTTTTCTTGCCTATCGTGAGGAAAATTCCATGATTATAATATCTTAGTCCAAACTGGAGGCTGTCTTTTTCTATTGACAGAATCGACAGGGCGCAGAGCCTGTCTTGGGACTTAAATGACTCGAAGATTCATTATTACCGTCACCACCAAAAATGGTAGTACTCTCATTGCAGTCCTTTTTGTTACGCTCCACATTTGCGACATTGGAATCCACAACCAAATCAAAAAGTATTGTTGTTTAACGACTTTCTTTGGATAGTGTATGTACTTGTCCAACGCGCCTGCTAGTGTTTTATCAAATTCTTCTCTTAAATTGCGTGTCCTCGCTTTTGATGCACCTGATTTATACTTGCGAAACCTATCTCTGTCTCTTGTAGCCATGGTGTTGAGGAAAAATGGTGAAATCACTTTGAAGCAACGTTAAATCGGTCCACAGTGGCGGGTGATAGTATCGATATTTTCTCAATTTATCGAGTGTCAACAGTGGCATTCAAAGTGTGTGGATGCCGGGGAAAATAGCAAAACATTGATAGATTTCGGAATAAGCTCGAATCATGAAAAACACTGTTTACGGCTATAGATATCCAAATGAAATGACTCTCAAATGTAATCACGGACGCTCAGTAGGGTGGAACACTGGGGTGGGTGACAGTTGGTGGGGTGATGTAAAGGATAACTGTACATTTAAATCTATGGTATGCCAAACCCTAAAAAAAATCAGTTCGGGTACTACGTTACTGGATCTCTGACCGCAGCCATTCAAGAGAAGGTGCGTGTTTATAGAGCGTCTACGTATTACATTACAGGTTAAGACTGCGTTATCACAAGAGAAGATTCGTGCCTATAATTAGAAAGTGAACCATGTGACAGCCAGCTTCACCTTATTTATGAGTTTCGCGACGGCGTGCTCGGACTGCCGGTAATTTAGACGTTTGAGAAATCATAAAACAGACTCGGTCCGATGTATCATACCCGCCTGCTCACTAAAAAAAAAAAACCTCTTCAACGGTCCGCATACAATAGGGTATCTCTTACGCGTTTTCCCGATTTTACCTCCCATGTCAGGTCGGGGGCTAATTCGCGACCGCCATCTCCAGTCACCTCAGGACAATAGCGAGTCGACCGTGCCAGCGATGTGTGACACTAATTTCCTTTTTAGAATAACGGTCTGTCCCAGTCCATGTAGAGGATAACTCACTAACATCAGCCGTGGCCTCAGTTTTAACATACAACAATTTCGGCCATTTAGTTTTTTTTTTTAAATTTAATTCAGCAATGATTACAAACTAATTCAGACAACAATGGCGGTGCTAAAGCGCGGGGCCTGGGGCGACCGCCCCGTTTGCCACCCCCTGGGGGGGGGGGGGAGTGGCCAAATTGCTTTAAAAAGCGTAATGTCATGGAGGAGAGATAACGATAGAAATATCCTTAAAAAAGATTGGCTCTCTTCTTAGGTTTTTTTAAATTATCTATTCTTAAAAGAAATTTGAAAATAAATAAAAAACTTTTCATTCAGCTGCTGATGAATGTGAAGAAAAATAAACCCAGCAATAGTAAAATTTCAATAAACAGTTGTAGTCCTGCTATTTATAGCACATACAAAACTACATTACTTTCTACTATACAGAGTATAGAGAAAGTATTGTAAAAAACCAAACGAGATTTCAAATGTTTTTGCCGTTTTACATGTCCCGTGAACTCGATTATTTGAGTAATGTTTCAGTTTACTAGGCGCTTTCAAATATCAGTATAAGATTTTACACGGCGTTTAGATCTTATATTGAGATTATTTAAATTACTAATTGATTCGACGGTAATACTGCACCAATCAGCCGACACTACAGCAGTTGAGTGACCCATAGCGCCCCAAACTCCACCGTGAACACTATGGCGCCTATGTTCGTTTAAAAAAGGCTATACACTAAAGACAGGGGTAGGCTGCGATGATCGTTAACTAAATCGAATCAAGCGCAGAGTTTCTTCCAGGCATCTCTTCGGGGGGGGGGGGGGGGGGCAAACCCGAAGAGAAATATTTTTACCGACCCCCCCCCCCCCCCCCCGAACGAAATGAAATTTATATAATTTATATAGAAAACATATACTTTTAACAGTGTCCGCCCCCCCCCCCCCCCCCCCCCGAAGATAGTCTACCGCCCCCCCCCCCCCCCGAAGAAAGTCTGGAAGAAACACTGATCAAGCGTGTCTTCCCGCGTCCCGGCATGGTGCGATTTGACGCCCCGGGCTAATCGTGAGCACTATGGCGCCTACGTTGGTTTTAAAGAGCACCCTGCAATAGTGACAAGGTGGCCCTCTACATTGACTATACCAAACCAGGGGTCGCATCCGGCGCCCCTGATACATGGGCGGTCGTCGAGGTGTGTTTTATATCACAATCACAGAGGGTGATTCATGTACACTTAAGGTGTTCATGCAGCACGCCCATTGGCGTCTGGGCGGGAATGTGAACAAACTTGCGCCCCAATAACTAAGATCCAATTTAGCGCCGGCGCTTGAATAATTCAGTTTTAGAAAACAAGGTCACGTTTCTAAAATTACACGAGTGATAACGCATTGATAACATCCTCTTACAATATAGCGTCAGCCTTTCTTTTGAGACTGCAGCAACGCGCGGTATGGGCACGCGTGTACAAGAATAAAGCAGAAAGTTTTCGGGAGATCACTCCCTCTTTATTTTTTTTTATTCGCGCCGCATGTGAACACGTTTTTCTTAAAAAATATACATCTGTCTGTGTTTAGTGCTTCAACACAATTCTAATGATCGCCCTAAGGCCTCTACAGTAAAAAGCTTGTGACGGACCAACCAATCAGTCATTGACTACACACAACGCATCCTTCCGGTTCATCTTTACATTCAACACCGTGAAGTGGCTCTATTTTTAGCTGCGGTGTTTTCGTTATTTGTGTGTGTGTGAGGAGGGGGGGGGGGGGGGGTGGAGAGGACAGTAAACGTTATTTGAAAGAAAAATGTAGAAGCATGTTTAACAATGGAGAGTTGAATGGATGCTGACTATATTGTCAGACCCAATGTTTGTACACCCACCGTCGTTATACGAACAGTCAGTCGACCAGTCGTCATGATGCCGTAATAGATGTAAGATCAAACGGCAGGAAAATTTTGTAAAACTTCTAGACCTCATCTCACATGGTGTCAGTGTCATCTCCCCTGGTGTCAGTGTCTCATCTGGTGTCAGTGTCATCTTCCTGGTGTCATTGTCATCTCACCTGGTGTGTTATCTCACCTAGTGTCAGTGTCATCTCACCTGGTGTCAGTGTCATCTCACCTGATGTCAGTGTCATCTCACCGGGTGTCAGTGTCTCACCTGGTGTCAGTGTTAAATGTTTCATTTAATGACAAAGTAATCTCCATTAACTGGTAAATACTTCATTCTCTCTATAACTGTTTTCATCAAACATGTGATTTTAGAATGATAGAAGTATACAAGTGTATCCAATAATAAAATGTATATAATATATGATAAAATTTAAATATCTAGATATAGAATCTACATACATTTTAAGCAATATTTTAAGTACATAGATTTAGCTATGTGTGATAAATGAAGCTAAGTTAGTCGTACCTTTCCTTCAAATGTTGTGAGAATCTCAAAGTCACCGTTAAAGTCATCCTCTGTGAAGACCAGCTCAGCCTTGGTCTTGTAGCCTGGTGGAACAGAGATCTCGCTGTCCACTGCCCAGGTCAGTTCCTGCTCGTTAGTGGCTCTGTAGCCTGGGTCAGTACACATGACATTTAAAGTTAGTGGCACTGTCAGTACACATGACATTTAAAGTTAGTGGCACTGTCAGTACACATGACATTTAAAGTTAGTGGCACTGTCAGTACACATGACATTTAAAGTTAGTGGCACTTTAGCCTGGGTCAGTATGCATAACATTTCATAAGTTAACAATCACATTTCTCGTGTGCTAATAAATTATGTTAACACTTCACAATTAGATTTTCATACATTTCTAAATGTAAGAATTTCATCAAGTTGAATACTTGCATGAGTGGGGATATATATCATTCAGTTATACTACTTGAAATTTTTTCAATCAAGATCATATGTTGTGTATTAGTAAAAATCATTTGTCTTGTGGTAGTAAAGATTAGCTATATCCCCACTTTTGTGATCATTTATTATCCTGTGTTGTGATCTACACTTGTGTGATGATGCACCCAATTCGGAGTTTACTGAAACTGTTGTTATATGTGTAATTTAACACTTGAGAATCTGTCAGGATTCCCACCAGAAGGGTCCATTCCCTAACACACATATATATCATGTATATACACTAAAACCTCATCCTCACACTACCTTTATGCATATGATACCCAATGTGTGATGAATTACCCTCAGGTATGGTGACTTAACCTCATACATGGTGACCTACCCTTGTGGGTCGTGACCTACTCTGTGTTGACCTACCCTTGTGTATCATGACCTTCTCTACAGTGACCTACCTTTCTGTTTGGTGATCTCTGACATGAAGCCCGCATTCGCCTCTATGATGGGGTTGGGTGGGGTCAGCTTCATCTGGATGTTGACGCCATAGGTGAAGGTCTTCATGAAGCAGATCTCACTACTGGACCGCGTCTTTCTCTCAGTCCGCAGTGTGTACGTCTGGTTGTTGGGTGTGTTGTTGGCAAAGTTGGCACAGAACAAAACATGGGCGGTCGGCTATGGTGGGACCTCAGGTCTCATGTACTTGGTCTCACCTGTTACATGCATACATAATGTACACTAGTTATTTAACATGGGCAATGGTGAGAGTTTTGGTGTAAGGCTTATGTGGTCTCCTCTGTTACATGCATACATATTGTACACTAGTTATTTAACATGGGAGGGTGAGACTTGGTGTAAGTCTTATGTGGTCTCCTCTGTTACATGCATACATATTGTACACACGTTATTTAACATGGGATGGTGAGACTTGGTGTAAGTCTCATATGGTCTCACCTGTTACATGCATACATATTGTACATGTTATATAACATGGGATGGTGAGACTTGGTGTAAGGCTTATGTGGTCTCACCAGTTTCACACAACAGTTATTTAAAAATTATACTAAATTGACTGGCTTTTTATTTAAAACAAATTATAATTTAGAGCTGTTGTACCTAGACGGTATTCCTGTCAACGTCCTACAACTCTGCTATGAGCAATGAAACTTGGCACCCCAGACTCACCATAGATGACGTGCATCTTATTCCAGTCTATGACTGGGTTCTTTAAGTCCGCATGTTTCTTTTGATCGTTGTCTAAAAAATCCTCGGCATAACCTTTGACTAACTCCTCCAAGTCTATGAACTCTATGGGCATCTTGGCAAGGGAGATAATTCCGTTTTTTCAGTTCCTTGCCGTTGTCTTTGTCCAAATTTGTATTTAAAAACTGGATTCAAATCTGGAGATAAAAAATCAATATGCACTTGAAGGCTCCATTGATAATGTAATGTTGGAAGACATTAAGGAAATTATTTAATCATAGAAAAATTAATGGGCTGCCTTCCGATATTCGATCATATCTAAAAAAAAATATAGGCCATTAAGTAATATTGATATATTCCGTGTGTAAGAATTACAAACCCTCTGATAGCCTTACATCACCTTTGTTTTACTTCTTGACCTGCCGGCTACACCAAGATCTGCCAAAGTTATCTGTGTTGGCCGGCACTTACATCATGATCAGTCCAAGAATAACTCTCTGATATAGGTTGCAGCTTATTCGGGTTTACATTTCGTCTCACTTGTCTTGTTTAGTTTTTTTGTGTCTATCCGTCATATTCCGGGAGCTTGGGGGGGGGGGGGGGGGGGAGGGAGGGGGCTTGTTGGACTTGTGAGAGGGGTGAGCAATGTTGAAACGTCACACTGTTGCGATTAAAAAAAAGCATTGAAACACTTCCTTTTAGAAGCCTTTTTTAATTAAAAAAACACTGCTTGTTTAAATTATTATTGTAACTATTACAATTTTAAAAAATTAAGTAGGCCTAATGGAATTTACCACACAAGGGAAACTACTTGTTTAATAGTTTAGGCGAAATTGGTTATATCCCCTGATGGAAAATTAGTGTAGAGTGGGTGGTCACGATACATATGACGTCATGATGGGGGGGGGGGGGGGGCGTCGACCAGAATTTCTTGCAGGCATCTCTTGGGGGGGGGGGGGGGGGCGGACGACGACGACCGGTTTAAAAAAAGGGTGATATCCTTTATTTATAGAGGTTCTAATAATAGTCTCAACCGTTAGGTATCAGAGCTGTTAGAGATTACATTCGACAACATGGGACGTTTGCCTGTATCAAACCCGTTGAGGTTATAGCTGTCACTGGATTTTGTACCCCAACCCGCCCCCCCCCCCCCCCCAATCAACCGGACACATGTTACCATCGTTGTTAGCACAAGTCCTGGGTAAATAGTCAAAGTGTGTTGCAGTGCCATACCCATGTTCTGTCTTCTGTGTTAGAAACTCATCTCCCCCCATTAATTTTTCTATGATTAAATAATTTCCTTAATGTCTTCCAACATTACATTATCAATGGAGCCTTCAAGTGCATATTGATTTTTTATCTCCAGATTTGAATCCAGTTTTTAAATACAAATTTGGACAAAGACAACGGCAAGGAACTGAAAAAACGGAATTATCTCCCTTGCCAAGATGCCCATAGAGTTCATAGACTTGGAGGAGTTAGTCAAAGGTTATGCCGAGGATTTTTTAGACAACGATCAAAAGAAACATGCGGACTTAAAGAACCCAGTCATAGACTGGAATAAGATGCACGTCATCTATGGTGAGTCTGGGGTGCCAAGTTTCATTGCTCATAGCAGAGTTGTAGGACGTTGACAGGAATACCGTCTAGGTACAACAGCTCTAAATTATAATTTGTTTTAAATAAAAAGCCAGTCAATTTAGTATAATTTTTAAATAACTGTTGTGTGAAACTGGTGAGACCACATAAGCCTTACACCAAGTCTCACCATCCCATGTTATATAACATGTACAATATGTATGCATGTAACAGGTGAGACCATATGAGACTTACACCAAGTCTCACCATCCCATGTTAAATAACGTGTGTACAATATGTATGCATGTAACAGAGGAGACCACATAAGACTTACACCAAGTCTCACCCTCCCATGTTAAATAACTAGTGTACAATATGTATGCATGTAACAGAGGAGACCACATAAGCCTTACACCAAAACTCTCACCATTGCCCATGTTAAATAACTAGTGTACATTATGTATGCATGTAACAGGTGAGACCAAGTACACGAGACCTGAGGTCCCACCACAGCCGACCGCCCATGTTTTGTTCTGTGCCAACTTTGCCAACAACACACCCAACAACCAGACGTACACACTGCGGACTGAGAGAAAGACGCGGTCCAGTAGTGAGATCTGCTTCATGAAGACCTTCACCTATGGCGTCAACATCCAGATGAAGCTGACCCCACCCAACCCCATCATAGAGGCAAATGCGGGCTTCATGTCAGAGATCACCAAACAGAAAGGTAGGTCACTGTAGAGAAGGTCATGATACACAAGGGTAGGTCAACACAGAGTAGGTCACGACCCACAAGGGTAGGTCACCATGTATGAGGTTAAGTCACCATACCTGAGGGTAATTCATCACACATTGGGTATCATATGCATAAAGGTAGTGTGAGGATGAGGTTTTAGTGTATATACATGATATATATATGTGTTAGGGAATGGACCCTTCTGGTGGGAATCCTGACAGATTCTCAAGTGTTAAATTACACATATAACAACAGTTTCAGTAAACTCCGAATTGGGTGCAGCATCACACAAGTGTAGATCACAACACAGGATAATAAATGATCACAAAAGTGGGGATATAGCTAATCTTTACTACCACAAGACAAATGATTTTTACTAATACACAACATATGATCTTGATTGAAAAAATTTCAAGTAGTATAACTGAATGATATATATCCCCACTCATGCAAGTATTCAACTTGATGAAATTCTTACATTTAGAAATGTATGAAAATCTAATTGTGAAGTGTTAACATAATTTATTAGCACACGAGAAATGTGATTGTTAACTTATGAAATGTTATGCATACTGACCCAGGCTAAAGTGCCACTAACTTTAAATGTCATGTGTACTGACAGTGCCACTAACTTTAAATGTCATGTGTACTGACAGTGCCACTAACTTTAAATGTCATGTGTACTGACAGTGCCACTAACTTTAAATGTCATGTGTACTGACAGTGCCACTAACTTTAAATGTCATGTGTACTGACCCAGGCTACAGAGCCACTAACGAGCAGGAACTGACCTGGGCAGTGGACAGCGAGATCTCTGTTCCACCAGGCTACAAGACCAAGGCTGAGCTGGTCTTCACAGAGGATGACTTTAACGGTGACTTTGAGATTCTCACAACATTTGAAGGAAAGGTACGACTAACTTAGCTTCATTTATCACACATAGCTAAATCTATGTACTTAAAATATTGCTTAAAATGTATGTAGATTCTATATCTAGATATTTAAATTTTATCATATATTATATACATTTTATTATTGGATACACTTGTATACTTCTATCATTCTAAAATCACATGTTTGATGAAAACAGTTATAGAGAGAATGAAGTATTTACCAGTTAATGGAGATTACTTTGTCATTAAATGAAACATTTGTCAGTTAAAACTGTAAAAATGTCTGTTTGTTCCAGATTTTAGTGACTTATGAGAGCAAGAAGAGCAGGGACCATATATCAACTGTCACGGTGCACGTGGCCAAAGTTTTCAACACCAAATCAGGCTTCACGTTAGACGATACAGGACGACCAACTTTCTTAGTGAGGGGCGTGTGCAAGTGTCGGTTTGGTGTAGAGCAGAATGTCAACTTGACAGAGACACCACTCAACCAGTGATAACAAAACTGTTAGATCCTATCTAATTTTAAATAATCTTCAGCTTCTAGCTAACTTACACAAAAGAAGAAACTATATGACCTGTACAAGTTTTAAAGAACGCTGTTTTGGCTGCAATTTGTCCAGTGGTTTATTTTCGTCTGTCTGTAGGCCCACACAGGTGCAGACAGCTTTACACAGTAATGTCTTCCGTGTCAAAAAGGATGGGTCAGTTATATTAATTAATTTTAATTAGTTTACAGGTACCAATCGTTAGCACACCTATATTTAAAAAAATGTAAACCATTTTTTAGCACGCACAGATAATACAATTTTTTCGCACAATTTTAGAAATTTTAATAACATAAATTTTAAATGGTCATTTAGTTAAAAAAAAAGTACAAATTAAACAAAAATATTCAACACAGTTACATACATATGTATTGAGTTTTACTTGTAATTCTACATGCAATAGTTCATTCAACATTTGATTGTAAATTTTGCTTATACAAATTTTTAATGTAAAAAAAAACATAAGTTGTGAATTATAAACATTTATTTTTATAATTTTATTCAGTCTGTTTTATTACTGTATATTTTTTAGTAATTAAAATATTTACATTTGTCAATAATGAAAGAATAAAACTATATTCCCATAAAAGATGTTAAAGTCAGTAGGTATATGTGGAGAGTGGGATAAGACTGTCACAATAGAATTTATTTTACCACTTACCTCTGGTAATGTATTTTTAATTTGAAAACAAATGTGATAAAACATCATCACATCTTAGAAAAATTAAGTCAGTGTCAATTAGAAATAAATGTATGTTTAATAATGTGGCACTTTTGTAACATTAAGTTTATAAAGTTATGCAACTAGACTTTACTTTGGTACTACAATAGCCAAAAGGCTAATTTATTCCAAAATAAAAGGACAGCATATATTAGCAAAAAAACAAAAACTGAAACTAATTTGTTTTTTTTGTAAGCATTGTTAGCATATAAGCTAATAAAGAAATAAATATCATATAGTAATTACATTATCTCTTAACTAAAATACAGAGAAAATTTTTAAAATTGTTGCAAATCACAGTGGATAAATTTGTGTACTTGTAAATTATTGCCAGTATATTTAATAGAGTAGTTTTTACCTTTTTAAATTTCAGTGTAATCATTCAGAAGATATGAATAATAATACTGAACTTTGCTATAGATAAGATTTCAATAATTAAAATCTGATAAATAATACTCTTTTATCATGTCCATTATTTTGATGTCGATATTGTTTCAACATGGTTCTTTGTTTATCTTGCAAATTATTCTTATAATGACAATTAATCTCAATACCAGTTTCTTTACTTTAATTTGATGCCATAAAATAGGCCTATTTAAAAAAAAAAATTAGATTATCTTAATTTCAAACAAATTACTTGAAATCTGTATTACTGAATAAGGTGGCAATTACGTAGATCCTAAATGCAGCCTCTATTATCTCGTGGTAGTGACCTAGAAGTTTCATGCAGTCTCTAGGCTCCCTTCTCTGATATATTTCTCCCAAGATTGATAATGATCTTTTTTCTTGAGAAACATATAAATCCAACCATCTTCACCCTGTACAATAAAAATATATTTCTGTTAATGTAAAATTTTAAACAGAACTTACAATAAATTATCACCATTTCATTGCACATAGTTTTGGAAACAGTGAAGGCCGTTGTTACAATTTTAGTTTTAATTTATTAAAATAAAATTTTAAAATATAGATGCGGGTATAAAAATAAAGCAAATGTTAAAATCTTGTGTAAAATGTGAAAGAACAGAAGTTACTTTAATATAAGATTCACTAGGGATGATGTCATAAGGAAGAAGTTTGATCACCAGTCTGTAGTGGGCACTTTTCATGTCAGTATCTATTCCACCCTTGACTTCAAACACAATCCCTCTGCAAGTCAAGTCAATTAACTTTTTTTTTAATTGACTAACAAGTAAATTAGAAGGTTGAGCTATAATAACAATGTGAATAGCAAAGGGAGTTTTAATATTTAGGCTATACAATACAAATTTATAACAACCATTGTTCTATTTTTAAATCAATGATGTATTTAATTTAGTGCTAACTTAAGCATACATTTATACTTAGTTGGCATACAATCACATACCATTACTCTTTAGTACTATATATAATTTAGATAACTTGATTTATAAATTAACACTAGCAGTAAAAAAAAATTGATAGGTATAAATTATGTAAAACCTCAGGAGGCTGGATGCATTATAGTATTTTCAACCAGAAAAAATAGATTAATGAAAGACACAAATGAGTTGACAACCTTGTGCTAAATTCAGGTGGCTCTATTGTGGCATTTTTAGCCTCAGGAAGGGGGTGTCGGTTGCCAGGAAATTTCATAATTTTAAATCCAGAGCTTTTTATTTTTAATCCATTCATCTTTATCTTAAGCCGCACAAATCCTTCTTTTGTTCCCTCGTCCACAGCTGTTCAAGCAGAAAAGTTAATGTTTGAGGTTAATATTATATACATTGTAAATGAAGTTATATCTCAATGTTTGCGCTGCAGATCCCAAATTTACAACAGATATTATCATCTATTATCATATATTATCTAGTTAGTAGACTAGTAAGTAGACGAAAAAAATTAAAGTAATAAAAATAGACTGCATTATCTAATAAGTTGTAACATTGTAACATGATGACATAGGCATACATAACAATAACATATAGATCTAGGCCTATATTACATAGATGAAGATCTATTCCATACATACCCTATTGAGTCGCTATTTGACTTCATAGTCATACTAATACTATGTCGATTGTAAATCTATTTCTATAATTTTTCTATGCATATGCCATAATGAGATGACTATTATTAGGCCTATAGCCGCCTATAGGCCTATATAGATTAGGCCTAATAAAAAAAGGCCACTGCCCTATACTACTTACTACTTAAATATTAAATATTATTAATAAAATAATAACTATGATAATAATAAAGACCTAGTCTAGATCTATAGATAGTAATAGATATTAAGAATGTAGATCTAGCCTTTATTTAATACTAAAAGTATTAGCCCTAATAATAAATAATTCAATTATTAAATAATTGGATTAAAAAAAATAAAAAATAAAAACTTAAGCCTAAAATTAATTTACAAATTTTATATTTTTAGAATCAATGCTATAAAAGTTGCAAATCCAGAGAACTTGAAAATAATTTGTTGAGTTTAAGGCTACATTTCTATTTATTTTCATCAAGCCTAAGTTATAACCGGATGTTTCACTTTCGTAAGACAAATATTGATTGGCTGTACAGTAACTTAGTGATCGATAACTATTTGTTTACAAAACTTTGCAGATCAAGTTTTTAAATAACAATGCAAATTAAAAACCCCATGACCTAGTTTTCTATTTTTAGCTTACAATGTGTACAATAAAATCAATGGCGGCCTATCCAATAGCAGGATGCCATTGTTTATGTCGCCATTACACGTGAAAACCAAATTGTTTTTGCTTTTTTTTTAATTTTTATTTAGTTACCGAAAATATTATAAACATCAAATACATCCAATCTTTAGTAAAGTCCGAAAAAAACCAGACAGACAGGATTTTATAACCATATTAATTGTAACTACGCCGTGCCTGATTTTTAAACTAATTTATACACCTCTCAAATACCTTTGAGAGTTTTCTCGCTCGTGTCCATTAAATAATTACAAAGAATTTATTTAGTTTAGAATCTAATATCAGGACTTGGTCTACTTCAGTAAAATACACTAAAACCTGTAAGTAGGAAGTGGACTTTGACAACACACAATACACAAAGCTACGATTTCTTTCGCTAACTCTCGTCTGTTAGCTTTATTTTTTCATGATACAGGGAAGTAACTGTGGAAAAAAAACAACTTCGGCCTGATTGTTTTACTTTTGACCGTTTTTTTAAAAAAGAAACTCTCCCTTGGGGTGGTTCATAAATGACGTCACACTCGTAAAGGGGGGGGGGGGGTCCGTAATTTTGTGATGGTGTGTGATGAGGGGAGGGGAGAGGGTTCAGTTGGTGGGACGTCACATATTTGCATTAACGAAAAGTAATGTTAGAAAACAAATTTTAGCCGTTATTGCGCGTTTTAGAAAACTGTTTTAATAAATTGTAATAGGAATTGATTAAAATACTCTATGTTGAGAGAGTTCAGTCAAGATTTTTTAAAAAAAATCGATGTTTTAAGAAAAATTAACTGCAATTTTGAGCAGAGTTTCTTCCAGGCATCTCTTCGGGGGGGGGGGGGGGGGGGGGGGGGGAATTTTTACCGCCCCCTCGAACGAAATGAAATTTATATAATTTATATAGAAAATATATACTTTTAACAGTGTCCGCCCCCTCCCCCCCCGAAGAAAGTTTACCGCCCCCCCGAAGATTTCAAGTGCCCCCCCGGAGAAAACCCTAACCCTGGAAGAAACACTGATTTTGAGGGGGATTGTAGGCTGAGGTGCAGTGGCGTAGCCAGGATCGTCTCAAGGGGGGGGGTCCAATTTTTACCCGGGGTCAAACTTTCGATTTGCACCCCCCCCGCAAACTTTCGATTTGCACCCCCCCCCTCAAACTTTCGCTTTGCACCCCCCTCAAACTTTCAATTTACACCCCCCTCAAACTTTCGATTTGCACCCCCCCCTCAAACTTTCGATTTGCACCCTCCTCAAACTTTCGATTTGCACCCCCCTCATACTTTTTATATATATACCGAGGGGTCTATGGGGGGGTTATGACCCCCCCTAACCCCCCCTGCCTACGCCACTGCTGAGGTGTGACGCCATTTTAGGGTGGGGGGGGGTCTGGTTTTTCGTGACGATGTGTAACGGAGGGAAGGGGGGGGGGGAGGTAAAAATCGTCAAAAAAGCGTGACGTCATTTATGGATGACCCCTTCACGGTAAGTCTATTTTGTGGATGACCCCTTCACGGTAAGTCTATATTGGTTCCTAAAGCCAGCAAGTCTACCAGTCTCTTCCACGCATCGCCCCCCCCCCCCCCCGAAGAAAGTCTAACCCCCCCCCCCCCTCCCTCCCCCCCCCCCCCTCAGAACGAGATGGAATTTTATAGAAAAATTATACTTTTAACAGTGTCGTCCCCCCCCCCCCAACCCCGCAAAAAATATCGTCCGCCCCCATTGCAAAGTTAATGTATGTAATAATCCTAATTTATAAAAGGCCATGTGCGCTCTTCTCTCTCTCTCTCTCTTTCTCTGTCCGCAAAAAATTTTCGCCGGACATCACGTCAGAATCGGCAGCGATATATCGAGAACTTTTTACGGACTTTTGTTGAAAATAATATGTTAGATGTTTTAAATGTATAACCACAATTTTACTTAAAGAAGAAAAATAAAAATTAAAGGCGTATTCGAATGTAGAGAAACAGTATTATTTATGCAACCGGAAAAGCATTAATAGCTGTGTAAAAGAACGCATAAAACGGTGACGACACTATTGCTTACTAATGACGTCATTTGCCGTGTTTGGAATAAAAAAAGAAATGAACTATTTCATTCAAATTTGATTTAGATCTACGTACACTATGAAATGTAGACAATACAATTTTTCCGGCCTAAACTCATAACATTTATTTATACAAAATTTTTGTTTGGAACTGGCTAATTTGGGATAAAAAAATTAATTTGAAAGAAAAGGCATATTCGCGTAAGTTAAGATTTTAAAATACGTCTTTCATTCTCTGCATTTTATAAGGTGCCTAAATAGCGGAGATGTTAGTGTATTATAAACCACGCAGGTGGTGCGGGTTCGAGACCCACCAAGTCAACTTGGTTAATGTATTTTTTTTTATTTTGCTCGGACTAAACTTAAAAAAAAATTCAATTAGGATTCTAGATCTAGATTGTCGGGTGTCCGATAAGGCACTTCCCGGCGCCGCAGGCGCTTCAAATTTGGCAGGATCTTGCCTTGGGGCAACAGAGCACGGGGGCCGGTTGACCGAAGAGTCTACGATGAGGGGGTCAAAACTGACCTCGACTGACCGGTACCTTATATGAGCTATAAATCGAAAAAAAATGTCCACGTAGGAACCTCTTCATAAGACCGACCCTCGGGCGAATTAATTAAGTATTCAAATTCTCAATGTTTTCGAAAGCCTAAGCGAAGCTGGGCAGCATGCCTAGTTATTATTATAGTAGGGTACTTTGCATTACAATCTCTAAAATGAAAAGAGTAATGAGTAATGGGATTTGCAATTTGTTTTTTTATGCGCACTTCTTCGCCCCATACCTGAACATGCACGTTTCTAGAAACTGAACAACTGACATGTTTCGTGTAAACAGAGAAAATATTTTTGTGCTAGCCGCCAGCGGACATTTAAATACATTTACACCTGTAGTTTGCTGCATACGTTAGGAGGTGAGTGGCTGAGTTAATGAGTGTATGGGTGACTGGATAAGTTAATATGTGAATACATGAATTGATGAGTGGGTGTGTAGATGAGTGGGTGTGTAGATGAGTGAGTGTGTAGATGAGTGGGTGTGTAGATGAGTGAGTGTGTAGATGAGTGGGTGTGTAGATGAGTGAGTGTGTAGATGAGTGAGTGTGTAGATGAGTGAGTGTGTAGATGAGTGAGTGTGTAGATGAGTGAGTGTGTAGATGAGTGAGTGTGTAGATGAGTGGGTGTGTAGATGAGTGAGTGTGTAGATGAGTGGGTGTGTAGATGAGTGAGTGTGTAGATGAGTGGGTGTGTAGATGAGTGAGTGTGTAGATGAGTGAGTGTGTAGATGAGTGAGTGTGTAGATGAGTGGGTGTGTAGATGAGTGAGTGTGTAGATGAGTGGGTGTGTGATTGGGAGAGTGAGGTGTAAAGGAATTCTCTTCTTCCCGTGAACACTAAAAAAAGCCATGTTTATTTTTTTTTTAAACCATGAGACGGCCCAGCCATGTGCACTCCCATAGTTGACATGGAAAAAATAGCCAGAGACCACGCGCGGGCCATGCTGCCAGCAGAAGTGAAGAAATACGCAGACAAGGTCCCCTTCTACGACTGGACAACAATGGACGTCTATTACGGTACAGTTTAGCCATTTTCTACATTAACTGTTGTGTTAGAAGTTTATTATTGTTCAGCTGACCCATAGTTCATACCAGATTTTTTTAATTCATGGGTCGGCCCACCAGCCCCCCCCCCCCATATAAGCCAGATATATGCTATGCCAATGTCAACATGTGCAATGACTTCAGTTCAAGCGCCCAGCTGCGCTAAGCATCTTAAGTAAGTCGTCTGCTGGTGTACCTGTTTGTATAGCGGCCTACATGGTTGTCATTTAATCCCATCTTTTTGTTGGTGTTTTAATTTTTGCTAACCACACTTCTGTAAGCCCCCTAACCAAAAATGGAAGAGGTTTACCACTATTAGTAAATCCTTAACCAAACGGTTACAGATGTGGTTTACCAATGTTGTGTGTATACTTTACTGTTTGTAGCCTGTGTGTTGGGTGTTTGTGTTGTGTGTATACTGCACTGTGTGTAGCCTGTGTTGGGCGTGATGCTAATGTGACACCTGTATGACTGTACCCGTGCCACAGGACCGACCCAGTACAAACGAAAAGACGTAGTGCCCCAGCCTAAGGTTCACGTGCTGTACTGCGCCAACCTGTCCAACAACACGGGCTCCGAGCAGTGCTACTCCCTGACCAACGAGAGGTACACCCTCTCCAGGTGCAAGATCACCTACCAGAGGAACTTCAAGTACGGCGGCAAATGCGGCGTCTCAGCGGAGCTGCCCGGCGTCAAGACTGGCATGAAAGCTGACTTCACAGGGGAGGTGACCAAGTCTAAGGGTGGGTCTTTACAGGGGGAGGTGACCAAGTCTAAGGGTGGGTGTTTACAGGGGAGGTGACCAAGTCTAAGGGTGGGTCTTTACAGGGGAGGTGACCAAGTCTAAGGGTGGGTCTTTACAGGGGAGGTGACCAAGTCTAAGGGTGGGTCTTTACAGGGGAGGTGACCAAGTCTAAGGGTGGGTCTTAACAGGGGAGGTGACCAAGTCTAAGGGTGGGTCTTTACAGGGGAGGTGACCAAGTCTAAGGGTGGGTCTTTAGGGGAGGTGACCAAGTCTAAGGGTGGGTCTTTACAGGGGAGGTGACCAAGTCTAAGGGTGGGTCTTTACAGGGGAGGTGACCAAGTCTAAGGGTGGGTCTTTACAGGGGAGGTGACCAAGTCTAAGGGTGGGTCTTTACAGGGGAGGTGACCAAGTCTAAGGGTGGGTCTTTACAGGGGAGGTGACCAAGTCTAAGGGTGGGTCTACAGGGGAGGTGACCAAGTCTAAGGGTGGGTCTTTACAGGGGAGGTGACCAAGTCTAAGGGTGGGTCTTTACAGGGGAGGTGACCAAGTCTAAGGGTGGGTCTTTACAGGGGAGGAACTAGGCTTGTTCCCATTACTAATTTACCCAGACCTGGCGCATGTTCCAATGGCTAGCTGAACTAGACCTGGCACATGTTCCAATGGCTAGCTGAACTAGACCTGGCACATGTACCAATGGCTAGCTGAACTAGACCTGGCGCATGTTCCAATGGCTAGCTGAACTAGAACTGGCACATGTTCCAATGGCTAGCTGAACTAGACCTGGCACATGTACCAATGGCTAGCTGAACTAGACCTGGCGCATGTTCCAATGGCTAGCTGAACTACACCTGGCGCATGTTCCAATGGCTAGCTGAACTAGACCTGGCACATATTCCAATGGCTAGCTGAACTAGACCTGGCACATGTACCAATGGCTAGCTAGACCTGGCGCATGTTCCAATGGCTAGCTGAACTAGACATGGCACATGTTCCAATGGCTAGCTGAACTAGACCTGGCACATGTTCCAATGGCTAGCTGAACTAGACCTGGCACATGTTCCAATGGCTAGCTGAACAAGACCGGGCACATGTTCCAATGGCTAGCTGAACTAGACCTGGCACATGTTCCAATGGCTAGCTGAACTAGACCTGGCACATGTACCAATGGCTGGCAGAACTAGACCTGGCACATGTTCCAATGGCTAGCTAGACCTGGCGCATGTTCCAATGGCTAGCTGAACTAGACCTGGCACATGTTCCAATGGCTAGCTAGACGTAGAACATGTTCCAATGGCTAGCTGAACAAGACCGGGCACATGTTCCAATGGCTAGCTGAACTAGACCTGGCACATGTTCCAATGGCTAGCTGAACTAGACCTGGCACATGTTCCAATGGCTAGCTGAACTAGACCTGGCACATGTACCAATGGCTAGCTAGACCTGGCGCATGTTCCAATGGCTAGCTGAACTAGACCTGGAACATGTTCCAATGGCTAGCTGAACTAGACCTGGCACATGTTCCAATGGCTAGCTAGACCTGGCACATGTTACAATGGCTAGCTGAACTAGACCTGGCACATGTTCCAATGGCTAGCTGAACTAGACCTGGCACATGTTCCAATGGCTAGCTGAACTAGACCTGGCGCATGTTCCAATGGCTAGCTGAACTAGACCTGGCACATGTTCCAATGGCTATCTGAACTAGACCTGGCACATGTACCAATGGCTAGCTGAACTAGACCTGGAACATGTTCCAATGGCTAGCTGAACTAGACCTGGCACATGTTCCAATGGCTAGCTAGACCTGGCACATGTTCCAATGGCTAGCTGAACTAGACCTGGCACATGTACCAATGGCTAGCTGAACTAGACCTGGCGCATGTTCCAATGGCTAGCTGAACTAGAACTGGCACATGTTCCAATGGCTAGCTGAACTAGACCTGGCACATGTACCAATGGCTAGCTGAACTAGACCTGGCGCATGTTCGAATGGCTAGCTGAACTACACCTGGCGCATGTTCCAATGGCTAGCTGAACTAGACCTGGCACATATTCCAATGGCTAGCTGAACTAGACCTGGCACATGTACCAATGGCTAGCTAGACCTGGCGCATGTTCCAATGGCTAGCTGAACTAGACATGGCACATGTTCCAATGGCTAGCTGAACTAGACCTGGCACATGTTCCAATGGCTAGCTGAACTAGACCTGGCACATGTTCCAATGGCTAGCTGAACAAGACCGGGCACATGTTCCAATGGCTAGCTGAACTAGACCTGGCACATGTTCCAATGGCTAACTGAACTAGACCTGGCGCATGTTCCAATGGCTAGCTGAACTAGACCTGGCACATGTACCAATGGCTAGCAGAACTAGACCTGGCACATGTTCCAATGGCTAGCTAGACCTGGCGCATGTTCCAATGGCTAGCTGAACTAGACCTGGCACATGTTCCAATGGCTAGCTAGACGTAGCACATGTTCCAATGGCTAGCTGAACAAGACCGGGCACATGTTCCAATGGCTAGCTGAACTAGACCTGGCACATGTTCCAATGGCTAGCTGAACTAGACCTGGCGCATGTTCCAATGGCTAGCTGAACTAGACCTGGCACATGTTCCAATGGCTAGCTGAACTAGACCTGGCACATGTACCAATGGCTAGCTAGACCTGGCGCATGTTCTAATGGCTAGCTGAACTAGACCTGGAACATGTTCTAATGGCTAGCTGAACTAGACCTGGCACATGTTCCAATGGCTAGCTAGACCTGGCACATGTTACAATGGCTAGCTGAACTAGACCTGGCACATGTTCCAATGGCTAGCTGAACTAGACCTGGCACATGTTCCAATGGCTAGCTGAACTAGACCTGGCGCATGTTCCAATGGCTAGCTGAACTAGACCTGGCACATGGTCCGATGGCTATCTGAACTAGACCTGGCACATGTACCAATGGCTAGCTGAACTAGACCTGGAACATGTTCCAATGGCTAGCTGAACTAGACCTGGCACATGTTCCAATGGCTAGCTAGACCTGGCACATGTTCCAATGGCTAGCTGAACTAGACCTGGCACATGTACCAATGGCTAGCTGAACTAGACCTGGCGCATGTTCCAATGGCTAGCTGAACTAGAACTGGCACATGTTCCAATGGCTAGCTGAACTAGACCTGGCACATGTACCAATGGCTAGCTGAACTAGACCTGGCGCATGTTCGAATGGCTAGCTGAACTACACCTGGCGCATGTTCCAATGGCTAGCTGAACTAGACCTGGCACATATTCCAATGGCTAGCTGAACTAGACCTGGCACATGTACCAATGGCTAGCTAGACCTGGCGCATGTTCCAATGGCTAGCTGAACTAGACATGGCACATGTTCCAATGGCTAGCTGAACAAGACCGGGCACATGTTCCAATGGCTAGCTGAACTAGACCTGGCGCATGTTCCAATGGCTAGCTGAACTAGACCTGGCGCATGTTCCAATGGCTAGCTGAACTAGACCTGGAACATGTTCTAATGGCTAGCTGAACTAGACCTGGCTCATGTTCCAATGGCTAGCTAGACCTGGCACATGTTACAATGGCTAGCTGAACTAGACCTGGCACATGTTCCAATGGCTAGCTGAACTAGACCTGGCACATGTTCCAATGGCTAGCTGAACTAGACCTGGCGCATGTTCCAATGGCTAGCTGAACTAGACCTGGCACATGGTCCAATGGCTATCTGAACTAGACCTGGCACATGTACCAATGGCTAGCTGAACTAGACCTGGAACATGTTCCAATGGCTAGCTGAACTAGACCTGGCACATGTTCCAATGGCTAGCTAGACCTGGCACATGTTCCAATGGCTAGCTGAACTAGACCTGGCACATGTACCAATGGCTAGCTGAACTAGACCTGGCGCATGTTCCAATGGCTAGCTGAACTAGACCTGGCACATGGTCCGATGGCTATCTGAACTAGACCTGGCACATGTACCAATGGCTAGCTGAACTAGACCTGGAACATGTTCCAATGGCTAGCTGAACTAGACCTGGCACATGTTCCAATGGCTAGCTAGACCTGGCACATGTTCCTATGGCTAGCTGAACTAGACCTGGCACATGTACCAATGGCTAGCTGAACTAGACCTGGCGCATGTTCCAATGGCTAGCTGAACTAGAACTGGCACATGTTCCAATGGCTAGCTGAACTAGACCTGGCACATGTACCAATGGCTAGCTGAACTAGACCTGGCGCATGTTCGAATGGCTAGCTGAACTACACCTGGCGCATGTTCCAATGGCTAGCTGAACTAGACCTGGCACATATTCCAATGGCTAGCTGAACTAGACCTGGCACATGTACCAATGGCTAGCTAGACCTGGCGCATGTTCCAATGGCTAGCTGAACTAGACATGGCACATGTTCCAATGGCTAGCTGAACAAGACCGGGCACATGTTCCAATGGCTAGCTGAACTAGACCTGGCGCATGTTCCAATGGCTAGCTGAACTAGACCTGGCGCATGTTCCAATGGCTAGCTGAACTAGACCTGGAACATGTTCTAATGGCTAGCTGAACTAGACCTGGCTCATGTTCCAATGGCTAGCTAGACCTGGCACATGTTACAATGGCTAGCTGAACTAGACCTGGCACATGTTCCAATGGCTAGCTGAACTAGACCTGGCACATGTTCCAATGGCTAGCTGAACTAGACCTGGCGCATGTTCCAATGGCTAGCTGAACTAGACCTGGCACATGGTCCAATGGCTATCTGAACTAGACCTGGCACATGTACCAATGGCTAGCTGAACTAGACCTGGAACATGTTCCAATGGCTAGCTGAACTAGACCTGGCACATGTTCCAATGGCTAGCTAGACCTGGCACATGTTCCAATGGCTAGCTGAACTAGACCTGGCACATGTACCAATGGCTAGCTGAACTAGACCTGGCGCATGTTCCAATGGCTAGCTGAACTAGAACTGGCACATGTTCCAATGGCTAGCTGAACTAGACCTGGCACATGTACCAATGGCTAGCTGAACTAGACCTGGCGCATGTTCGAATGGCTAGCTGAACTACACCTGGCGCATGTTCCAATGGCTAGCTGAACTAGACCTGGCACATATTCCAATGGCTAGCTGAACTAGACCTGGCACATGTACCAATGGCTAGCTAGACCTGGCGCATGTTCCAATGGCTAGCTGAACTAGACATGGCACATGTTCCAATGGCTAGCTGAACTAGACCTGGCACATGTTCCAATGGCTAGCTGAACTAGACCTGGCACATGTTCCAATGGCTAGCTGAACAAGACCGGGCACATGTTCCAATGGCTAGCTGAACTAGACCTGGCACATGTTCCAATGGCTAACTGAACTAGACCTGGCGCATGTTCCAATGGCTAGCTGAACTAGACCTGGCACATGTACCAATGGCTAGCAGAACTAGACCTGGCACATGTTCCAATGGCTAGCTAGACCTGGCGCATGTTCCAATGGCTAGCTGAACTAGACCTGGCACATGTTCCAATGGCTAGCTAGACGTAGCACATGTTCCAATGGCTAGCTGAACAAGACCGGGCACATGTTCCAATGGCTAGCTGAACTAGACCTGGCACATGTTCCAATGGCTAGCTGAACTAGACCTGGCGCATGTTCCAATGGCTAGCTGAACTAGACCTGGCACATGTTCCAATGGCTAGCTGAACTAGACCTGGCACATGTACCAATGGCTAGCTAGACCTGGCGCATGTTCTAATGGCTAGCTGAACTAGACCTGGAACATGTTCTAATGGCTAGCTGAACTAGACCTGGCTCATGTTCCAATGGCTAGCTAGACCTGGCACATGTTACAATGGCTAGCTGAACTAGACCTGGCACATGTTCCAATGGCTAGCTGAACTAGACCTGGCACATGTTCCAATGGCTAGCTGAACTAGACCTGGCGCATGTTCCAATGGCTAGCTGAACTAGACCTGGCACATGGTCCGATGGCTATCTGAACTAGACCTGGCACATGTACCAATGGCTAGCTGAACTAGACCTGGAACATGTTCCAATGGCTAGCTGAACTAGACCTGGCACATGTTCCAATGGCTAGCTAGACCTGGCACATGTTCCAATGGCTAGCTGAACTAGACCTGGCACATGTACCAATGGCTAGCTGAACTAGACCTGGCGCATGTTCCAATGGCTAGCTGAACTAGAACTGGCACATGTTCCAATGGCTAGCTGAACTAGACCTGGCACATGTACCAATGGCTAGCTGAACTAGACCTGGCGCATGTTCGAATGGCTAGCTGAACTACACCTGGCGCATGTTCCAATGGCTAGCTGTACTAGACCTGGCACATATTCCAATGGCTAGCTGAACTAGACCTGGCACATGTACCAATGGCTAGCTAGACCTGGCGCATGTTCCAATGGCTAGCTGAACTAGACATGGCACATGTTCCAATGGCTAGCTGAACAAGACCGGGCACATGTTCCAATGGCTAGCTGAACTAGACCTGGCGCATGTTCCAATGGCTAGCTGAACTAGACCTGGCGCATGTTCCAATGGCTAGCTGAACTAGACCTGGAACATGTTCTAATGGCTAGCTGAACTAGACCTGGCTCATGTTCCAATGGCTAGCTAGACCTGGCACATGTTACAATGGCTAGCTGAACTAGACCTGGCACATGTTCCAATGGCTAGCTGAACTAGACCTGGCACATGTTCCAATGGCTAGCTGAACTAGACCTGGCGCATGTTCCAATGGCTAGCTGAACTAGACCTGGCACATGGTCCAATGGCTATCTGAACTAGACCTGGCACATGTACCAATGGCTAGCTGAACTAGACCTGGAACATGTTCCAATGGCTAGCTGAACTAGACCTGGCACATGTTCCAATGGCTAGCTAGACCTGGCACATGTTCCAATGGCTAGCTGAACTAGACCTGGCACATGTACCAATGGCTAGCTGAACTAGACCTGGCGCATGTTCCAATGGCTAGCTGAACTAGAACTGGCACATGTTCCAATGGCTAGCTGAACTAGACCTGGCACATGTACCAATGGCTAGCTGAACTAGACCTGGCGCATGTTCGAATGGCTAGCTGAACTACACCTGGCGCATGTTCCAATGGCTAGCTGAACTAGACCTGGCACATATTCCAATGGCTAGCTGAACTAGACCTGGCACATGTACCAATGGCTAGCTAGACCTGGCGCATGTTCCAATGGCTAGCTGAACTAGACATGGCACATGTTCCAATGGCTAGCTGAACTAGACCTGGCACATGTTCCAATGGCTAGCTGAACTAGACCTGGCACATGTTCCAATGGCTAGCTGAACAAGACCGGGCACATGTTCCAATGGCTAGCTGAACTAGACCTGGCACATGTTCCAATGGCTAACTGAACTAGACCTGGCGCATGTTCCAATGGCTAGCTGAACTAGACCTGGCACATGTACCAATGGCTAGCAGAACTAGACCTGGCACATGTTCCAATGGCTAGCTAGACCTGGCGCATGTTCCAATGGCTAGCTGAACTAGACCTGGCACATGTTCCAATGGCTAGCTAGACGTAGCACATGTTCCAATGGCTAGCTGAACAAGACCGGGCACATGTTCCAATGGCTAGCTGAACTAGACCTGGCACATGTTCCAATGGCTAGCTGAACTAGACCTGGCGCATGTTCCAATGGCTAGCTGAACTAGACCTGGCACATGTTCCAATGGCTAGCTGAACTAGACCTGGCACATGTACCAATGGCTAGCTAGACCTGGCGCATGTTCCAATGGCTAGCTGAACTAGACCTGGAACATGTTCCAATGGCTAGCTGAACTAGACCTGGCACATGTTCCAATGGCTAGCTAGACCTGGCACATGTTACAATGGCTAGCTGAACTAGACCTGGCACATGTTCCAATGGCTAGCTGAACTAGACCTGGCACATGTTCCAATGGCTAGCTGAACTAGACCTGGCGCATGTTCCAATGGCTAGCTGAACTAGACCTGGCACATGGTCCAATGGCTATCTGAACTAGACCTGGCACATGTACCAATGGCTAGCTGAACTAGGCCTGGAACATGTTCCAATGGCTAGCTAGACCTGGCGCATGTTCCAATGGCTAGCTGAACTAGACCTGGCACATGTTCCAATGGCTAGCTAGACCTGGCACATGTTACAATGGTTAGCTGAACTAGACCTGGCACATGTTCCAATGGCTAGCTGAACTAGACCTTGCACATGTTCCAATGGCTAGCTGAACTAGACCTGGAACATGTTCCAATGGCTAGCTTAACTAGACCTGGCACATGTTCCAATGGCTAGCTGAACTAGACCTGGCACATGTTCCAATGGCTAGCTGAACTAGACATGGCACATGTTCCAATGGCTAGCTGAACTAGACCTGGTGTCCGCACCATCCACAGGATCTGACGTGGAGAAGGAGCAGAAGTTGATCTGGTCAGTCAACAGCAGGCTTAGGGTCAAGCCCAACCAGACAGCCAAGGTAGAGATGGTCGTCAAGGAGCAGGAGTTCAACGAGGACTTTGAGCAGCTCTGCACGTTTGATGGTTTCGTGAGTACACACTTCTGTACACGTTTGATGGCTTCGTGAGTACACACTTCTGTACACGTTTGATGGCTTCGTGAGTACACACTTCTGTACACGTTTGATGGCTTCGTGAGTACACAATTCTGTACACGTTTGATGGCTTCGTGAGTACACACTTCTGTACACGTTTGATGGCTTCGTGAGTACACAATTCTGTACACGTTTGATGGCTTCGTGAGTACACAATTCTGTACACGTTTGATGGCTTCGTGAGTACACACTTCTGTACACGTTCGATGGCTTCGTGTGTACACAAGCCGCCTTTATATAACATCGTTGTACACAAAGTTTGTTTGCACTCAATGAGTACATGTTTGTATATACTTGTATGGTACACTTCAAGATTGGGTGTATGTGATGTAAACGTGAGTGTCCATGTGTACATGTAGAAGGTATGACAAACCTGAGTGTGTACATGTAGAAGGTATGACAAACGTGAGTGTCCATGTGTACATGTAGAAGGTATGACAAACCTGAGTGTCCGTGTGTACCTGCATGTCCACCAGAGATGCATGTAACGTACCAACTCTTGCAGGTGACGCTGATGTACGTCACCAAGAAAGACCGCGAGCCCATCGTGTTCCTAGAGCTTACGGCTGCCGACATACTGACCAGCTGCCACGGGTTTCACCCTGACCACGACGGCAAGCCGACCTTTGTCATGAAGGGCACGTGCTCATGCAGGATGGCAGTGGAGCAGAGCATTTATGTGTCAGAGTCGTCGTCGGTCTAGTCTTAGTCTAGTTTTAGTGCAGTCTAGGTCCAGTTTTAGTCCAGTCTAAGTACAGTTTTAGTACAGTCTTTGTCCAATCTAGGTCAAGTTTTAGTACATTCTGTGTCCAGTCAAGGTCCAGTTTTAGTGTAGTCTTTGACCAGTTTAGGTCCAGTTTTAGTACAGTTTTTGTCCAGTTTTAGTCTAGTTAGTTTATGTCCAGTTTTAGTTCAATATTTGTCCATTTGTAGTCCAGTTCTAAGCAAGTCCATTCTTTGTACAGTCTTTTTTCAGCCCATTCATAGTTCTAGGTTTAGACCACTCACGTGTCTAGGTTTAGACCACTCACGTGTCTAGGTTTAGACCACTCACGTTAAACCACTCACGTGTCTAGGTTTAGACCACTCACGTGTCTAGGTTTAGACCACTCACGTGTCTAGGTTTAGACCACTCACGTGTCTAGGTTTAGACCACTCACGTTAAACCACTCACGTGTCTAGGTTTAGACCATTCACGTGTCTAGATTTAGACCACTCACGTGTCTAGATTTAGACCACTCACGTGTCTAGGTTTAGACTACTCACGTGTCTAGGTTTAGACTACTCACGTGTCTAGGTTTAGACCAACATGACACAAGTCCTCTCACACTTTTGGTTATATTATCTGTCCAGTTTTGATTTAACATGCATATTTTTAAAGAATATTTAGTTTTTTTCAGTTCTATTTTTAAGTTGTTTTAATACGCACTTCATACAAAAACACACAACACGTGTAAAAAACGCAGCACACATATAACATAGCACATATACAACAGAGAGCACATTTTTAAGTTAATTGTTTTAATATACACTACATACAGAAAAACACACAGCACCACATATACAACACACAGCACATATACAACACACAGCACATATACAACACACAGCACATATACAACACACAGCACATATACAACACACAGCACATATACAACACACAGCACATATACAACACAGCACATTTACAACCTTATACAGTAAAAGATTTGCATTACATAAACAACACAAATACCATACAACCTATAAATAACACACATCATATATAAAGCGCAGAACAAAACAATGAAATGGTTATTGTAGATCTCTTGTTTTACCTTCTACAAATGTTAGATAAGAAAATAGATTTTATGTTACACAAGTTCATGCAAGTTCTTTTAAAACTAATGTTGTATTTTTAGGTGCAATAAAAGTTTTCATGTTGAAATCTGTACAAGAAATTACGTTTGTTATTTACTTTCATCTGTTTTGTTGGTTTTAAGATTTTCTCAAGCCTGAAGATAACGAGCAAACCAATATTTTAGACTATTACGTTCTGTGGGGTTATGGGCAAATAATATTTTAGACTATTAGGTTTTTTTGTTTATGGTAAGGGCTATCTTGGTTTCCTATAGTAGTTAAAATCTGTTCTTCTCTAAACGCCTAGGATTTCAATTCCACTACAAACCATTTGAAAGCCTGTTGAATTTTTCGACGTGTTGATAATTAGGAATAATGAATTCAAAACAAGCAGGACGTTATACGGGATAGAAATGGGTAAAAAATGTCAAATATTTGTGCTGCGCTAGGTACACACTCCCCCTTGGAAACAAACAAAATAAAACACAGGCTCAGTTTGGTAATTACTAAAAAATTTGCAGAGATGTGAAATTTCATTTATCGGTCTGAAACAGTAGGCCTACTCAAGTTATAGGCTTTTGAAAAATTGAAAGTAGAATAAGTTCCACTTCCGGTTATCGGAAATCACTGAAAAATTGAAACAGAACTACAAATTTGATATAATACACATATATGAAATTTAATCAACCTAGCTGTAACGGTACTCAATGTAACAACTTGAACTTCATTGTTGTTATTGTGGGTTCTTCAATATACTCATACGAGCAACAGTAGTTGTGAAACTATAACTTTATTTACACTTTGTACAGAGCATTAATAGATCCATAGTAAATCCATAGTCACAACTGGTATAAGTACAATCACAGATATGAAACAAAGTGTCGTAGTAACATCCTACATTCACAGCCACAGTCTTCAAGTTCAAGTCCTAGCACACAACACCCGTTCACCTTTTTCTCTCCCTTTTATTCGGTCCATTCTCTCCCCTTACGTACATGAGCGATCTCACCCAAAAGCATGGATTAACACATGAGGATCGCTCAGACAGTCCTTCCGCTAGCCAGGTATTCTTCATTCATGCAACTTCATGTAAAACACAATATAATATAAACATACATAATTATACAGTCTGTGACACGTCCCCCCTTCAAATAAAATTTTGTGTAACAAAATTTATAAATACAATATTGGTAGGGCAGGACCATGTGCCAGACAACAAAAATTTTTTATACATCTCAAAAAACATGGAAAAATACATTCTTTGTAGACTAATGCACAAGCATTATGTGTAATATATTCAAATATGAGAAAGAAAAACATTTCAATTACCCAGTAATTGTAGTATAAACAAGATCAATGAGTTTAGTAAATTATCAAACTATAATATATAGTTGAAATTATCAAAGACTTGATTCAACTCATAATTTAAATAACTATATCCTATGTGGTAAAAAAAAACTTCCTTATCATCAAGGCATGTTATTACGACGCATGAGTAATATACTTTGTTGTCTCCCCTAGTTGACCCATTTCAGACAAATCTAGGTCACAACACAATCACATTCTTGCCTTACACAGGTATTGACTAATACACAATACATCATTTAGACTTCCGTCTTATTGTTGTGCGGAATAAATAGTCTCTAACTTTTATTTATTTACTTTATTCACTGTTAATTAATAGTATAGAATAGGTTTAACATAATACAGTTTACAATCTTTTGAAATAGTACACAATTTATATTACTGATACAAATTGTTTGATATCCATATTCTACAGTTACAGACTGTATAATATTAATAACTGTAAATTGATAATTTAATCTGAGCATCCTTGTTTAACTCTATAACATGAGTAATCGTTCTTGTGCAGTTGACGATGACCTGTATGCCATCTCTCCCTCAAATTGTATGTGTATCTTTTAGCTTTGTTACCATAATTATTTCCTAGATTTCGTGTAACTTGTGTTACTTCATTTGTTTTAATATTCTCTTCTGGTTTCTGAACAACGTCAGTTGTTTTCTTACTTTGTGTACCTTCGTTTGGTTCATCAACCAACTCAATATAAATATTATGACATTGCTTTGGCCTCTCATAATATGTGTTGCGTCGGTAACTTCCATTAGTATACCTATTCACACTTTTGTTATTCTGATTTGAACTTGATACATTATTTCTTAAATGACTGTATTTCCCACATGACTTTCTTTGTACATAATAATTGTTTCTTCTCTGATTTGCCAACCTATGCCAACATTGATTTTGGTAATGACCTGTTTTTCCGCAGTAAGAACATCTAGATTTTGGCTTCTTATAAACATGGTGACTGTATTCATAGTTTGCTAAATTTCTTTTTCTTTCATTCTGTGCATTAATGACATTAATGACATTCTTATTAACATGTTGACTGTATTCATAGTTTGCTAAATTTCTTTTACTTTCATTCTGTGCACCAATGACATTGTAGTTTCTAGTTACTGTTTCATCTTTCTTAACTTCCTTGTGCTTCTTTATTGATTCTAGTTCACACATAAATTTATGTGTTAATTTCTCCATTTCTTTGTTAAATTTATTCTTGAGTTCTAGTATATCTTCTTTATAGTTTGACTCCAATTTTCGAAGTAAATCTTCAATAGGTACGTTCTCTTCATTGTGGCTTATTAAGTTCACTGATTCATTAATCATCATTAGTTCATCATGATTCCTGCCATTCACTGATGGACTTATTAAATCATTTTTACAACCATTCTCTGATGGACTTGTTTCTTGTTGACTGCCATTCTCTGATGGACTTACAATACAACTTTCAGTAATTTTCTCGTGTACCTGCATTTGAGTTAATAAAGAGTCAATCTTAAGACATTCTAATGTATCTGTTACCTTGAAGTCATTAGTAAGTTCACCCTCTGTTTTATCCTTGGGTTTCAATTCTTCCTGGACTATGTTACTCTGTTCTTCATTCCAAAGGTTGCCTATATTTACTTCTTCAAGTTCTGCCTGTTGACTTCCTAATTTTGGTTCATGTGTGTATGTAAAATCTTCCAATCTATCACGCATTGTTTCTATCTCATCATCTAATTCTCTCATAACTTTTTCATGAGCTAGTCGGGGTTGTTCTGTTTCTTTGTCCCATGCTTCTTTTGCTTCTTCTCTGTCTTGTTCAAGTCGATTGGTTGCCCAGGCTATCTTCTTCTTCATCTTCTTAATGCCTAGATCTCTCGCCATTTCCATATATTCTTTTAGTCTTGACATCTTGACCATGGGAATGTCGAGCTCCCCCATTAGCTCTTTAAAATATGTACGACTTGACATTTTGATGTTATATTTATGACATAAAATATAAATTCATTAGTTAACAATAGATAAATTTAATTAATTTACAATACCCTTTCTTGGTTTCTGGCTTGTTTTAGTTGGTATCAGACATCTGTTAATCCAAGAAAAGTTCATAGTACATATATACGTCCAAAATAGTAACGTTCACTTTGGTAAGAGGTTCCAAATAGTTGAAAAATTTCAAAATAGTACCAGTAGCCTTTTTTCAGAGTAGAAATTTGTCCAGTTTTAGATAAGACAGCTTCAGGAACAGTTTAGGAACAGTTACAAAAATAACTTGATCTGCTAAATCCAAACAGCAGAAAAACTTGAGCAGCTAATCCATATAGAAAAAACTTGAACAGCTAAATCCAAACAGTAGAAAAGAAACACTAAGACTTGATCGGCTAAATCCAAACAGAAAAAAAAAACACACAGACGATATTTATTCGACATTGGTGAGACAATATCGAAATAAGGTGATAAAAATTATCACGTTGATGACTTGACTTGAACAAAACGTCTGGCTTGACTACAGCAACCCTTCTGACTTGAGTGTAGATAGATGACTTTCAAGAACTTGACGTACTTGGTAAACAGTGGAAGACCACAGACTGCAATATCTCCATTTCTGACATGTGTAGCACCAATTCTTCAACCACTTGTGACATCATAAGTAACAGTAGACCATATGTAACAGTAATACAACGTAGCAACATCACTGTATTGCCTCCACTTCTGACACCATATGTAATAGTTTGAACTTCATTGTTGTTATTGTGGGTTCTTCAATATACTCATACGAGCAACAGTAGTTGTGAAACTATAACTTTATTTACACTTTGTACAGAGCATTAATAGATCCATAGTAAATCCATAGTCACAACTGGTATAAGTACAATCACAGATATGAAACAAAGTGTCGTAGTAACATCCTACATTCACAGCCACAGTCTTCAAGTTCAAGTCCTAGCACACAACACCCGTTCACCTTTTTCTCTCCCTTTTATTCGGTCCATTCTCTCCCCTTACGTACATGAGCGATCTCACCCAAAAGCATGGATTAACACATGAGGATCGCTCAGACAGTCCTTCCGCTAGCCAGGTATTCTTCATTCATGCAACTTCATGTAAAACACAATATAATATAAACATACATAATTATACAGTCTGTGACACTCAAGTTATTGTGTTTACCCATACATACACACACATACACACACACATACGGACAGAATAGCAAAGTCCAGTTTTTCCGACTGGATTACGCATAAAACGCCAAAATTTTGATATATCTGGATTTACAATTTTTGCCCGATTAAAATACGTCCTCTGTACTCCAGATGTGATGAAGGACTGAGGTGTAAAACGGTCAAAGTTTCATGTGTTTTTGTGCACGATTAAAAAACAAGTTAATAAAAAGTCTAGTGACAATTTAAGCGCAATTTCCTTATGTTATCCATAACAATTTTGAATCGAGATAAATCATAGCTCCTCCTCCTTCGCCTGCGTCTCGCGCAGTTCGCTGCTAAGCCAGCCAGGTCGCATGATTTACCCTCCTTTCCTTCGCTTTCCACTGCCTTCTTTGCTATATAGTACTGTGATGTATTATGTATAATGTAATTTTAAATAATGCGGACATGTAGGGGGTGTTTAGTTGTCGCGCTTTTAAAAATTTTTTTGTGACCGAACGAAAGGATATTTTTGAAAACTTTCTTCGCAATATTGTTCTAAATTATGACAGGAATCGATTGGTAAATGTTTCAAGTCGCTAAGTGGCCTGGTTGCCGAGATATGGGCCAAAAACTGCATTTTTTCGAGGTTTTTGTTTGGCTTTTCCGGGAAATCCAGGAAGGAAACCCGGGAATAGTTTTGGCCCACAATCATTCTCGGAACTTGCCTAACATATTTGCTTTTGGAACTAGTCCTCAATATTGCTTCGTTGAGGAGGAGATACGACTTAAAGCTGCGGACACACATCCATCCATCCTAATATATAAAAGGCTGTGTGCGCTCTTCTCTCTCTCTCTCTCTCTCTCTGTCTGTCCGCAAAATATTTTCGCCGGACATCACGTCAGAAACGGCAGCGATATATGGAGAACTTTATACGGACTTTTGTTGAAAATAATATGTTAGATGTTTTAAATGTATAACCACAATTTTATTTAAAGAAGAAAAATAAAAAATAAAGGCGTATTCGAATGTAGAGAAACAGTATTATTTATGCAACCGGAAAAGCATTAATAGATGTGAAAAAGAACGCATGAAACTGTGACGTCACTATTGCTTACTAATGACGTCATCTGCCGTGTTAAGAATAAAAAAGAAATGAACTATTTCATTCAAATTTGATTTAGATCTACGTACACTATGAAATGTATACAATACAATTTTTCCGGCCTAAACTCATAACATTTATTTATACAAAATCTTTGTTTGGAACTGGCTAATTTGGGATAAAAAAAATTAATTTGAAAGAATAGGCATATTCGCGTAAGTTAAGATTTTAAAATACGTCTTTCATTCTCTGTATTTTATAAGGTGCCTAAATAGCGGAAATCTTAGTGTACTATAAACTACGCAGGTGGTGCGGGTTCGAGACCCACCGAGTCAACTTGGTTAATGTATTTTTTTTTTTTATTTTGCTCGGACTAAACTTAAAAAAAAATTCAATTAGGATTCTAGATCTAGATCTAGATTGTCGGGTGTCCGATAAGGCACTTCCCGGCGCCGCAAGCGCTTCAAATTTGGCAGGATCTTGCCTTGGGGCGACAGAGCACGGGGGCCGGTTGGCCGAAAAGTCTACGATGAGGGGGTCAAAACTGACCTCGACTGACCGGTACCTTATATGAGCTATAAATCGAAAAAAAATGTCCACGGAGGAACCTCTTCAAAACTCTTGAGGTCGTAGACCGACCCTCGGGCGAATTAGTTAAGCATTCAAATTCTCAATGTTTTCGAAAGCCTAAGCAAAGCTGGGCAGCATGCCTAGTGAGTTAATAAACGCAATTCTCCAGAATGGAAATAGCGCTAAAAAGCAGTTGAATGGAAATTTCCGATGCTTTTCGAAAGCGCTTTTGCACCGCACTAAACGAACTCTAATCCCGCTTACGCAAAAACACATTGAAAACAACCCAACTGTTTGAAAATTTTCGAATCATTTTACCGTTGCTTCCCGTTCAATTCGTAGTTTATTACTTATCAATTTCCAGGTTAGCAAGTCCACTTTGGTTTGGTAAAATCTTAGTTAATCAGATTATTAGGTAGCTAGACTACCTAAAATTCCAATTTTTTTTTTTTTTATTTAGATCTAGATCTATCTATATTTTAGATCTAGACTTTAAGCTACACTATCTAGAATCTAGTAGAATATGTAGATCTAAAATATAAGCTGATCTAAACTAATGCCTATGACTATTATAGCCCAAACTTTAAACGGTAGTACTGTCTAGGAATGCTTTTGCCAATGTCGCTCTTAGGATCAGTATAAGGTAAAGAGGTAATCTATCGTTTTGGGTACGTAAAATCGCCCGCGGCTATTTATGTACGAAAACGTTACCTCGTTGTCAAGGCTTTAATAGAAGTATATTCAGGGGCGGAACTACAGTGCCGCCAGACCCCGCAATGCGGGGGGGGGGGGCCCACGCCGTTTAGGGGGCCCACAGCCGCCCATAATACTTTTTTTTATAGTTAAAATTAATTTTCTTGCATTTTTGACCTGATGGTTGTTTTGAAAAAAGAATACCGTAGCTGTGGTTGGAGTATCTTTATTCTATAGACACCATCCCACGCTCTTGTATATTCTTTTTCCTACAATCAAACACGCTGTTGTCGGCAAAACTCTTTTAAAAAAAAAACATCAATTGCGCGTGAGCCGCTAGATATTAAGAAGGCTTTTTGAGACCATCCCAAATTTGGTACTGATGGATAAAAGCACATCGGTGCTTTGTTGTCCCGCTCTTAGCCTTACAAGAAGCGAATAGATAGCGCCTCAACAACTATGCTGACTCGTATCGGTGATAGTGTGGACAAACTAGCGCCCCAACAACTAAGAACCAAGAAATAAAGTGCCGACATCGTTTACGTTTAATGACCACTGTTCTAGAAAACAAGGCAAACGTCTCAAATAAATACACGAATGATAGCGTGATATATATGGTATATATATATATATATATATATATATATATATATATATATATATATATATATATATATATATATATGTATATATATGTATATATATATATATATATGTATATATATATGTATATGTATATATATATGTATATGTATATATATATGTATATATATATATATGTATATATATATATATATATATATATATATATATATATATATATATATATATATATATATATATATATATATATATATATATATATATATATATTAGTCTCGTCACTGGCACCTTGATAGTGGTTTTGTAAATAACAAACAGATAACAGATCTGATACAGTAGTGATGTTATATAGTAGCTAAGACATGCCGTTGCGTAAAAAAAGAATTTTTAAAAATAAACACATTAGCTGTAGTGTGAAAGATAGGCAAACGTTCAAACCACTTCCATAAATTATTTCCCTTTGTTAAATAGGGGTGCTCAAAAGCTCCTTTTAATAGATTTGTAATAATCAAATTAAACAGCAATTACTTATCTTAATTATTTTTTTTTAAAAGTACTAAAGAATGATATATTATAAAAAAGAAACGTAGTTAAAGTTAATAATGTAAATTAATAAAAAACCACAAAAATAAACATAACACGAGACACCATTACTTATACAAAGCTTCTTGATTCATATACTTTTGACCGACTTTATGATTAGAAATTTTAAACATAAATGAAAACAGATATTTTCAAAACAGACCAATGCACTCATACACATGACATGTTGTTGTGATTATATTTAATTGAATTTTTTTTTTCAAAACCCGATCAGGCCAGAAAGGAGTATTCTATGTTCGTATTGTATATATATATATATATATATATATATATATATATATATATATATATATATATATATATATATATATATATATATACATATATGGGGGGCCCAAAAAAATTTTTTGCGGGGTGGCCCATTTTTTCTAGTTCCGCCACTGAGTATATTGTCATACTTTTGTGTCAAATATTATAGATAAATGAATAATAAACCTAAATCAATGGCTAAATATATCGATATAGGCCAGAAATTAACTTTAAACAGCAGTGTCTGAGAGCAAGATTTGCTATATAAACAGCAGCTATTTGTAAAGTAGAGTGGCTTCCCCCTGAATCTGGCGCTAAAAGCTTATAAAAATAAAGTACTTTGACAAGATGGCTGCTATAGTAAATGAGCATGGTTGCATCTGTTGGAAACATCGCTAGTCTTCATTTATTACGGAAAAGTTTTAATTCAATTGTTTAAAAACAGGTACATAAATGAATCAAGGAAACATTTTTGAATTTTTAAAAACATAAATCCTCCTCAAAATGTGAAATAATTATTAAAATTTAAGGAGTCACCTGTTTTTCACATTACAAATCGCGGGCGATTTTACGTACCCAAAACGATAGATTACCGGTAAAGAACATGGTCAGGATTAAGATAAGGATCAGGTAGGGTTAACGGAAGGCTTAAAGCCCTATAGGGCGTAGGACTTAAGTGACGATATGAACTTTCCAAAATAGATTCACCAAGCCTCCGACGTCAGGTCATGTATGACTTTATGTCTCTCAGTCAAGCTACGCTCATTTTCCCAGTCTAACTTTAGCTCCAACTATTTTCCTAGTCTAGCTCCAGTAATTTTCCCAGTCTAGCTTCAGCCATTTTCCCAGTCTAGCTTCAGCCATTTTCCCAGTCTAGCTTCAGCCATTTTCCCAGTCTAACTTCAGCCATTTTCCCAGTCTAGCTTCAGCCATTTTCCCAGTCTAGCTTCAGCCATTTTCCCAGTCTAGCTTCAGCCATTTTCCCAGTCTAGCTCCAGCCATTTTCCCAGTCTAGCTCCAGCCATTTTCCCAGTCTAGCTTCAGCCATTTTCCCAGTCTAGCTCCAGCCATTTTCCCAGTCTAGCTTCAGCCATTTTCCCAGTCTAGCTTCAGCCATTTTCCCAGTCTAGCTTCAGCCATTTTCCCAGTCTAGCTTCAGCCATTTTCCCAGTCTAGCTTCAGCCATTTTCCCAGTCTAACTTCAGCCATTTTCCCAGTCTAGCTTCAGCCATTTTCCCAGTCTAGCTTCAGCCATTTTCCCAGTCTAGCTTCAGCCATTTTCCCAGTCTAACTTCAGCCATTTTCCCAGTCTATCTTCAGCCATTTTCCCAGTCTAGCTTCAGCCATTTTCCCAGTCTAGCTTCAGCCATTTTCCCAGTCTAGCTCCAGCCATTTTCCCAGTCTAGCTCCAGCCATTTTCCCAGTCTAGCTCCAGCCATGCCGTTCGAGGTCCTTGACCTGAACAAGATCTGTATCGATTACTTCAAGCCCTTGGTGCCACCAGAGAAGAAGAAATATATCGACTTCGACTCAGTGGAGGTCAACCTGGATTACATGACGGTGATGTATGGTAGGTCATAGGTCAACTGGTGGGTCAGTTGGTGGGTCAGTTTGTGGGTCAGTTGGTGGGTCAGTTGGTAGGTTAGTTATTGGGTTAGTTGGTGGGTCAGTTAGTGGGTAATTTGGTGGGTCAGTTGGTGGGTCAGTTGGTAGGTTAGTTATTGGGTTAGTTGGTGGGTCAGTTAGTGGGTCATTTGGTGGGTCAGTTGGTGGGTCAGTTGGTGGGTCAGTTGGTGGGTCACTTGGTGGGTCAGTTGGTGGGTCAGTTGGTGGGTCAGTTGGTGGGTCACTTGGTGGGTCAGTTGGTGGGTCAGTTGGTGGGTTAGTTGGTAGGTTAGTTATTGGGTTAGTTAGTGGGTCATTTGGTGGGTCAGTTGGTGGGTCAGTTGGTGGGTTAGTTGGTAGGTTAGTTATTGGGTTAGTTAGTGGGTCATTTGGTGGGTCAGTTGGTGGGTCAGTAGGTGGGTTAGCTGGTGGGTCACTTGGTGGGTCAGTTGGAGGGTCAGTTGGTGGGTCAGTTAGTGGGTCAGTTGGTGGGTCAGTTGGTAGGTTAGTTATTGGGTTAGTTAGTGGGTCAGTTGGTGGGTCAGTTGGTGGGTCAGTTGGTGGGTCAGTTGGTGGGTCAGTTGGTGGGTCAGTTGGTGGGTCAGTTGGTGGGTCAGTTGGTTTGTCACCTGGTAAGTCCTCTAGTGGGTAATTCGTGTGCTACCAAGAGGGTCTATTTGCTCTTAGATCGTCTAGAGTCTAGATCATCAGATGTTAAACCCTAGTGGTTTAGCTCTATCCTATACGGTTTAACTAGTGGTTTAGCTCTATCCTACACGGTTTAACTCTAGTGGTTTAGCTCTTTCCTACACGGTTTAACTAGTGGTTTAGCCCTATCCTACACAGTTTAACTCTAGTGGTTTAGCTCTTTCCTACACGGTTTAACTTAAGCTCTATCCTACACGGTTTAACTCTTGTGGTTTAGCTCTATCCTACATGGTTTAACTAGTGGTTTAGCTCTATCATACACTACACGGTTTAACTCTAGTGGTTTAGCTCTATCCTACACGGTTCAACTCTTGTGGTTTAGCTCTATCCTACATGGTTTAACTAGTGGTTTAGCTCTATCATACACTACACGGTTTAACTCTAGTGGTTTAGCTCTATCCTACATGGTTTAACTAGTGGTTTAGCTATATCCTACACGGTTTAACTCTAGTGGTTTAGCTCTATCCACACGGTTTAACTCTAGTGGTTTAGCTCTATCCTACACGATTTACCTCTAGTGGTTTAGCTCTATCCTACACGGTTCAACTCTAGTGGTTTAGCTCTATCCTACACGATTTAACTCTAGTGGTTTAGCTCTATCCTACACGGTTCAACTCTAGTGGTTTAGCTCTATCCTACACTACACGGTTTAACTCTAGTGGTTTAGCTCTATCCTACACGGTTCAACTCTAGCGGTTTAGCTCTATCCTACACGGTTCAACTCTAGTGGTTTAGCTCTATCCTACACGGTTCAACTCTAGTGGTTTAGCTCTATCCTACACGATTTAACTCTAGTGGTTTAGCTCTATCCTACACGGTTCAACTCTAGTGGTTTAGCTCTATCCTACACGATTTAACTCTAGTGGTTTAGCTCTATCCTACACGGTTCAACTCTAGTGGTTTAGCTCTATCCTACACTACACGGTTTAACTCTAGTGGTTTAGCTCTATCCTACACGGTTTAACTATAGTGGTTTAGCTCTATCCAACACGGTTCAACTCTAGTGGTTTAGCTCTATCATACACGGTTTAACTCTAGTGGTTTAGCTCTATATTACACGGTTCAACTCTAGCGGTTTAGCTCTATATTACACGGTTCAACTCTAGTGGTTTAGCTCTATCCTACACGGTTTAACTCTAGTGGTTTAGCTCTATCCTACACGGTTCAACTCTAGTGGTTTAGCTCTATCCTACACTACACGGTTTAATTCTAGTGGTTTAGCTCTATCCAACACGGTTTAACTATAGTGGTTTAGGTCTATCCAACACGGTTCAACTCTAGTGGTTTAGCTCTACCATACACGGTTTAACTCTAGTGGTTTAGCTCTATATTACACGGTTCAACTGTAGCGGTTTAGCTCTATATTACACGGTTCAACTCTAGTGGTTTAGCTCTATCCTACACGGTTTAACTCTAGTGGTTTAGCTCTATCATACACGGTTTAACTCTAGTGGTTTAGCTCTATCCTACACGGTTCAACTCTTGTGGTTTAGCTCTATCCTACATGGTTTAACTAGTGGTTTAGCTCTATCATACACTACACGGTTTAACTCTAGTGGTTTAGCTCTATCCTACATGGTTTAACTAGCGGTTTAGCTCTATATTACACGGTTCAACTCTAGTGGTTTAGCTCTATCCTACACGGTTTAACTCTAGTGGTTTAGCTCTTTCCTACACGGTTTAACTCTAGTGGTTTAGCTCTATCCTACACTGTTCAACTCTAGTGGTTTAGCTCTATCCTACAAGGTTTAACTCTACTGCAGATGAGACCAAGTACTTCAAGAAAGACGCCCCTCCCACACCCACGGCCCACATCCTGTACCGGGCCAACTTTGTCAACAAAACCCCCCGCCCCCAGACCTACGTGCTGATGACGGAGCGCGAGACCAGCTCCTCGTGCGAGCTGGACATCCTCAAGACGTTTTCCTTCGGAGGGGAGGTGGGGGTGGGGGTCGAGCCACCAGGGGCTGGCTCCGGGCTCAAGGTCACTTTCAAGGCCGAGAAGTCCAAGCAAAAAGGTGGGTAGGGTGGGTCAGGAAGGTGGGTCAGTAAGGTCATCAGGCTGCCATCTTTGCTTCTGTTTTTTTTTTTAATTTCTACAAGCAATGAATGCTTATATTTCCATGTACCACAATCCCCACAATCAATGCTTATATTCCCAGGTACCACAATCCCACATAATCATTGCTTGTATTCCCAGGTACCACAATCCCCCACAATCATTGCTTGTATTCCCAGGTACCACAATCTCACACAATCAATGCTTGTATTCCCAGGTATCACAATCCCACATAATCAATGCTTGTATTCCCAGGTACCACAATCCCCCACAATCAATGCTTGTATTCCCAGGTACCACAACCCCCACAATCAATGATTGTATTTCCAGGTACCACAATCCCCCACAATTGTTGCTTGTATTCCCAGGTACCACAATCTCACACAATCAATGCTTGTATTCCCAGGTACCACAATCCCCCACAATCAATGCTTGTATTCCCAGGTACCACAATCTCACACAATCAATGCTTGTATTCCCAGGTACCACAATCACCAACGAGCAAGAGCTGACCTGGGCCATAGATACGAACGTGACAGTCCCGCCCGGCCACCAGACGAGAGCTGAGCTTATCGTCAAGGAGGAAGATTATGGCGGGGACTTTGAGGTCGTCTGCACCTTCGAGGGCACCGTAAGTACAGACGCATAGAATATTAGAGGGCGCCGTGAGTACAGACGCCCAGAAGATAAGAGGGCGCCGTGAGTACAGACGCATAGAATATTAGAGGGCGCCGTGAGTACAGACGCCCAGAAGATAAGAGGGCGCCGTGAGTACAGACGCCCAGAAGAGGGCGCCGTCTGACTTCGGTTGTTTGTGTAGTAACCTTTTAAAGATTCGAAGAAAATCCGTGTGACAGACGTGGCTCCCAAAAAGAAAGCTGAAGATTTTTGCCAGAATAGAACTCACTGTTTATTTTGACCACAGCATCTTGGGGTTGTTCTTAGATGCAAAATATATTCTGGCTGAAAAAAAAATTTGGGCTAAAAACCAATTTTGTCTGAGAAGTATATATATATACTAGCTGTATCCCGTGCTCCGCCACGGTAAATCTTTTTTAAAATATACCAACTTGGGAACAGAACAAAACAAAACATAACACAAACGAACGCAAAAAAAAAACAAAACGAAAAAAAAACAACACAACACTCATAACATAAACACAATTTAAAAGCAATCATAAAGGCATATTGCTCAGAGTCTAGCCCGTAGCGCTAAATCGCGCGTACGCGTCTGACACAGTGAATGACTATAAAACAGAGGCGTAGCGACCCTTTCCGGCGCCTGGGGACAAATTTTCGATTTGACCCCCCCCCCCCTTCAAACTTACGATATACACCGCACCCCCTCCCCTCAAAATTTCAATTTCCACCCCACCCCCTTAAACTTTCTGTTTGCCCCCCCCCAGACTTTCGATTTACACCACTTTTGATATGAGATTCCCCTCCCCCCCCGTTCAAACTTTTGATTTGCACCCCCTCCCGCCCTAAAACTTGCGATTTCCACCCCCCCCTCGCAAATTTTTTCACACCGACTTTGGCGCCCCCTAAGGTCGGCACCCGGGGACATATGCCCCCCCCCCCCTCGCTCCGTCTCTCCTATAAAACCCCTAGCTTGTCCTCAAACCGAAAGATAGAATAATAATTAGTAAACAGTATAAATAATAGGCAGTATTTAAAATATCCGTTTTTACCTACCTTATATCACTTTACCAATTCACGCATTTTTTCCCCCAGTACTTTAACTTTTAAAAAATTACAATAGAGTTTCATAACTAAAACAATTGCGCACCATCCACCCAATGAACGTGATGTCGAGCTTATAATATTGCGGAATAATTGATTAAAAATTATATGTAGTAAACAGTAAATTCAGTGAATGAAATAAATAAAAGATTGCCTTTTATCAATCCATGCTAATTATAATTTTTTAACAATCCGCATCCCCACAATTTGCATTCACATTTTGCTAATTATATTATTGAAACACTAATTCCTTCTAGTACGTCCGTAAATTTGCATTCACATTTTTTTTATTAGCGTGAGGGGGAGGGGAGGGTGCAAATCAAAAATTTGAGGGGGGGTGCAAATCGAAAGTTTGAGGGGGGGGGGGGGGTTACAAATCGAAAGTTTGAGGGGGGGGGGGGGTGCAAATCAAAAGTTTGAGGGGGGGGGTGCAAATAAAAAGTTTTGTCCCCGGGTGACTGGAAGGGTCGCTACGCCTCTGGAAGGAGTTTGTCGATTTAAAATAGGTGGTGCCCACCACACTACCGATATTTTAGAATGTGCTCTAGAGTAAAAAAAAGGTTGGGAACCCCTGCTCTAGTATATAAATATAAATTCTGGCTAGCAAGGGCTAATTTGGGCCAAAAAAAAAGATTTTAATTCTGTTTGAAAAAGAACTTAGGCTAAATTAAAATCATTACTGCCCTAAAACTTGATAAAACGACCAACCATACATTCTTCAGGCCAGCGTGACCTTCTTCCACATCCGGGACAAGGACGCCATACACGTTGAGGCCAAGGACGTGGTGTCAATCTTCACACCCAAACATGGCTTCTTGCTGGACGGGGATGGCAGACCGACCTTCGTCATCAAGGGGGTCTGCAAGTGTCGCGTGGGGGTCGAGCAGTTGATCGACTTGCAGCAGTCCGTCATTGAAGAGACTGAAGCAAAGAAGAAATAGGGCGTCACCAGTCAGGCAGCACAAGTGATACAACCAAAGCCGCTTTCTGCTGGCGTTGTCTCTGTTGTGTTCGAACATACCCTTGTCAGTTTATGGAGTTTGATGTTTGCCACTTTTTGTCATTTAAAAAAAAAGTAAACCAGAAAATGTAGAACAGTTTTCTTCAAATATTTGAAAACTCAAGTCAATGAATTGATTTTGTTTTGGAAAATCAGACAGCTTTCAATATTCTTTTTTTTTTGTTTAAAAATATTCCCCTTTGATGTGCATATTTTCTACGTATTCTTTTTGTTGTTGTTATAAATCATTTTAAATTGATTTCTTAATTAATTTTTACAATTTTTTTTTAAATATTGAAATATAAGGTTTCTGTGTTATGCTTATTTTTGTTGCTTTTATTAAATTATAAATCTGTTCAGTTAATTCCAACCACCCATTTTCTTTTTTTTTTCTTTTAGCGTCCCCTTTGTGTTGTGTTTTCTTTCAGTTTCAAGTTAGCCACCCCCCCCCCACACACACATCAACAATACTGAGCTAACACACGAGTAGTATATTAGGTCCCTTTTGGAGCGAATTCCTGGCGCAGGTGGTGCCGCGCGGGACAATGGTTATATAGCAAAATACTCGGGATGTGGTGGTGGTGAAGGGACAATGACATATAGTAAAATACTCCCAGACTGGCGCATCGGGATGTGGAGGGTGGTGGTGGTGAAGGGACAACGACATATAGTAAAATACTACGCCAACTGGGTTTGGCGCAGGTGGTGGGGAAGTAGGTCACCTTTTGGTGACCTTGTGACGTAATCATTGACCTTGTGACGTAATCAATGACCTTTTGACGTCATCATTGACCTAGTTACGTAATTTTAATGCGTTTTTTAAATTAGTTTTTATGCATTTTTTGAAATTTTAATTCATTTTTGACCTAGTTACGTCATTTTATTGAGTTTTAATTAGGTTTTTAATTAGTTTAATATTTTATTTTGGCTCAGTTACGTAATTTTAATGAGTTTTTATTACGTCATTTGATTATTTGTTTGATTTTGATGAATTTAATTACTTTGTTTACTTGTTGTTTAATTTAATTTAATTACTTTGTTTATATTTCTTTTCTTTGTTGTATGGCATTGTTTAATTAACTAGTTACGTAATTGGATATTTTAATATTTGAATTTTTTATTAACGAGTTACGTCATTTGATTGTTTGTTTACTTTTTTGTTTAATTTGATTGTTTACTTGTTGTTTTATTTAACTATTTTGTTTATATTGTGTAATTTTTATTGACGAGTTACGTCATTGGATTTTAATGTTTGAAATTTGTATTAACGAGTTACGTCATTTGTTTATTTGTTTGATATTTAATTGTTTAATTTGATTGTTTACTTTTTGTTTAATTTAATTACTTTGATATTTTTCTTTTCTTTGTATGTATGGTATTTAAAATAAAAGACTAATACTAGCGTGGACTTTGTATACCACCATTTAACCACATCTGTTACTTATCGATCCGCAATCCTTTGTTGACACGCGCGGCGCGTTTTTAATGGGTATTATATCGATCGCAGCCGCTGGGCCATCACAGCATGATGTCCCGCCTAATTAAAGTTGGTCACGCATCATGCGTTTTATGCGTTGTTCGCCGAACCGATCACAGCAGGGGGGTATGGTAATTAACGCAAAGCCAGCGTTAAGTGTGGGAACACCTGTTACCACGTTAATCGATTTTACCGATCGCTTTGTTATCTCCGTGAAGTCCGTAGGTCATTATGCAACAGCTGTTGTGCGACAGCTGGTGCTGTAATTAGGCCGTTCAACCGGATAAATGACCGCGAAAATTGTGTTCTAATCACTTCAACTTCGGACTTCAAATCAAGCGTCACCGCGACTTATCCAGCCTGCGACCTCTGTTGACTCCTGAGACTAAACCCACGCCAGCTTTACCAACCATCACATCCACCTAACCCTATACGGACCACATCTTTTTGTGCGTGTTTATTCTATTAAAGGTAAGGTTAATATTACTTTTTGTTTTAAGGGAGCTAACCCCATTAAAATACCCTTTTAAATAAATATGTATCTAAATAAGTAGTCATATGTATTCCTTTTAGTGTACAACCGATCCTACGAGACAGACTAACCATCGACCGAACCTATTGAGCTACCTACCCATCCCCGAGGCACCCACTGAACCAAACGTTCCAGCTACATCCAACTACACCATTTCGGATCTCCACACACAGCTAACTTCACGTTCAGCTTACGCGTTCAAACCCATAGGTACGTTCATTTTTAATTTTGTTTTAAGTATGATTTTTGTTTCATGCATTTTATTTTATGTATTTATTTTTATTCTACAGCCAGTGACCTACCCAGTCATCCAACTAATAGACACTTCGTCAATAATGCAAACCGCCCAGTCTACCACCCATCCAACCATGAGCCGTAACAAGTGTGACATATGCAACCGTGTGTTCACCCGCAAAGACGGTTTGACAAGACATCACGACTCTGTTCACCGCCGACAAGGACATCTCTGTACAACATGCGGGAATCTATTTACACGACTTGACAATTTAACAAGACATTGTAAAACAACACACACCAACCAAACATCACCGACCGACACCCTATCAGCAACCGATAGACAAACTCCACAACCACTATACGTGACCGACAGACAAACCATGCAACCCCTAGCAGCGATCCAAACAACTCGTACCATGACCAACACTATTCCATTAAAGCGACATACGATGTATGACGACATAGCAAACAACAAACGCGTAAAGACTAACAACGACAGTAACGTTAATTCACACACCACTATTTTTCCTGTAGACGACCTACCCATGATACGTTATACATGTGACATATGTGAGCATGCATTCACCTGCAAACATGGTTTGAAACGACATCACGATACGGCACACAGACGACGAAGACATACATGTAGAGAATGTTTGCAAGAATTTACAAGAAAATATAATTTAACGAACCACTATAAAATACCACACACCATCAAAACATCACCAGACGACACATCAGCGACCGACACGAATATCCCATAGGATGACTTCTCACAGACATCTCCTTACACCCAACACAGAAACTCACTTTCTTACTTTTATATTAAAAGACAAGTAGACACAATGTGACATCTCCCCTAGACTGTAGACCGATGGGGTTGTTTTTATTCAATAAAAATTTATTATATATGGTCTTTTGTGATTTTTTAATGTGTTATTGTTTTGTTACTTGTCCCTGAAAGTTATGTAACTCGGTATCCTGTATAAGAGGTATGACTGGAATCAAAATCACGGGAGAGAACGTGACGTACATCGCGATATTTGAAAACAGGGCGATGTTTAACCTCAACCAAAAAAGACAATGAACCTAGAAGGAAGACGAATATATATCTTAGTCTTGCAGCAGATTACCTTCCCATGTTCACTTTAGTATTACAGTTTTCATCAAACTTCTTTTTGACTTGAACTTCGTTATTTTTTAAGAAAGTTTACTTATACATAATACATTACGTCTAATGACAATTTTTTTATTTTTACCACTCAATGTATTTTCTTTTTCTATATCTTACATTGTCATCTTAATTTTTGATCACCTTAGTAAAAATTTGCTTAAGATTATAAACTTCAAGTTTTAAAAAACAACAACGTTATAGTACGTCGTGTCAAATGACACACCGTTTAAAATGTCTACATTTAAAGTTCACCAAAATAATGACGTAAAATCTAAATATGATATGACGTTAGCATACATATCATTCAACCTAATCACTCTAAAGTACAAATCAATAATTTTTATTGATTAAGGGGCTGGGTGAGTTATTTTTATCACTATTCGCCCTTCCCCTTCCCTTTGTCCGCAACCCCGTTCCCCTTCTCCCATCCAACCTTGCGTCATCACACTAACCTCAATACCAACCGTTAGATAAACAGACCGTACTACTACTACTACCAGCACTATACCTATTCCATTTAAGAGACAAAGGCTGTATGACAATCCTACAGACAAATATTTATTCAACTAATATCACAACCCCCTAGAAACCACTCCAACAGACTGGGATACATAACTTGTAGACACCGCTCCTCGTTGAATATCTCTTGCACCCTACCTACATCGACAACTTTGTCCGCCGCCCTCGCCCCCGTCCCTAGTATGAACTCGGTTACCAACAATTTCAAAACATGCATGTTCCGAGTTCAAAACCAACCTTCACCGACACTACTACGAACTCGGCCCCTAACACTTCCAAAACATGCCTGTACTAACTTTGAAACCACCATCGGTGAAAACTTCACCGACCTTAGTATAGACTCTACACCTACCGATTCCAAAACATGCATGTTCCGAGTTCAAAACCAACCTTCACCGACACTAGTATGAACTCGGCTACCAACAATTCCAAAACATGCATGTTCCGAGTTCAAAACCAACCTTCACCGACACTAGTATGAACTCGGCTACCAACAATTCCCAAACATGCATGTAACAACTTTCCAACCTGCCTCAGTGCTAACAAAATTCCCCGACCCTAGTATGAACTCGACTGCCATCAATTCCTAAACATCCATGTACCAACTTTGTAACCTACCTCGGTGAAAACTTCACCGACCTTAGTTTAACTCTACCTAACAATTCCAATGATGCATATACGAACTTTGTAACCTGCCTCGGTGAAAACACCCCCGTCCCTAGTCTGAACTCGGTTACCAACAATTTCAAAACATGCATGCTCCGAGTTCAAAACCAACCTTCACCGACACTAGTATGAACTCGGCTACCAACAATTCCTAAAAATGCATGTACCAACTTTGCAACCTGCCTCAGTGTTAGCAAAACTCCCCGACCCTAGTATGGACTCTACACCTACCGATTCCAAAACATGCATGTTCCGAGATCAAAACCAACCTTCACCGACACTAGTATGAACTCGGCTACCATCAATTCCTAAACATGCATGTGCCAACTTTGCAACCTGCCTCAGTGTTAGCAAAACTCCCCGACCCTAGTATGGACTCTACACCTACCGATTCCAAAACATACATGTTCCGAGATCAAAACCAACCTTCACCGACACTAGTATGAACTCGGCTACCATCAATTCCTAAACATGTATGTGCCAACTTTGCAACCTGCCTCAGTGTTAGCAAAACTCCCCGACCCTAGTATGGACTCTACACCTACCGATTCCAAAACATGCATGTTCCGAGTTCAAAACCAACCTCGGTGAAAACTTCACCGACCTTAGTTTAACTCTCCCTAACAATTCCAAAACATGCATGGTCTAGATTCGAACCCTGCCTCGGTGAAAACGTCACCGACTCGTGTATAAAATCTGTCACAACCAACTCCAAACCTTCCCTGGGCACCCGAATAAAAATAACTCACCCAGCCCCTTAATCAATAAAAATTATTGATTTGTACTTTAGAGTGATTAGGTTGAATGATATGTATGCTAACGTCATATCATATTTAGATTTTACGTCATTATTTTGGTGAACTTTAAATGTAGACATTTTAAACGGTGTGTCATTTGACACGACGTACTATAACGTTGTTGTTTTTTAAAACTTGAAGTTTATAATCTTAAGCAAATTTTTACTAAGGTGATCAAAAATTAAGATGACAATGTAAGATATAGAAAAAGAAAATACATTGAGTGGTAAAAATAAAAAATTGTCATTAGACGTAATGTATTATGTATAAGTAAACTTTCTTAAAAATTAACGAAGTTCAAGTCAAAAAGAAGTTTGATGAAAACTGTAATACTAAAGTGAACATGGGAAGGTAATCTGCTGCAAGACTAAGATATATATTCGTCTTCCTTCTAGGTTCATTGTCTTTTTTGGTTGAGGTTAAACATCGCCCTGTTTTCAAATATCGCGATGTACGTCACGTTCTCTCCCGTGATTTTGATTCCAGTCATACCTCTTATACAGGATACCGAGTTACATAACTTTCAGGGACAAGTAACAAAACAATAACACATTAAAAAATCACAAAAGACCATATATAATAAATTTTTATTGAATAAAAACAACCCCATCGGTCTACAGTCTAGGGGAGATGTCACATTGTGTCTACTTGTCTTTTAATATAAAAGTAAGAAAGTGAGTTTCTGTGTTGGGTGTAAGGAGATGTCTGTGAGAAGTCATCCTATGGGATATTCGTGTCGGTCGCTGATGTGTCGTCTGGTGATGTTTTGATGGTGTGTGGTATTTTATAGTGGTTCGTTAAATTATATTTTCTTGTAAATTCTTGCAAACATTCTCTACATGTATGTCTTCGTCGTCTGTGTGCCGTATCGTGATGTCGTTTCAAACCATGTTTGCAGGTGAATGCATGCTCACATATGTCACATGTATAACGTATCATGGGTAGGTCGTCTACAGGAAAAATAGTGGTGTGTGAATTAACGTTACTGTCGTTGTTAGTCTTTACGCGTTTGTTGTTTGCTATGTCGTCATACATCGTATGTCGCTTTAATGGAATAGTGTTGGTCATGGTACGAGTTGTTTGGATCGCTGCTAGGGGTTGCATGGTTTGTCTGTCGGTCACGTATAGTGGTTGTGGAGTTTGTCTATCGGTTGCTGATAGGGTGTCGGTCGGTGATGTTTGGTTGGTGTGTGTTGTTTTACAATGTCTTGTTAAATTGTCAAGTCGTGTAAATAGATTCCCGCATGTTGTACAGAGATGTCCTTGTCGGCGGTGAACAGAGTCGTGATGTCTTGTCAAACCGTCTTTGCGGGTGAACACACGGTTGCATATGTCACACTTGTTACGGCTCATGGTTGGATGGGTGGTAGACTGGGCGGTTTGCATTATTGACGAAGTGTCTATTAGTTGGATGACTGGGTAGGTCACTGGCTGTAGAATAAAAATAAATACATAAAATAAAATGCATGAAACAAAAATCATACTTAAAACAAAATTAAAAATGAACGTACCTATGGGTTTGAACGCGTAAGCTGAACGTGAAGTTAGCTGTGTGTGGAGATCCGAAATGGTGTAGTTGGATGTAGCTGGAACGTTTGGTTCAGTGGGTGCCTCGGGGATGGGTAGGTAGCTCAATAGGTTCGGTCGATGGTTAGTCTGTCTCGTAGGGTCGGTTGTACACTAAAAGAAATACATATGACTACTTATTTAGATACATATTTATTTAAAAGGGTATTTTAATGGGGTTAGCTCCCTTAAAACAAAAAGTAATATTAACCTTACCTTTAATAGAATAAACACGCACAAAAAGATGTGGTCCGTATAGGGTTAGGTGGATGTGATGGTTGGTAAAGCTGGCGTGGGTTTAGTCTCAGGAGTCAACAGAGGTCGCAGGCTGGATAAGTCGCGGTGACGCTTGATTTGAAGTCCGAAGTTGAAGTGATTAGAACACAATTTTCGCGGTCATTTATCCGGTTGAACGGCCTAATTACAGCACCAGCTGTCGCACAACAGCTGTTGCATAATGACCTACGGACTTCACGGAGATAACAAAGCGATCGGTAAAATCGATTAACGTGGTAACAGGTGTTCCCACACTTAACGCTGGCTTTGCGTTAATTACCATACCCCCCTGCTGTGATCGGTTCGGCGAACAACGCATAAAACGCATGATGCGTGACCAACTTTAATTAGGCGGGACATCATGCTGTGATGGCCCAGCGGCTGCGATCGATATAATACCCATTAAAAACGCGCCGCGCGTGTCAACAAAGGATTGCGGATCGATAAGTAACAGATGTGGTTAAATGGTGGTATACAAAGTCCACGCTAGTATTAGTCTTTTATTTTAAATACCATACATACAAAGAAAAGAAAAATATCAAAGTAATTAAATTAAACAAAAAGTAAACAATCAAATTAAACAATTAAATATCAAACAAATAAACAAATGACGTAACTCGTTAATACAAATTTCAAACATTAAAATCCAATGACGTAACTCGTCAATAAAAATTACACAATATAAACAAAATAGTTAAATAAAACAACAAGTAAACAATCAAATTAAACAAAAAAGTAAACAAACAATCAAATGACGTAACTCGTTAATAAAAAATTCAAATATTAAAATATCCAATTACGTAACTAGTTAATTAAACAATGCCATACAACAAAGAAAAGAAATATAAACAAAGTAATTAAATTAAATTAAACAACAAGTAAACAAAGTAATTAAATTCATCAAAATCAAACAAATAATCAAATGACGTAATAAAAACTCATTAAAATTACGTAACTGAGCCAAAATAAAATATTAAACTAATTAAAAACCTAATTAAAACTCAATAAAATGACGTAACTAGGTCAAAAATGAATTAAAATTTCAAAAAATGCATAAAAACTAATTTAAAAAACGCATTAAAATTACGTAACTAGGTCAATGATGACGTCAAAAGGTCATTGATTACGTCACAAGGTCAATGATTACGTCACAAGGTCACCAAAAGGTGACCTACTTCCCCACCACCTGCGCCAAACCCAGTTGGCGTAGTATTTTACTATATGTCGTTGTCCCTTCACCACCACCACCCTCCACATCCCGATGCGCCAGTCTGGGAGTATTTTACTATATGTCATTGTCCCTTCACCACCACCACATCCCGAGTATTTTGCTATATAACCATTGTCCCGCGCGGCACCACCTGCGCCAGGAATTCGCTCCAAAAGGGACCTAATATACTACTCACACGTCCTAAAATGTGAACTGTCTAGATTTAATCACCCCGCCCCCCCCCCTCCCCACACACACATCAACAACACGTCCTAAAATGTAAACTGTCTAGATTTGGATATGAAATGTTAAATTTTTCACCCCCTGCCCCCCCCCCCCACACACACACGTTGTAAAGTAAGTGAAGTTCCCACTTGGAATTTGATGGTCCTTGGGGCAAGTGAGGTTGACATGTTTCCGTGACCTCGGCATATGATGGGATAGTGTATTAACAAACCGAAGAAGTTTAATTAATGTCATTAGTGAACAAAACATTTACGGTGATTAATTTATAGATCTGAACAATATTTAGGGTCGCTTTATTGACTATTATAGTAGGGTAATGTTAACATTGTGCTAGATACCTAGGGAAATGTTAACATTGTACTACAAACACAGGGAAATGTTAACATTGTGCTAGACACCCAAGGAAATGTTAACATTGTGCTTGACGCCCAGGGAAATGTTAACATTGTGCTAGACACCCATGTAAAAGTTAACATTGTGCTAGAAACCTATGAACAATTTGCGCAGAAAACCGGATTTTCCCAAAACCTCACATTTTCCTTAGCGCCGCCATGAACCTGAACTAGGAACCAATTGTTCTAGAAGCTGAACATTTCTCACTGGTATAACGGTGGACTGGAGATTCTAGCATTTGACGTTACTCAACTGGTGCTTTGTGGGCTACGGTAGGTTTGTATTTCAATTGGTGGGCTAAACTAGGTATGTAGATCTATTTCAATTGGTGGGCTACAGTAGGTAGGTATATATTTCGATTTGTGGGCTACGGTATGGTTATACAAATCTGACTGTTTGCTTTTTGTTGGACTTTGCTAAAGATTGGATGTAGGGCCTACTGAAATTTTTTTTTCTGGCTAAAAGTTTTTTTTTACTGTTATGAAGGTAAAATTGACCAAAAACACAATTTTTATCCATGTCAAACATTAATGATGGAACCATTTAATTTGTTCAATGTTAAGGCAAGGGAAACCACCACAGTTTTTTGCCGAGTCAGTAACTGCTGAAACATTCTCTCAAAACGATAAGGCTTTGACTGGCCAACTTACCATTAGTTTAAACAGTTTCGGACTGGATTAGCCCAAGTTTTTTTTCTACAGCTAGTAGCTTTGTGAGTAAATAGGAACCGGAAGTACTATTAGACCGGAAACAGGTATTGGCATGCCGGAAATCGTGGACGTGGCGAAGATCGTGGCCGGACACATCGCTGAGGTGGCCGACTCCGAGGCCAAGCGGAAGTACCTCACCAAAAAACCTCAGCTCGACTTCCAGTTCCTCCACGTGGAGTCTGGTGAGTCAGTCGGAGTCAGTGAGTCAGTGGGAGTCAATGAGTCAGGCGTGTCTGTGGGAGTCACGTGAGTCAAGCGTGTCTGTTGGTGTTAGTCGGAGTCAGAGAAGGTCAGTAGAAGTCAGATGGAGTCAGTGAGAGTCAGTGGATTGTATGATCAGGTATTGAGTCATGTGACGTTTGGTGGTGTAGCTAGATAAGTCATGTGACTGTTGGGTGTGTAGCTAGATAAGTCATGTGACGGTTGGGTGTGTAGCTAGGTAAGTCATGTGACGGTTGGGTGTGTAGCTAGATAAGTCATGTGACTGTTGGGTGTGTAGCTAGATAAGTCATGTGACTGTTGGGTGTGTAGCTAGATAAGTCATGTGACGGTTGGGTGTGTAGCTAGATAAGTCATGTGACTGTTGGGTGTGTAGCTAGATAAGTCATGTGACGTTTGGTGGTGTAGCTAGATAAGTCATGTGACTGTTGGGTGTGTAGCTAGATAAGTCATGTGACTGTTGGGTGTGTAGCTAAGTCATGTGACTTTTGGGTGTGTAGCTAGAAAAGTCATAACTACCATCTTTTGCCAATCCTTGAACTTTGACCTCCCATCAGGAGAAACCAAGTACACCCGGCGCGACATGGCCCCGGTAGAGACGACCAACATCCTGTACACCTCCTGCTATTCCAACAACACCCCCAATGAGCAGAAACACGTGCTGAAATCACTGAGGAAAACACGCTCAGTCTTCGAGGTCAGCTTCTCTCGTGGTCTCAAGCTGGGCAATGAGTTCAGCATAGACATCAACCCACCCAGCACCAAGGGCGGGCTACATGCAGGCTTTAAGAAGGAGGAGGAGGAGGCGCAAGGTGGGTCATGTGGAGGGGTCGGGTATGTTAGCTGGGTCATGTGGAGGTGTAGGGTTAGTCAGGTAAGTTGGCTATATAATAGGGAGAGTCGCCCCCCCCCCCCACCTGAACTTCTCACCTGTTGTTTGTCAACCCCAGGTAACAAGGTGCTGAACATGCAAGAGCTCAAGTGGGTCATCGACAACGTCATTATGGTCCCGGCAAATCACTGGGTCAAGGTCGAGGTTATCGTCAAGGAGGAAAACTACAATGGAGAGTTCGAGAAGCTGTTGACATTTGACGGAGATGTATGTGTCCTTTACTATTTTTTTTGTCATATTTATCTGTTGTTTTTGTCTGTTGTTTTATCTGTCGGGTTTCGTCTACTATGTTTGTCACTCAATATTTTCTGTGTTTTCGTTCGGTTTCGTCTCTTGTATTAAACGAAAAAAAATTATGCAGCGTTTGAAATGTCACTTACCCCTTCCCACTCCCCAGATAGTCACTTACCCCTTGTCATTCCCCAGATAGTCACCTACCCCTTGTCATTCCCCAGATAGTCACCTACCCCTTGTCACTCCCCAGATAGTCACCTACCCTTTGTCACTCCCCAAATAGTTAGCTACCCCTTCCCACTCCCCAGATAGTCACCCACCCCTTGTCACTCCCCAGATAGTCACCTACCCCTTGTCACTCCCCAGATAGTCACCTACCCTTTGTCACTCCCCAAATAGTTAGCTACCCCTTCCCACTCCCCAGATAGTCACCCACCCCTTGTCACTCCCCAGATAGTCACCTACCCCTTGTCACTCCCCAGATAGTCGTCCACCTCTTGAAGAAAGAGAAGGACATTGTGGAGCGGTTCCAGTCCCTGATCTACAACGCTATGCGGGGGACCCGGGTCAAGCGGGTCAGCACGGGCTGCGAGAAGCTGACCTTCCCCGTCCACACCATCATGACCCCGGCCCGGGGGTTCGTGCTGGACAACAACGGTAAGCCGACCTACATGGTCAAAGGTCACTGCGAGTGCAGGTTCGGCGTGGAGCAGGAGGTCATCATCACAGAGTACCCGGGCATCAAGCCGGACTACCGGATCAACCCGTCCTGGTGACCGGCAGCCGGTTGTTATATCACGGCCCGGCGACCGGCTGGTGGCTGTGGCGTGACGGTTTAACCAGGCGACCGGCAGCCGGTTGTGATATCACGGTCCGGCGACCGGCAGCCGGCTGTGGCGTGACGGTTTAACCAGGCGACCGGCCAGCAATAAACAAGTTTGATCAAGAACTGCATTATTCCACATTCAATATGTGTTCAATGTTACGTTCATGTGCTTTTAATGTTTTCAGCTATAATATAGTCCGTAAAGAAATAAATCTTTTTGTGTGCTAATAAATTGACGTTATGAAAGTAAAACTAATTTGTTGAGCTTTATTTGTATAAGTAATCGTGGTGGGTATGTTGAAATGGTGTGGAAACTTTTGATGCAAGTCTAGTTTTGGTCATGCTATACAAGGTGTGAACATGGACTTGTTACTTTGATGTCATGTTACTTTGACATTTGAACAATTTGATGTCATGCTACTTTCAAATGTGAACAATTTGAGCACCTTGAAGTCATGTGATTTCACGTGCGAGTAGTTCAATGATTATAGAACTTGATCTAAGTTCGCACCACCAGAGAAAGAAAAGTACCTAACTGCACCTGAAATGAACAACATGCACCAACCAACACATGAAATAAACGACACATTTTTTCTGTTATTTGTTTTCAAGGCTGATATTCGTGACACTTAGCGTTATCAAAAGCTGAAATTCAGAGAGTAGAAGAGATTTGCTGTCAATTAGGTAAACATTTCAACCCGCGACATCAAACGCTAACGACTGCCATTCTGTTGTTTTGGTGCTGATATTGAACATTTTATTGATCAAAGATACATTGGCTGAATAGCGCCAGGTTTAGCAGAGTTTTCTGGTCTAGTGCATCAATGTTGAGTCTCAAGCATACATGTTTTTAGAACTTTAAGGACAGGCTTGTTTTTTTTAATATATTGGCACCAGTGTTATATTTTACCCCCATACGAGTGTGGCGTCATTTATGGAAGACACGTTAAGTTATGAAATAACTATATTTTGACAGTTAGATCCACATTTTGTGTAGAAGTGTTTTTGTTTTTCGTCATACTGTAGAGGATATAAACACTTGCTTATTTCCTCTCAAGTGTTACAGTTTGAGTATATATATATATATATATATATATATATATATATATATATATATATATATATATATATATATATATATATATATATATATCCTCAACCGGATTTAAAATAGGATAGGGTTTGAGCACGTCACGATTTGAGTTGGATAGGGATAAAATTTGGGCGTGTTGGATAGGGGTGGAGTTTGGGCGTGAAGATGACGTAGGCTTATAATCGTCACGAAACATTGCTGTCCCGTGTCCTGATATCTAATGTCATGTTATCACGATGTCCTGATGTCCTGATGTCCAGTTGTCTCATATCCTTTTGTCCAATGTCCCATTGTCTCATGTACTGTTCTGCAATGTCCTGTTGCCTCATGTCCTGTTGCCTCATGTCCTGTTGCCTCATGTCCTGTTGTCGAAATGTTCTAATGTCCTGTTGCCTCATGTCCTGTTGCCTCATGTCCTGTTGCCTCATGTCCTGTTGCCTCATGTCCTGTTCCCTCATGTCCTGTTGCCTCATGTCCTGTTGCCTCATGTCCTGTTGCCTCATGTCCTGTTGTCGAAATGTCCTTATGTCCTGTTGCCTCATGTCCTGTTGCCTCATGTCCTGTTGCCTCATGTCCTGTTGCCTTATGTCCTGTTCCCTCATGTCCTGTTGTCTCATGTCCTGTTGCCTCATGTCCTGTTGTCTCATGTCCTGTTGCCTCATGTCCTGTTGCCTTATGTCCTGTTGCCTCATATCCTGTTGCCTTAAGTCCTGTTGCCTCATGTCCTGTTGCCTCATGTCCTGTTGCCTTATGTCCTGTTGCCTCATGTCCTGTTGCCTTATGTCCTGTTGCCTTATGTCCTGTTGCCTCATGTCCTGTTGCCTCATGTCCTGTTGCCTCATGTCCTGTTGCCTTAAGTCCTGTTCCCTCATGTCCTGTTGCCTCATGTCCTGTTGCCTCATGTCCTGTTGCCTCATGTCCTGTTGCCTCATGTCCTGTTCCCTCATGTCCTGTTCCCTCATGTCCTGTTGCCTCATGTCCAGTTGCCTCATGTCCTGTTGCCTCATGTCCTGCTGCCTCATGTCCTGTTGCCTCATGTCCTGTTGCCTTAAGTCCTGTTCCCTCATGTCCTGTTCTCTCATGTCCTGTTGCCTCATGTCCTGTTCCCTCATGTCCTGTTCCCTCATGTCCAGTTGCCTCATGTCCTGTTGCCTCATGTCCTGTTGCCTCATGTCCTGTTGCCTCATGTCCTGTTGCCTCATGTCCTGTTCCCTCATGTCCTGTTGCCTCATGTCCTGTTGCCTCATGTCCTGTTGCCTCATGTCCTGTTGCCTCATGTCCTGTTGCCTCATGTCCTGTTGCCTCATGTCCTGTTCTCTCATGTCCTGTTGCCTCATGTCCTGTTCTCTTATGTCCTGTTCTCTCATGTCCTGTTGCCTCATGTCCTGTTGCTTCATGTCCTGCTGCCTCATGTCCAGACATGTTCAGCCACACGCCCAGAAGGAGGATGCAGCTTGTGGACATGGTCCAGATTGTCCGTGAGACGCTTGCAGAAGTCACGGACTCGGAGCAGAAGGAGCGCTACGACTTCGTCAACATGGTGGTGGACTGGGACTGGCTTCGTATAGTATATGGTAAGGTGGGAGTGGCGGTATACCATATATGGTAAAGTGGGAGTGGCGGTATACCATATATGGTAAGGTGGGAGTGGCTTCGTATCATATATGATTTAGTGAGAATGGCTGCATTTCATATATGGTAAATTGAGATTGGTTGCATGTTTTCGTATAACTACTAGTACACGCCACAGACAGTTTAGAGCACCCCACCCACCCACTTTTGTTTAGGTCAAACCATCTACACAAAAAAGTCCCAGCCAAAGATCCCCAACTCCAACATCCTGTATAAGGCCAGCTTCTCTAACCACACCCCCGAGGATAGGATGTACAACCTCAAGACACGCAGGAGGACCACCTCAGTCTGCAAGATGTGCTACACCCGGGCGCTCACCTTCGGCGGGGACATCAACATCACAGCCACGCCCCCCGGAATACCCGCAGGGGTCACCACAGGGTTCAAGGCCGGGAAGGAAATAAAGAAAGGTAATGGACTAGAACTGTCGACGTACCTGATCTGACTCATCTGAGTGTGTTTATGTTTCCTTGTCAGTCATAACTACCTTACATGTCATTGAGCCACCTGTTGACCTTCCACTGACCCACCTGCCACTGACCCACCTGCCACTGACCCACCTGCCACTGACCCACCTGCCACTGACCCACCTGCCACTGACCCACCTGCCACTGACCCACCTGCCACTGACCCACCTGCCACTGACTCACCTGTCACTCACCTACCTGGTGTACCTGCCACTGACCCACCTGCCACTGACCCACCTGTCACTGACCCACCTGATGTACCTGCCACTGACCCACCTGTCACTGACCCACCTGTCAATGACCCACCTGGTGTACCTGCCACTGACCCACCTGCCACTGACCCACCTGTCAATGACCCACCTGGTGTACCTGCCACTGACCCACCTGCCACTGACCCACCTGTCAATGACCCACCTGGTGTACCTGTCACTGACCCACCTGGTGTACCTGTCACTGACCCACCTGGTGTACCTGTCACTGACCCACCTGTTGTACATGTCACTGACCCACCTGTCACTGACCCACCTGTCACTGACCCACCTGCTGTACCTGTCACTGACCCACCTGTTGTACCTGTCACTGACCCACCTGCTGTACCTGTCACTGACCCACCTGTCACTGACCCACCTGTTGTACCTGTCACTGACCCACCTGGTGTACCTGTCACTGACCCACCTGGTGTACCTGTCACTGACCCACCTAGTGTACCTGTCAATGACCCACCTGTTGTACCTGTCACTGACCCACCTGTTGTACCTGTCACTGACCCACCTGGTGTACCTGTCACTGACCCACCTGGTGTACCTGTCACTGACCCACCTGCTGTACCTGTCACTGACCCACCTGCTGTACCTGTGACTGACCCACCTGTCACTGACCCACCTGGTGTACCTGTCACTGACCCACCTGTTGTACCTGTCACTGTCCCACCTGTTGTACCTGTCACTTACCCACCTGGTGTAACTGTCACTGACCCACCTGGTGTACCTGTCACTGACCCACCTGGTGTACCTGTCACTGACCCACCTGGTGTACCTGTCACTGACCCACCTGGTGTACCTGTCACTGACCCACCTGGTGTACCTGTCACTGACCCACCTGGTGTACCTGTCACTGACCCACCTGTTGTACCTGTCACTGACCCAACTGTTGTACCTGTCACTGACCCACCTGGTGTACCTGTCACTGACCCACCTGTTGTACCTGTCACTGACCCACCTGGTGTACCTGTCACTGACCCACCTGGTGTACCTGTCACTGACCCACCTGGTGTACCTGTCACTGACCCACCTGTTGTACCTGTCACTGACCCACCTGGTGTACCTGTCACTGACCCACCTGTCACTGACCCACCTGGTGTACCTGTCACTGACCCACCTGTTGTACCTGTCACTGACCCACCTGTTGTACCTGTCACTGACCCACCTGGTGTACCTGTCACTGACCCACCTGGTGTACCTGTCACTGACCCACCTGGTGTACCTGTCACTGACCCACCTGGTGTACCTGTCACTGACCCACCTGTTGTACCTGTCACTGACCCACCTGGTGTACCTGTCACTGACCCACCTGTTGTACCTGTCACTGACCCACCTGGTGTACCTGTCACTGACCCACCTGGTGTACCTGTCACTGACCCACCTGGTGTACCTGTCACTGACCCACCTGGTGTACCTGTCACTGACCCACCTGTTGTACCTGTCACTGACCCACCTGGTGTACCTGTCACTGACCCACCTGGTGTACCTGTCACTGACCCACCTGGTGTACCTGTCACTTAGCCACCTGTCAATGACCCACCTGTTGTACCTGTCACTGACAAACCTGTAAATGACCCACCTGTCATTGATCCACCTGTCAATGACCCACCTGTTGTACCTCTCAACAGGAAACGTAGTGACCAGCGAGCAGGAGCTCACCTGGATTGTAAACAGTGACATCAGCGTCAAGCCCAATCACATGATCACGGCGGAAGTCAAGATCCTGGAGGAAGAGTTTGCCGGCGACTTCGAGCTCACAGTTTGGTTTGAAGGATTAGTAAGTAGGTCACAGCATCTTAATGTTTTGGTTTGAAGGAAGAGTAAGTAGGTCACACCATCTTAATGTTTTGGTTTGAAGGAATAGTAAGTAGGTCACACCATCTTAATGTTTTGGTTTGAAGGATTAGTAAGCAGGTCACATCATCTTAATGTTTTGGTTTGAAGATTAGTAAGTAGGTCACATCATCTTAATGTTTTGGTTTGAAGGATCAATAAGTAGGTCACACAATCTTTATGTTCAGATTACAATATACCAACGACAAGGCGGGTCTTTGTTATTGTTCTTTATGTGTTTTGGATAAATTGGACGCATGAACCAGGTGATGTCTAATGCCCACACATCAGTCACGTGATGTCTAATGCCCATACATCAGTCAGGTGATGTCTAATGCCCACACATCAGTCAGGTCATGTCTAATGCCCACACGTCAGTCAGGTCATGTCTAATGCCCACACATCAGTCAGGTGATGTCTAATGCCCACACATCAACCAGGTGATGTCTAATGCCCACACATCAACCAGGTGATGTCTAATGCCCACACATCAACCAGTTGATGTCTAATGTCCACACATCAACCAGGTGATGTCTAATGCCCACACATCAACCAGGTGATGTCTAATGCCCACACATCAACCAGGTGATGTCTAATGCCCACACATCAATCAGGTGATGTCTAATGCCCACACATCAGTCAGGTGATGTCTAATGCCCACACACCAGCCAGGTGATGTCTAATGCCCACACACCAGTCAGGTGATGTTTACCCCCACAGGTGATTGCCTACCCGCGGCGGAAACAAAAAGACAAAATTGAGAAATTCCAGGAGAAGATGGCCAAAAGCTTCCTGCCCAAGTCCTACCTGGAGAAGTACAAGGAGGACGGCACGACCATCGCGCTGACCGCCGCCAACATGTTCACGCCGGCCCGTGGGTTCACCCTCGACCGCAATGACCGTCCGGAGTTACCGATCAAGGGGTCAACCAAGTGCAAGTTTGGGCTCGAGCAAGTCGTCACCCTCGAAGAACTACCCGCCCCTACACCCGCACCCCACACCACCCCCTTCCAAACCAAATAGACACAGAACTACCCACCCCTACACCCACACCCCACACCACCCCCTTCCAAACCAAATAGACACAGAACTACCCACCCCTACACCCACACCCCACACCACCCCCTTCCAAACCAAATAGACACAGAACTACCCGCCCCTACACCCCCACCCCACCCCTTCCAATCCTAATAAACACGGAACTACCCGCCCCTACACCCACACCCCACCCCACCCCCTTCCAATCCTAATAAACACAGAACTACCCGACCCTACACCCCCACCCCACCCCTTCCAATCCTAATAAACACAGAACTACCCGCCCCTACACCCACACCCCACCCCACCCCCTTCCAATCCTAATAAACACAGAACTACCCGCCCCTACACCCACACCCCACCCCCTTCCAATCCTAATAAACACAGAACTACCCGCCCCTACACCCACACTCCACACCAACCCCTTCCAATCCTAATAAACACAGAACTACCCGACCCTACACCCCCACCCCACCCCTTCCAATCCTAATAAACACAGAACTACCCGCCCCTACACCCACACCCCACCCCACCCCCTTCCAATCCTAATAAACACAGAACTACCCGCCCCTACACCCACACCCCACCCCCTTCCAATCCTAATAAACACAGAACTACCCGCCCCTACACCCACACTCCACACCAACCCCTTCCAATCCTAATAAACACAGAACTACCCTCGCATACAGCCACACCCCTCCCACTCCCAATCCAAATAAACAGAGCTCTAGCTCCCGGGAGGGGGGGGGGTGGTCAACAGACGATCATCGCTCCCACCCCCCGTGTGATCAACGTACCCAAAGTCCCTCCCTCCCCCAACCAATGTTGTTTAGTTTAAAGTTGAGTTCTGTTCCCTTTCCCTGGATGGGGTGTAGCTTTGTATTTATCTATTGACAGCAATGTCAAGCTATTTACGACACTAGTTACATAGTTATCGCATTGTAAATGTTATGTGAAAATTATCCAATTTGTTAATGCAAGAATGTTCTTATTGAAATGGAGTTTGAACAGCGGTATTACAGATTATGTTATTATTTTTCATGTTTTTGCTAAAATTAAACATTCTATTTTTAGTGTTACCAGAGGCGTAACCCGGGTACAAACTTTCGATTTGCACCCCCCCCCCCTCAACCTTTCGATTTGCAACCCCTTGCCTCCCCCCTCAAGATTTCGATTTGCACCCCTCCCAAGATTTCGATTTGCACCCCCCCCCCAAGATTTCGATTTGCACCCCCCCCCAAGATTTCGATTTGCACCCCCCCCCAAGATTTCGATTTTCACCCCCCCCCCCAGGATTTCGACTTGCACCCCCCCCCTCAAGATTTCGATTTGCACCCCCCCCCAAGATTTCGATTTGCACCCCCCCCCCCAAGATTTCGATTTGCACCCCCCCCCCAAGATTTCGATTTGCACCCCCCCCCCCCAAGATTACGATTTGCACCCCCCCCCCCAAGATTTCGATTTGCACCCCCCCTCCAAGATTTCGATTTGCACCCCCCCCCTCCAAGATTTCGATTTGCACCCCCCGCCCCAAGATTTCGATTTGCACCCCCCCCCAAGATTTCGATTTGCACCCCCCCCCCAAGATTTCGATTTGCACACCCCCTCAAGCTTTAAATTTGCATCCTCCCCTCAAGCTTTCAATTTATTTCTCCAACCCAGGGACATATGCCCCCCCCGCCCCCCTCGCTACGCCTCTGAGTGTTACTGATTACTTGACAACTAACTTTGGTCGGTCAATGGAAATGACAAATTAACGTGACCTGGGATAAATGTATAAAATTTGGTCTACCTAACTGACACGTTATTTGAATGATCAGTATTTTAAAAACCAGAAGTACAGTACCACTTTCGATTAGCGGAGGTTGCTAAAAAGTGATCCAGTAATAAAACCTTATACTTTAAATGAAATTTCGTCATCTTAACTGAAACAATACACAAGTTACCGCCTTCCCACAAAAATAAAGTAAAATACCACTTCCGGTAACCGGAAATCGTTAAAAAAATATGCGTATACAATGTGATATTTATGGGACGGAGTTGTCTAGCAGTAGAGAGCTGGACTGCTAACCTGTAAGTATCGAGTTCGAATCCGGGTTCAAGTCAGTAGACCGTCCCTGAGTCCACCCAACTCAGGTTAGGGAAAGTAAAAGCGGCTGGGCATAGTGCTGACCACACTATCTCTTCATATGCCGAGGCCACAGAAACAAGTGAACTCTACTTCACCTGCCCAATAGACCGTCAGGTTTGATTGGGAACTTTACTTTTTAAATTATTAATGTGATATTTATACTTTAAACGCTACTCAAGTTATTGGCTTTTCAGAAACAGGAATCATAGTAAATACCACTTTCGGCTACCAGAAATCGTTCAAAAGTTGATACAGAACTGTAAATATGATATATTTGTTAACATTTCGCCAACATAACTGAAAATGCTTTAAACTTGTGTTTACAGACACAGACATACAGACATAGGGAGTTTTAAAACGTCGAAATTTGTGAAAATCTCGATTTCGATTACAATACTTCATCTCTACTTTTTAGGCTATACGAGAAAGTAAAAAAATAAAATTTAATAAAGGAAAATACAGCAGCACTTAAGAGCACTGAAATAAAACGTGCGACCCAGTGTATTTTTGATGTAACCAACCATAAGATTGGTAATCATTTGCCAGTGTTTAAATTTGTCTAAACTGTTTTTCGACAGCATTCACAACTGGAAGTTTATTTTTGTCTTTTTTGTTAGAGCAATTCACGTGCACTGTTGGTCAGTTTAACGATCGTTGATATGATGTATCAAGAATGGGTAATCTAGATCAAGATTAGATCAAGTTTTTTTTCTATTATTCTCTGAGTAGTTTGATATTCTCTCAAGTAATTTTTATGGGATGCACGTAAAGTAGTAAACTCTAGATTCAAGCTAAATCTAGTTTCGAGCTAGATCTAGACTTGATCTAAATCCAGTGATGCTGGACCATTTTGTTGTAGCACTACATCTTGTTGTAGCCCCGCTCCCATCATTTTGTTGTGGCCCCAACATTTTGCATTAGCCCCCCCCCCCACCCCCCCCCCCCCCCCCGTAAACCATTTTGCTGTAAAGACCGACAGAAGATAGATGGTTTGATCACACAACGTTTCAGTGAATTAACAAACACGTGTCATACTTTGTGTCCATTATTTGTTTCAGACCAGTTGTTACTTGCCAGAGGTCAGCCCTAGACCACGTGACTGCCAGAGGTCAGTCCTAGACCACGTGACTGCCAGAGACTAGACCACGTGACTGCCAGAGACTAGACCACGTGACTGCCAGAGGTCAGCCCTAGACCACGTGACCGCCAGAGGTCAGCCCTAGACCACGTGACCACCAGTGTTGAGATGAAGAAATCTAAGCACATCAACATTGAACAGATCACGCTAGACAAGATCAACGCCACGTGGGACGACAACATCAAACGGCGTCACGATCTGAAGAACGTGCGATTTGATTGGACGTTTTTGCACGTGACATACAGTACGTTACGTTACTCCACACAATTTTCGCATTCTTTACACTTGTTTACAGACAAACATACGTTCCACCACCCCCCCCCCCCCCCGCTCTTAATGTACCACCTGTCTAACAAGTCAAATAACACACGTGTTTTAGGTTAATCTCAATAGTTCGCTGTTTTCTGTAATAGCCTAGATTTATAGGTGACCGGACTAAGGTTCAGAGTTTCTTTCAGACATTTTTCTCCGGGGTGGGGGGATAAAGGGGGGGGCACTGGTTGAAGTATATATTTTCTATATAAATTCTTTATCATTCGGGGGAGTGGACATGCCCTTCCCCCCACCTCACCTCGAACAGCTGCATGAAAGAAACTCTGTTGACGATAGAAAACAGTAGCAGGTTACTCTTCTCGTCCTTGAACTTGTCAGCTAGTATTTTTCGATCCAAATGTGAATATTTTTATTCAATTGGAAAAAAAATATAGAAAAGTTACTTTACAATTGTGATTTTCTTAAAGCAGCTTACAGTTTTTTTTATTATTAATTCGAAATTCCAAAACTTAGTTAAAATATTAATATAATAATAATAATAGCCGAGGTCTATCGGTGATTAAATGGATACTGTTTTTAGTAAAAAAAATGTTGCATTTCGGTTACTTTTGATATTTTGAACTCTTGAAACGAGGCCTAGAAAAAAAAAGCCACCATGGTTTTTGTTATCAATGGGGATCATGTTCACAACATTTAAACATCTCTCTCACTGGTCAGTGAGATTTCAAATCGTGAGAGAGAGAGAGAGAGAGAGCGAGACTTACAACCCCTATATATAATACAGTGCCGTTCATAGTTTATTGGTACTGTCATCACCCCATTACATTTCCCAAGGAACATAATTTTGGTCAATTTATATATATACACACACACATACACAAACATGTACACATATCTGTAGCCCCCGTCAAGTACATCAAACAAAGCGCCCCACAGCTGCCGACCTCCAATGTCCTGTACACGGCCTACATCAGCAACAAATGTCCTGAGATGAAGCACTTCTGTGTGAGGACCAAGAGGACCACCATATCCACGTGTGTGCTCACGTACGGGGACTACCTCTCGTACAACAACGAGATCTCGGCGCCCAATGAACCGCCTGGTGGTGACATCATATCGGCTGCTTTCAAGACAGAGAAAACACAGCAGCAAGGTCAGTCCCCACCCCTAAATCTGTAATGTCCCCACCCCCACATATATCATGTCCCCACCCCACCATCTGTAATGTCCCCACCCCTACATCTGCAATGTCCCCACCCCACCATCTGCAATGTCCCCACCCCTACACCTGTAATGTCCCCACCCCTACACCTGTAATGTCCCCACCCCTACATCTGTAATGTCCCCACCCCTACATATGTGATGTCCTCACCCCTACATATGTAATATCCCCCCTACACATATAATGTCCCCACCCCTACATCTGTAATGTCCCCACCCCACCATCTGCAATGTTCCCACCCCTACACCTGTAATGTCCCCACCCCTACATATGTGATGTCCTCACCCCTACATATGTAATGTCCCCACCCCCACTCCTGTAATGTCCCCACCCCCACATATATAATGTCCTCACCCCTACATATGTAATAATCTCCCTACACATGTAATGTCCCCACCCCTACATCTGTAATGTCCCCACCCTTACATCTGTGATGTCCCCACCCACAGGTAACAAGGTAATCAGCGAGCAGGAAATGACCTGGGCTATTGACACCACCGTCGCCATCCCGCCCTACAACTGGAGCAAGGTGGACATGACCATATTAGAGGAGAGCTTTAACGGCCGTTTTGAAACGACTGCCACTTTTGAGGGGATGGTAGGTCGTGACAACTGTCGCCGTCATGACTGGCACATGACTGATGCGAATGACTGACACTGGCACTCATGACTGCAAAATATAACGAACACCACTGACTCAAATAGATGACACCATCACCACCGACACACCCGATTTACAGCTACCACTGACAGCTACCACTGACAGCCACCACTGACAGCCACCACTGACAGCTACCACTGACAGCTACCACTGACAGCTACCACTGACAGCTACCACTGACAGCTACCACTGACAGCTACCACTGACAGCTACCACTGACAGCTACCACTGACAGCTACCACTGACAGCCACCACTGACAGCCACCACTGACAGCCACCACTGACAGCCACCACTGACAGCTACCACTGACAGCTACCACTGACAGCTACCACTGACAGCTACCACTGACAGCCACCACTGACAGCTACCACTGACAGCCACCACTGACAGCTACCACTGACAGCATGACACGAATTGCTGACCACCGCGGCGAACACGTGTGACTAGCGCTACGCCTGGCAGCTTCAAGAGACACTGACACTTTTAGCTGACACTACGACTGACAACTGACGGACAAGCTGACTGCCAGCACTGACTAGCCTTGCTCACGTGCAGGTGCAAGCCTGGGTGAAGAAGACCAAAGACAGAAAGAGATACCACTTCACCAGCAAGGGCATGATCGAGGAGCGACCCCTGCTGCCCGTGGAGGACGGCGGTGAGACCCCCGTCGAGTTCTCCGTGGAGGAGCTGCTGACCCCCGATCTTGGGTTCACCCTGGTCAAGAAGAAGCCGACGTTCCTGATCAAGGGCGAGTGTAAGTGTCGTTACGGCGTGGAGCAGGAGGTCGTCGTGACGGAGTTCGACTCGCCGTTCCTCATGTCTGGAAAGTGTGACGTGGAGATCACCCGCTTCTGACGTCAGACAAGCGGATATGGCGTCACACGGGGATAAAACGTCATAAGTGATAGTATGGCGATCGGCAGACGCAGCTGCTTGACGTCCAACAGAGTTGCCCCGAACACCGGGTGCGTTACTGTGACGTCAACGTTGTGACGTCAGACACATTAAGGACTATTGATCATTTTATGATTCGCAATTTAGGTGATATTAATAATGGTTTGTTACTGTGTATTATTTTATTGTGTACCATGTTTTTGATGGATATAAATAGTTAGTTCAATAATTATTTAATAACTAATTAGTTCAGTAATTAAAAAACGTCATCAGTTAACCAAAAAATAAATGTGTACACACCAAACAAATTTGGTCTGACCTTTGTGAACTTACGAATAATTAAAGTTGTTCTCCGTTAAATTATCTAGAAAAAAATTCATAAAAAACGTTTTAATAACAAGCTTTTATGTAATGATGCACTAAAAAGTAGAAAATAAATTATAGACTACTATTTAAATAACTATAAAGAAAAGCGTGGGTCACTTTAGTATCTATTGGATACCTTTACTAATGTTAAGGAAGACACCCACGCTTTTCTTTATAGTTATTTAAATAGTAGTCTATAATTTATTCTCTACTTTTTAGTGCATCATTACATAAAAGCTTGTTATTAAAACGTTTTTTATGAATTTTTTTTTCAGTACTTTACATGTTTTATTTACAATAGAGTTACATGACTAAAAACCATTGCGCGCCTACTGAACATCACGTTCAGTAGGCGCGCAATGGTTTTTGAACGCAGCCATTACGTGATGGCGCAGCTATTGAAGGTGATGACGCGTGTGGTGTGGTTGGCTAGACATGCCTACTAATTCGGTCCAAATTTTTATTAATTCATAAAAAATTAATTAGGCATCCAATTAAGTCAAATTTAGTTTCAGATTGCATTGTCTTCATGTCTTGACCCACGTGCCAACTGTGAATCGTGTCGGTCAAGTAGAACTGTCCGAATTTTCACTCCTGCGTTTCCGTCTAGACAGACAGACAGACAGAGGAAGTGAGTTAAATAAAAGCTTGTAAAAACACGATGTTTTTTACAGACTTTTTCTTTTATCCGAATTGAGTGCGACTTACTTGCTTGTGGTGTTGATGTGGAACTAAACTTGCTTGTGGTGTTGATGTGGAACTAAACTTGCTTGTGGTGTAGATGTGCACCTAAACATTTTTTTTATAAAACTGTGTGTACGTGTAATAGGAAGGGGGGCGTGGTTTCGAGGTAGAACGCTTGACTGCTGAGCCAGAAGTCTCGTAGTTCGGGTCTTGGATTCCCAGGAGTCAGCCTACTAAGTTTTAATGGTTATGGAGAGAAAAGCTGGTTGAGCAAGGTGCCAACCATCACGTCATATGCCCCATTCAACTCTACTTCATCTGCACTATATGTCGCCAGGACCGAAAGGGGAACCTCAGAGAAGTGCATTTCAGAAGTCAACACAACAATATCAACATTACTGTGTAATTAGAACCGTGATAAGGGGAGATGCTAAAAATAATCTCAAGCGATTGTTTGATTAGCCTCTTCACAACCGTGAACTGTCACGGACCATTGGTTTCCACGGACATTGGTTAACCATCGCGAACTACAGATCGGGTTTAAAGCAAATATTTTTTAGTCGCATGTGGTCTCGATTTCATTCAGTTTTAACGTCCAATGACAAAAAGGAGAAAATAAAACAAATATAAAAAAAGCTTTGGGATATGCAAATAAAGCTTACTTTAATAAAAACATTGACCGCACGTTTAAAAAAAAATCTCTTAACTTTTACTTCATTCAAAACATTGTTATGGTTAGTGGGCTATTTCATAGTTGAAACCAGGCCTAACACAATTTAAAACACAGTTCAAATGTAATAATCCTATATAATTTTCAAATACAACAGAGAAACAGTGAACATTGACGCAAAACACTGACTACATGCTACCCTAAGTTGACGATACCACACACTGCTTACACACTAGAGTTCACACACTTGTCAGGGGAGGTGACTCTCACCCCCAAATTCTCCGTGCCTACACGCTTTCGCTATGAACATCTAGGCCACGTCACACCTCCCCCCTAAAAAAAAGAGGTTTCTTATTTTTCCTTAAATTAAACAGCATTTCTAAGGTCTATCCTGCACAACTACTTAACATGTACAGTAAAAATTTTAACAAAATATTTATCTGACCTTTTACATGCTTTAAATCTCCCTATAAATAAATGATGGCGAGTAAAAAATTATATATCTACAGTAAAATGTTGGACGTACGCATGAATTAACTACTTATAGCTTTATACGTCTAGTCTATAAGTCAACAAGGTTTTTAAAAAAACATTTGTCATCAATAAAGCATTTGAATTGAATTACAATACAGCAGAACAATGTTACTTCCCTTTCGTTTTCTGAAGTGAGATATGTTGAAATAAATCTAGTCAATGATGGCAATGCAAACTAGAAGCTATTCATATAATACAAGTTCGTACACCACTCTAATTTTGGTACAGTCTTTGGCTCTGGATGTCGATCTGGATCTCGCTCTGGCTTTGGCTCTGGCTCTCGCTCTGGCTCTGGGTTTTGGCTCTGGCTTTGGCTCTGGCTTTGGCTCTGGCTCTGGTTTTGGCTCTGGTTTTGGCTCCGGCTCTGGCTTTGGCTCTGGCTCTGGTTTCGGCTCTGGCTCTGGTTTTGGCTCTGGCTCTGGTTGTGGCTCTGGCTCTGGTTTTGGCTCTGGCACGGGCTCTGGCACGGGCTCTGGCACGGGCTCTGGCACGGGCTCTGGCTCTGACTTTGGCTCTGGCACTGGCTCTGGCACTGGCTCTGGCACTGGCTCTGGCACTGGCTCTGGCACTGGCTCTGGCACTGACGTTGGCTCTGGCTCTTCTGCTCAGCTCTGGCTCTGGAGTCCAAACATTTTTGTTTCGATCCTGCTATCTTGACATCACAGTCTTTAACTATAATTAAAGTCTCATTAGTATCTTTAAAAAGACTATGAACTTGATACTGGATTAAAGTTACCTTCTGCTCAGCTGCCCTTGACCTAGTTCTCCACTCTGTTGACTTGTTGCCTAGATTGCGTGTCTGGTTGACTAGGTCTTCTGTAAGTGGGACAGTAGCTAGAGCTTTCATGTTGGTGACGACGCAATGATTTGCTTCTGATGTGCTCAAGGACTGAGATGCTAATATTGTAGCTCTAAAATTTGATAACTTACTTGCTATGCTAATGTAGTCCACTTTGTAGCTAGCAAGTTCTCTCAACTTCTCTCCTAGCTTTATCACTGTATTTTGAATGTCATTATTTATGGCCATGATGTCTGCAGCACTGTTCACAAGTTTTGTGGCTGTTGATACGAAGTCTTTTCACGTCGGCGATGACTGCTGTCGTTAATACAAGATGTTTTCTAGTCGGCTGTAACGCTGCCGTTAATACTAGATAGTTTCTAGTCGGCTGTAACGATGCCGTTAATACTAGAAATTTTCCCGTCGGTTGTGACACTGGCGTTGATACTAGAAATTTTCCAGTCGGTTGTGACGCTGCCGTTGATACTAGACACTTCCCAGTCGGCTGTAACGATGCCGTTAATACTAGATGTTTTCTAGTCGGCTGTAACGCTGCCGTTAATACTAGAAAGTTTCTAGTCGGTTGTGACGCTGCTGTTGACACTCGATATTTTCATGTCGGCTCTAACGCTGCTGTTGATACTGGATATTTTCCTTTTTGTCTAGGGGTAAAACTTCTCAAAAATCTTGTTGTTTCAAATCCCGGACGAGCCCCCACTTGTTATGCTTAAATCCAGGACGAGCCCTCACTTGTTATGGTTAGTGGGCTATTTCATAGTTGAAACCAGGCCTAACACAATTTAAAACACAGTTCAAATGTAATAATCCTATATAATTTTCAAATACAACAGAGAAACAGTGAACATTGACGCAAAACACTGACTACATGCTACCCTAAGTTGACGATACCACACACTGCTTACACACTAGAGTTCACACACTTGTCAGGGGAGGTGACTCTCACCCCCAAATTCTCCGTGCCTACACGCTTTCGCTATGAACATCTAGGCCACGTCACAACATTATTATTATAGTATTTTTTAAAATCTTTGATTAACGCGAACTAGGCTAATTTATAAGAAGTAAAAAAAAAACTAAAAATGCATTAAATTAAATAAGTTATAATAACATTGGTCAGTCAAGAAATGTTTAATAAACATTTTACAGGTGATCTCTTTTACTATGGTAGCTGCAAGGATTTACAGTGTTGAACGGTTTGTTATGTTTTAGTGCATTGACCAGCCTATTAGTAGAGACTTTATATACACATTTCACACCATAAATTCATGCGGGTCAAACCCTCGCACGTTTGAGCACATATAGTGAACTCATGCGACAAGAATAGTTGGAATTAAAAGCAAGTTTAAACTGAAACTAGATCAGCTTCTAGAGGTAAGTGAAGTCACATTGAGCTTTCTCTAGAACCATTAAAATTTGATTGGCAACAACTTTAACATTCTAAATCATTTTTGAATTGATACAAGTTTGTTAGAAATCTTTTGACTAGATCTACATCTAGATCTAACTGATCTAGATCTAGATCTAGAGTAAAATAGGAAATCTCTAGATTCTAGTTAGATTTCTACAAGTTGAACTAAACGCCAACAATTTGATATTCGACAGTTACCAACATTTTGATATTTGACAGATCTACCAACATTTTGATAATCGACAGTTACCAACATTTTGATATTTGACAGTTACCAACATTTTGACAACTGTTTTGACACCAAGATGCTGTAAGTTACTTGATGAAATGACAAACGTCGACAAGACGCTTGAATTATTTTGTTTAGCTAGTTTAGTCACCATGGCTAGTTTAGTCACCATGGCTAGTTTAGTCACCATGGCTAGTTTAGTCACCATGGCTAGTTTAGTCACCATGGCTAGTTTAGTCACCATGGCTAGTTTAGTCACCATGGTAAGTTAGTCACCTTGGCTAGTTTAGTCACCATGGCTAGTTTAGTCACCATGGCTAGTTTAGTCACCATGGCTAGTTTAGTCACCATGGCTAGTTTAGTCACCATGGCTAGTTTAGTCACCATGGCTAGTTTAGTCACCTATGCTAGTTTAGCCACCTTTGCTAGTTTAGTCACCCTAGCCCTTGTCAAGTCCTAGCAGAGGCGTAGCGAGGGGGGGGGCAGGGGGTACATATGTCCCCGGGCGCCGACCTTAGGGGGCGCCAAAATGGGTTGTAAAAACAAATTAAAATGTCATTTTAGCTGCATTTTTGCAATATGAGGGGGGGTGTGAAAATCGAAAGTTTGGGGAGGGGGAGGTGCAAATCGAAAATCTGAAGGGGGGGGGGTGCAAATCGAAAATTTGCTCCCGAGGGGGGCGCCAAATTGAAAGTTTGTACCCTGGCGCCGGGAAGGGTCGCTACGCCTCTGAGTCCTAGTCACGTGCCAAACGCTTAAACACTGACGTGTATTGCAGAAATATGACTGACATGACACCCCGACACTGACATGACACCCTGACACGACATGACACCCCGACATGACACGACACCAGGACAATGACATGTCGACGCTGACATGCTACTACAAACCTGAAATTACACTCCAACACGAGTAAGTGACCTTGGCCGTGGTGTGCTGACTGGATAAGTGACCTTGGCCCTGGTGTGTTGACTGGATAAGTGACCTTGGCCCTGGTGTGTTGACTGGATAAGTGACCTTGGCCCTGGTGTGTAGACTGGATAAGTGACCTTGGTCCTGGTGTGTAGACTGGATAAGTGACCTTGACCCTGGTGTGTTGACTGGATAAGTGACCTTGACCCTGGTGTGTTCCAGGATGCCTACAAGCAAACACCGCCGCAATGTTGTGGACATCACCAAGCTGGTCCGGCACCATTTTACCGAGTTCCTTGACCACGAGCAGAGGCGGCACGCGGACCTCAAGAAACCTGTCATCTTGTGGAACCTGATGAGGGTCAAATACAGTACGTGCTTGCTGTGTGTGGGTGTGGCGGTCATCTAGATGTGTGGGGCTGTCATCTAGGTGTATGGGGCTGTCATCTAGGTGTGTGGGGCTGTCATCTAGGTGTGTGGGGCTGTCATCTAGGTGTGTGGGGCTGTCATCTAGGTGTGTGGGGCAGGTGGATGTGTGGCTGTCATCTATGTGTGTGGGGATGTCATCTAGGTGTGTGTGGCTGTCGTCTACGTGTGGGTGTCACTTAGGTGTGAAGATCACTTTGTGAATGTGACACGCTAATACATTTTGTATTATCAACTATAAGTCCATGCACTGTTAAGTTAGCTTATCTTTGCCCAATTATGTGGTCGCCTACAGGTCATGCCCTAGTCACCTTTAGGTCACGCTGTTGTCACCTTTAGGTCACGCTGATGTCACCTTTAGGTCACGATGTTGTCACCTTAAGGTCACGCTGTTGTGTCACCTTTAGGTCACGCTGCTGTCACCTTTAGGTCACGCTGTTGTGTCACCTTTAGGTCCATGTGTTGTCACCCTTAGGTCCCACCAAGTACACCCGACGCGACACCCCCAAGATGCCCAACACGAATGTGTTGTTTACCGCGACCTTTGACAACATGACCACCTCAGCCCAGACCTACAAGCTCCGCACCAAGAGGATGACCACATCGACGTCAGAGATCAACCTCGGCAAGATCTTCACCTACAGCGGCAACGTCGAACTGGACATCAAGGCGCCGGACTCAGTGGTCAAGGCAAATGGGGGGCTCAAGGCTGAAGTCAGGACAGAGAAAAGTAAATATGTCCAGTAGTTGTAGAGGGGGGGGGGGGGGGCTCAAGGCTGAAGTCAGGACAGAGAAAAGTAAATATGTCCAGTAGTTGTAGAGGGGGGGGGGGGGGGGCTCAAGGCTGAAGTCAGGACAGAGAAAAGTAAATATGTCCAGTAGTTGTAGAGGGGGGGGGGGGCTCAAGGCTGAAGTCAGGACAGAGAAAAGTAAATATGTCCAGTAGTTGTAGAGGGGGGGGGGGCTCAAGGCTGAAGTCAGGACAGAGAAAAGTAAATATGTCCAGTAGTTGTAGAGGGGGGGGGGCTCAAGGCTGAAGTCAGGACAGAGAAAAGTAAATATGTCAAAAAGTTGTAGAGGGGGGGGGGGCTCAAGGCTGAAGTCAGGACAGAGAAAAGTAAATATGTCCAGTAGTTGTAGGGGGGGGGGGGGCTCAAGGCTGAAGTCAGGACAGAGAAAAGTAAATATGTCCAGTAGTTGTAGAGGGAGGATGGGGGGGGGGGGGGAATCTCAAGGCTGATGTATTATACGACCTATCACAAACGTGTTGTCTGACAGATTTGTTGTCTGACAGATGTGCTATATGACAAATGTGTTGTCTACAGACGTGTCGTATGTTAGACGTGTCGTATGTTAGACGTGTTGTCTGACAGACGTGTCGTATGACAGACGTGTCGTATGACAGACGTGTCGTATGACAGACGTGTCGTATGACAGGCGTGTCGTATGACAGATGAGTTGTCTGACGTGTCGTATGACAGACGTGTCGTCTGACAGACGTGTCGTCTGACAGACGTATCGTATGACAGACGTGTCGTATGACAGACGTGTCGTATGACAGGCACCAAGGCTATCACCGAGCACGAGCTGATCTGGCGACTGGACACCAGACTGGAGGTCGAGCCGGGCCACTCCATCAGGGTCGAGATGGTCGTCCAGGAGGACATGTACGACGGGGACTTTGAGATGCTCACCACCTTCGATGGCGTGGTAAGTCTTGGTCACTAGCTGGTCAGTAGCTGGGCTGTGGTCAGTAACTGGTCAGTGGGTTGTAGCTAGGCTGTGGTCAGTAGCTGGTCACTAGCTGGGCTGTGGGTGGTAGCTGGGCTGTGGTCAATAGCTGGTCACTAGCTGGTCAGTAGCTGGTCATTGGGTGATGGCTGGTCAGTGTGTAGTGGCTAGTTTGTTTGTTTTGTTTTGATATATCACGTAGTCATTAGATCTGCTTCATATTAAACGTGTTTTGGTCACGCTGCGTTAAAATCCTGCATGATGTCACTTCCGGTCAGGTGATTGTCACGTATTACGACAAGAAAAACAATGAGGTCATCGACTCTTTCCAGGACGTGGTCAGCTCCATATTCACGCCGGACAAAGGATTCCTCATGGACAGCCGGAACCGGCCGACCTTCCTGGTCAAGGGCAGGTGCAAGTGTCGCTACGGCGTGGAGCAGTTCGTCCGGGTCAGGGAGAGCAACGTGCCCAGAAGGGAATTTGATCAGCTGGTCTTTAGCTAGGTCACGTGGTACTCTGGGTATCACGTGTGGGTCTCGCTGTTCACCGAATGTTTCTTTTGATCACGGTTAGATTTTTGTAGTTTCCAATGTGTATTTTGATTAGAAAAAATAAATAAAAAGATTTTTGTAGATTTGTGTTTTATGTCAATCTCTCGCTTGTGCTTGACGTCATGAAACTTTCGTTTAACTCTAGTCTCGTCCTTCTCGCGTCAAAGTAAGGACAGAACCAGAAAAACACCTGAACACGTACACATTAAAACCAGAGTTTCTTCCAGGCATCTCAACCCCCCCCCCCCTCCCCCGAACGAAATGGAATTTACATAGAAAACATAATTTTACCAGTGTCCGCCCCCCCCCCATCTCGGAGAATAAAGTCCGCAAGAAACACTGAAACACCTGAACACATAGACAGTGAAACACTGGGGAGGTGTGGGTGAGCACATAATGTAACTCAATCTAAGCAGACTGTGAACCGGCATGATCATGAAGCAGTTAACAATGAACCAGTTCAAATAAAAAATGGAACTGGTTTATGGGCATCAACAAAGCTAGCCCTTCCCGGGGACAAACTTTCAAATTGCACCCCCCCCCCTTCAAACTTTCGATTTGCACCCCCCCCCCCTCAAGTTTTTCTCTCTATATATTTTGCTATTTTTTGCCTTGGTGTCACCCCCCTAAATGGTGTCACCCGGTGCGCTCCGCACCCCCCGCTACGCCCCTGGATATCACACATCAACAAAGCTAGCCAGTACTTGATATCAAACATCAACGAAGCTGGCTGAAGTTTAAGAAGCAGTTAATACCATATCAATTCTTTGTAAGCTTTACTAACAAAAAGTTTAGGTTTACCTGATACCGTGTCGACATAGCTTTGTTTTTATCTGCTATTGTAGAGGCGAGACCTGTCTAGCCTAGTTTTATCTGCCCGTGCTTAGCGTCTGTCGCGAAAGCTTGTCAACAACATTCGTGAACTGTAGCTCACCTGACTGATTTGACCAATCGCTACTAGGTTTACATAATCAATTGCTCTTATATAAACAAACGGACTGTAGGACATCAGAAAGAGCTTGTACAACAGTAAAAAGCATATATATAACAGCACACATTGCACGTTGTAACACACCATCACTTACCTTTACACAGCACACAATAGCATTAGCAAATCAGAGCACATTTGTTTCAGCCTTTCACATGAGCAGACACGGCATCTTCTCACACCAGCAAACATACATTTAACAAAGATAAAAACAAAGGGGACGGTGAAAACAAAGCACACACGTTGTTAAATTTCACGCCTCAATAGATCAAATATTTTGCACAACTTTTCAAATAAAAGCTGGCACATTTTAGCACCATTTACGAACGACTAAAATAAAATAGCGTTAGAACGAATGCAAGGTACAGTCATACACAAATGCACAAGTTAGAGAACTTCATTAGAGAAAGCTTAATTTTTTACGATTGGTAAAACAAATATTTTACATTAAATCTTTTTACACTAAATCTTGATAATTAATTAATTATGTTTATTTATCTCCGAAATAATTTTCCCAGTGATCAAGGTTTGACTAGATTAATTTATCTAGAAATTAAATCTAGATTTCTAAATGCAATTTCTAGTTCTAGGACCTATCTAGGTCTAAGGGACGAGATGAACTCTGACGACGTAGAATCTAAATCTACATTTAAAAAAATAGATCTAGATCTATGTCTAATCGTACCACCGGAAAGATAAAACAGATTTAGGGTTAAGATACAGATCTAGAATCTAGTACCTATTGCTAATATCGAAATATTGTGAAGTTGGGAATAGGGTTATAGCCAAGTCTAGGGTAAGGCTAAAGCCAAGGCTAGGATCAGGCTATATATATATATATATATATATATATATATATATATATATATATATATATATATATATATATATATATATATATATATATATATATATATATATATATTGGTGAGTCCATTCACTCATACATATTGGTGAGTCCATTCACTCATACATGTTGGTGAGTCCATTCACTCATACATGTTGGTGAGTCCATTCACTCATACATGTTGGTGAGTCCATTCACTCATACATGTTGGTGAGTCCATTCACTCATACATGTTGGTGAGTCCATTCACTCATACATGTTGGTGAGTCCATTCACTCATACATGTTGGTTTTAATTTATGCAACCCACGCCATTGTGAAATCTAGATCTTTGCACACCTTGAATGCAGGTCTATTGAAATAACACACATTGAATGCACATTTGTAAAAGGTATCGGCAAACACACGTCTTTAACTATCATCCAGGGCCCAAAAAGTACACACGCCTCTAAATGATTCCCCCCCCCCCCCCCGCCCCAGCGCCCACCAAGTACACACGCCTCTAAATGTCTCCCCCCCCCCCTCGCCCCAAGGCCCACCAAGTACACCAAGTACACACGCCTCTAAATGTCTCCCCCCCCCCCTCGCCCCAGGGGCCACCAGGTACACACGCCTCTAAATGTCTCCCCCCCCCCTCGCCCCAGGGCCCACCAAGTACACCAAGAAGAAGATGGAGCCCAATGAAGATGTCAACATCCTGTTTCTCTGCCAACTTTGAGAACACCTCGATGAAGGCCAAGAAGTTCATGCTCAAGACGGAGCGAGAGTCTCTCTCCATCAATGAGATCGCAATGACCAAGACCTACGCGTACTCGGGCGACATTGAGCTCAACATCGAGGTCCCTGAGGAGTTGGCCAAGGTCAACGCTACCTTTAACTCGGAGCTAAAAACAGAAAAAGGTTAAAACCTTTAACATCGAGGCGTATTTTTTGGGAGGAAGTTGCCTTTTAAACTGTAAACAAAAAAATGTACTTAGATTTGGTAGATGTAAGAAAAAAATGAGATTCTAAATGTAGGCCCATAATAAACTAAACCCCTGGTTGATTTGACTCGTGATTCCTGATTAAGGCGACCCCTGATTAGGGGGCGAGTTTGGGCCGGTAGAGGTCATTCTTGCTAAACCCAAAAGTCCGGAGTTCGAACCCCTGGGAAGATGAGGTTTGATAGCTGGAGACAGCAACCCAATGGGGACAGCAAACCATCTGGGAGAGACAACTCATTAAAATCAGACAACTACTGCCCGGTAGATTTTTTTGGGTAGATTTCCTGATTGAGGGTCCCCTAATTTAATATACCACTGATTGAGGTGACCTTTGATTGAGGTGACCCCTAATTAAGGTGACCCCTAATTGAGGTGACTCCTGATTGAGTTGACGCCTGATTGAGGCGACCCCTGATTGAGATGACCCCTGATTGAGATGACCCCTGATTAACAATGTCCCTGTGTGTGGGCAGACAAGAGGATCATGTACGAGGAGAGGTTGATGTGGGGCGTGGACACCAACATCGTGGTCCAGCCCGGCTTCACTGTCCGTGCTGAGCTGGCCGTCAAGGAGGCCAGCTTTAATGGGGAGTTTGAGATGAGCGTCACGTTTGATGGGGAGGTAAGTGTATAATAGTAGTGTATAATTTTTTTTTTACTTTTTAGTGCATTATTACATAAAAGCTTGTTATTAAAACGTTTTATAAGAAAAAAAAATTAATGAATCTTTTTCATGTTATTTACCCAATTACGGATTATTAGTCTGCCCCGTATATCGCTATAGCAACACTATCACAACAGAAAACCTCAATAACAAGTGCACAGTGTGGCCTATCTGTTTAGTTAGTACTAGGCATGCTGCCCAGCTTCGCTTAGGCTTTCGAAAACATTGAGAATTTGAATGCTTATATAATTCGCCCGAGGGTCGGTCTACGACCTCAAGTGTTATGAAGAGGTTCCTCCGTGGATATTTTTTTTCGATTTATAGCTCATATAAGGCACCGGTCAGTCGAGGTCAGTTTTGACCCCCTCATCGTAGACTTTTCGGCCAACCGGCCCCCGTGTTCTGTCGCCCCAAGGCAAGATCCTGCCAAATTTGAAGCGCCTGCGGCGCCGGGAAGTGCCTTATCGGACACCCGACAATCTAGATCTAGATCTAGAATCCTAATTGAATTTTTTTTTTTAAGTTTAGTCCGGATGATAGTGTACTATAAACCACGCAGGTGGTGCGGGTTCGAGACCCACCAAGTCAACTTGGTTAATGTATTTTTTTTTTACTTTGCTCGGACTAAACTTAAAAAAAAAAATTCAATTAGGATTCTAGATCTAGATCTGGTTTATAGTACACTATCATCTCCGCTATTTAGGCACCTTACAAAATGCAGAGAATGAAAGACGTATTTTAAAATCTTAACTTACGCGAATATGCCTATTCTTTCAAATTAATTTTTTTTATCTCAAATTAGCCAGTTCCAAACAAAAATTTTGTATAAATAAATGTTATGAGTTTAGGCCGGAAAAATTGTATTGTATACATTTCATAGTGTACGTAGATCTAGAATCTAAATCTAAATCAAATTTGAATGAAATAGTTCATTTCTTTTTTTAATGACGTCATTAGTAAGCAATAGTGTCGTCACCGTTTTATGCGTTCTTTTACACAGCTATTAATGCTTTTCCGGTTGCATAAATAATACTGTTTCTCTACATTCGAATACGCCTTTAATTTTTATTTTTCTTCTTTAAGTAAAATTGTGGTTATACATTTAAAACATCTAACATATTATTTTCAACAAAAGTCCGTAAAAAGTTCTCGATATATCGCTGCCGATTCTGACGTGATGTCCGGCGAAAATTTTTTGCGGACAGAGAAAGAGAGAGAGAAGAGCGCACATGGCCTTTTATAAATTAGGATAGGCATTGTAGGCTTCATAAATGATGGTTATTAGACCTAATATATCATTTAATTATTTAATTAAAATGTATTAGCCTAATAAAGTAATAATTGAATAGTAGATCTATAATAATCTATATGTTAATTGTTAGTTATAATAACTATGTAAATTGTTATAATTCTTAGTTTAGCGTCGTAAATTCGGCCAAAACTAGTAATGTGGGAGAGAGTGAACTAATGAATATGTCATTAAATATAAGTATATTTTCGTATATTTTGATAAAATATTATAGATAATTGAATAATAGATCACCATTTATGATTAAATTTATATGTCTGTTTTCTTTGTATTATTTACATACTTTCGGCATCTCCATTTTTTAAAAGGGTCATTTTTCCCTCATTTTGAAAAAACGCGTTGCGATTTGAACTATAAAATAAATTTAGGCTTCAAAACCGCTGTTTTGACACACCGCGCTGATGACGTCACGCCTTACCAAAACGCTTAGAAAGCGCGTATTTCATTGGCCGATGCCGGATGTAGTCAAATCCCGGAGACTGGTATAAGCAATTAACCCAACAAGCAGAGGCGTAGAGACCCTTCCCGGCGCCTGGGGACTAACTTTTCGATTTGCACCCCCCTCAAACTTTCAATTTGCACCCCCCTAAGTCTTTCAATTTATTTTTCCAACCCATTTTGGCGCCCCTTAAGGTCGGCGCCCGGGGACATATGTCCCTCCCCCCCCGCCCCCCACCCCCTCGCTACGCTACTGACAAGTCATAATGTAAAAAATTACGCTTCACTCTGCCTTATCTAAGATCTCTAACCATAATTTTGACAACAGTAAATGTTTGTCATAATTTATATATATATACGGAGAGACAAAATGTATTATCCACCAGCTTCCCTAGTAAAACATCATCTAAAACAATGAACCAATCCACCCCTTAAGTGCGTGTTGTCATTGTGGTCCATCGCAAGTCTCCACCTGCCAGACACATTTTGGTTATCCTTAGTTGTCAAATTGTCAATATCAAGTACCCAAGTGAGTGATATGGGGTTGTCCATAAATGATGTCACATATGATTTGCTACGGGAGTGAGTAAAGATTTGTGACGTCAACTCAAGCGGCTCCGCAATTTATGACGTGTCGGTCTCATGAAAGGAGGTGAACGGGGAAAATACCTAGGTGGTTGACAGAGAACCTCTATAATGCTTTGTTCAATCAAAATAACGATAAAAAAGCATTAATATACGTATACCCTGCTCATCAAAAATGTTGCAAGCCTGCTAGTTTAAGACATTTTGCAAAACGGCCTCAACACATTATCCTAGTCAAAAAGGCTTGCTACCAAATGCCTGCCGACGAATAAGCCGCGTCTAATGCGGGGAGTTAGGAATACGGCCATTAGCATGGACCGCGTTACAGCACCAGTAGGCTATCGCGCTTTGTAAGATGATACTTAAATTCAATTTTGCTAAACAGCGCGAAAATTTAGTAATGTTCCGTCGTTTGAGGAAATTTATTTTCTTGGACTTAAATTGAAATATCATGTTGACTGTCTGGCTCTTAATTTCCAAATATCACTTTTAATGTATCAAGATTCAGAACTATAATTTACTTTAATATAAGTGTCATCGTTTATTGTGCTTTTTATAAAGTGCAGAGCAGCTTCAAAATCGGACGGCCATCCTGTTTTCACCAAGCTTCTTTTGGAGCTTAATATGGGTAGTCTAGTTCTATACGGTGAGAGCTTAATACATTTTTAAAGGGCCGAAAGTCTCAAGACAGCAGAAATAACCACGTACGTTTAAATGGACGAGTGATAGATGTGTTAGGGGCTGTTTAATGAACACCAACTTATGTAATCAAATTAAAAGTCGCATACGCGTCAAAACGGCAGTGCTTGTTTTTATTTTTTCTATAAAATTAGCCTAACGGTCGGCGGTACCGGTATATGACATCACGCGCGAGCGTTAACTCGGGTGACGATGTGCTAAGTGGGGGAATGAAAAGGTGGGGTTCAAGAAATGCGACCCAGCATGCTTTTTACATTTCTTGACCCTTCTTAATAGTTCTATCGTCCCCACTGAGAAAATGGATCACCAATGAATGACGCGTCATACTTCTACAGCTGGTCTTTCTCCCACAACCATCCCCTGTTTTCACTAAAAAAAAACCTGACCTGTCTCCAAAATCATATCGCTGAGTTCTACTCAACCTCTCCCCACCACAAATCACAATTTCTATCTGAAACAATATGTTCATATGTTTGTTCTGTAATAATGCACGATGTCATTACTATCTTAAGAGCGACGTCATTTATGAGCGATCTAATATTGATTTGCAAATAAAGTGTTCAAAAGTTCGACCTCCCAACAATTGTTGTGGTCTTGGATGCACACTATTAAGTCTGATAAGGTTTATTAGTCATTCATGTCAACTATATTTTTTAAAAAAAGAAAAATTACTATACAGGGCGTCATCCATAAATGATGTCACGCTTTTTTTGACGATCTTTACCTCCCCCCTCCGTCACACGTCGTCACAAAAAGCCAGACCCCCCCCCTAAAATGACGTCACACCATAGCCTACAACCCCCCCCCTCAAAATTGCAGTTGAATTGTTTTTAAACAGCTATGTTTTTCCAAAATCTTGTCTGAACTCTGTCAAAACTGTTTTAATACATTATAATAACAATTGATTAATTGTTATTACAATGTATTAAAACAGTTTTTTAAAACGCAAAATAACGTCTAAAATTAGTTTTCTAACATTACTTTTTTAAAATGCAAAAGTGTGACGTCGCACCATCTGAACCCCTCCCCCTCATCACACAACGTCACAAAATTACGGACCCCCCTCCCCCCTACGAGTGTGACGTCATTTATGGACGACCCCCGGCATATATTAAAACAAAACAAAACAGTCATATTAAACCACAAAATCAACACAAAAGACATGCGAATAGACAATTTATTGTTTTTAAAACATGGCCGCTGCTTGTATTTACTCATTGTTGTCTCGAACGGGGTAGTTTAAAGTTTATTCCAGGATATTTATGACTGGTTTGGTCTTGGATTGTGATTTGTTATTCAATTATCTGTTATATTATGTAAAATATGACATAAATATGGCCAAATGAATGAAATATTCATTAGTTACCTTCATCGCACATTACTAGCTACGTTGGAATTTACGACGCTAAACTAAGATTTTACCCTGTAGGCCTACTGTTCAACTGTTCAACATTTGACATTTTCACTCACTCTCTTCACTTTGTGAGATTGTGAATCATTCATTATGACAGTGGTTGTGCAAAGAGATAAGGCCTGAACCGAATAAGTCAGTTTTATATCTAATTCTGTAATTCTCAACGTTTTTTGGAGGTACCCAACTTCACCAGTTTCATATGTGCCATAGACCAAACTCTTCTTAATACTCAATAATTGAGTGTTAAATTAGTATTATAAAAAGAGTTCGGTCAATGCCCTTTGCACACATGAAACTGGTGGAGTTTGGTACAGGTGATAGTTCTATTGTCTGCACAACTTACTTTATCTGATTGCGAATCATATGAATGATCGATCTTTTGTATCTACTAATCTGGTAATTGGCACAAGGTCAAGGCATGTAACTAAATATAGAAAATTTATTGTTACTATTTATATCAGGTATAGCCTTACTCCTTTACCAAAGAGCACTTAGTAAACTTTCATCTAACTGTTTAATATAAACTGTTTGAACCTATACTTTTAATATGAAAATTGATTGTTTTAACTAGTTAATTTTTTCCAGGTTCATTGTCTGTGATATACATTGAATTTATTGCTTTAACATTGTATTCCTTAGGTAAAACTGTATACACCCCATGGAAGTATAAAGTATCAAACGGACTGTGCACCAAACACTGGATATTATCTCATTCCACTCCATGATAAAGGGGATTATATTTTAAAGGCTGAGCCACCAAAGGGTTGGGGATTTGGTAAGTAGTATTTATTATATTAAATTTTACAGTCATAATAATAGCTAACACAATTTTTAAATTAAGTTGATAAAGATATTGATTTTTATTAGACTATTCATAATGCATTCTAATTTTAAAACTCTGTAGAACCTGCAAGTGTTGAGCTCAAAGTTGATGGAGAAAATGATCCTTGCAGCAAAGGGGAAGACATCAATTTTAAGTTTACTGGATTTTCCATCATGGGCATTGTAAGTTTATGAACACTACTGCAGTGATTAAATCATACTTTATTTTTCACAATGGGTTTTACATGAGACTATAATTGGTAAATAACTCATGTTTCTCTATATTTTGTGTTGTTTTATTTTTCTCTCTACTTGGCTAGGTTGCCAGTTTGGGACAAACATCAGGACCAGCTGATGTGAAACTAGATCTGATATCTTCTTTAAAGCCTGATGTCTTACAGTCCACTCTCACAGATGGGAAAGGAAGGTTTGTGGTTTTGTGAAGGCATTTTAGTAGTTTAGACATAGGGATCATTGCACCTGAAAAGAATATTTTGCCAGTTATGTTTTAGTTGATAAAATATAAGTGATAAATAAACCCTTGGTTACAGTGGCACAAAAGTTAATGTAGAATTAACAATTTATTTTTAGCTTTGTCTTCTCCAATGTGATGCCAGGAGACTACAAAATTCTAGCTTCTCATTCATCATGGCAGTTCAGCAAGGTGAGTCCAGACATTTTTATTTTATACATTTTTATTTGGAACATTTCTCATTAGTAGGTTGTGAAATTATTTAGTATAAAGAATCGTGTTTACTCTTTACCAGAGGATATTATTTTAGGTTGCGTTTACTTGTTATGGTTAGGGTAGCAATACTAGCAAAGTAATAGCCTAGGATGTATCCACACTGTTAATAAGTATGTAATATTAAAATTTTCTAAACTTGTATTTGTGTTAGTTTTACTATTCCAATGAAAACTTCCTTGTTTCCCAAAAATTATTTGTTGCTGTGTTACAGGGTGAAGTCACTGTACATGTGAAAAATGACAATGCTAATGTTGGTACAGGACTGACCATTGGAGGCTATGATGTCAGGGTATGTTCTGATACTGTGTTCTCTGTTAGATCTCCCTACTAATTGGTCACTTTTGCTATATTAAATAAGTTAAACTACAGTCAAGGCTTTATGACTTAGCCAACAAGGTACTTTTTACTTCATGGAGATGTAATCTCATGTCCAGATTCATCATAGTATTTGGTTTGTTTATATATATATAGATATTGAAATAAAATGATCTTGAGTAGTTATATTCTGTTAACTATTTTGGAGATTGTTTTGTCTTTTACTTTAAGTAAAAAAAACTATTATGTGGATATAGTTCTGAAAATACCTTTACAAAATAATGTTAAGAAATGCAACCTAGATGCAGAACTCAAATATGTACTGTCCTGCTGTATTATAGAATTTATATTTTACTATGTTGCTGGGTAATTGATATTATAGCTGTTCATAAACTTTATAAACCTTGTTTAGAAAAAGTTACTGTTTTACTGTGGCTAAAAAAAATTAGATGTTTATTTAGTAAAAATGAATTTGATTTCTTTTCATTCAAGGGTGAAGTTACAGGAGATGGCCAGCCCATGAAGTCTGTCAACTTTGTTTTATTTTCTCAAAATAATCAGCCTACAGTAAGTAGAGAATTCATCTCTGACTTGCACATTAGAATAACTTTGTTCATTGAACATTTGAAGTAATAGCCCCTGAATCAGATTTAGAACATTGGATTTTGTTTTCGATCTGCAAACATTTATTAAAACAAGAATACATGTCATTCTGAAAAAACATTTCCTAATCAATGCATGATGGCTAGTTATGAAATTTTTTTTTTTTTCTTTTCAGGAGAAACAAATAATTTAAATTTTTAAAAATGTTTTCAGAATGTAGTTCAGTGTGAGAAAGGATCACCCAAAGGTTTTCTGACAAAAGAATCAAAGTTAACTCCACTTTGTTATGTGACATCTAAAGATGATGGGAGTTTTGTGTTTCCTGTGGTACCTTCTGGTTCTTATTTCATAGTAAGTTTTTTTTTTACCTGTGTATCTTTTAAATCTATGTTTATTCAAATACATAATGAGTCTTTAAAAAGTTTGTTTGTGTGATACTTTTAGTGGCCTGATGAGTATGATACATTAATTTCTGATTGTTTTGTGCAGAAAGACACAGCTTGTGTGTACCAGAAACTGGTAACACAACATTAGAAATCACTAATAAAATAGAGGCTTGTTATACATAACAGGAATAAAGAACTTAAATACCGCCAAAAATAACACAGAAACACAGTCAGTTCTATCAGAATATGACAAAGAAGAATAGTAGTACGATATAACAAACTTTTTGATATTCTTTCTACCCAATCATTCCCATTCACTCCTTCACTACACCAATTGTTAAATAGTTTTAATAAATATCTTTCAGATTCCATTTTACAAAGGAGAGCACATCACATTTGATGTTGAGCCAGAGAAGCTAGAGTTTGAAGTTAGCCATGGCTCAGTTATACTGAAGGTAATCTATATATGTTGTAGTGATGTTCTATTTAAGCTTATCCCTCTAGTCCAACTGTTGTGAACACCCTGATACTCCTGTAAGGGTAATCAAAGCACAGTGCAGCATACAAGGACAAAGCCACTAATGTGTTATGAAACAACTGGACTGTTACAACAATAATAATAAAAATGTAATAGCTATTTACACACACACATAAACTGTCTATTCTAAATGAGTAACAGAATACGAAGAGGCTAAAGTATACACTAACTTAGTAGCATGGAATTACTGGCCTTATACATAGAGCCACACTGTCAAACCCTCTTATATATCTGTACAAAAACAAGTACAAATTGTGCTACAACAGACAGCTCACAGTATGAGGAGTGAATACCAATGAATGGGACAGTTTACTAAGTACAAAGAACCACCACACATTCATCCCCTTTACTCCTTTACTACATGGAGTGCACTGTTCTTATGTAGCATCTAGTTATGCAATACATGATTTTTCTTTCATATAATCCAGGAAAAGTTTGAAATTGCTGGCTTCTCTGTTAGTGGGAAAGTGCTTGATAAAGAAAATGTAAGTTTGATTTGTTGAATACTGACATTTTATATATGTGTAAAATAAATATAAAAAACAACAAAGAGCAAAAATAGGGCTCATAACATGAAATAAAATCACTAACAGCAGTTATGCCTTTGTTGTTTTTGAGTTTTACTTTTTACTAATATGAGTGAATGATTTTTATTCATGAGTAGGGTTTATCAAAGCTCGATCGCTATTAATCAGAATATGGTTTGTTATTAAAAAATAGGTATTGCTTAAACAACTTTCATCTATCAAAATAAACATTTATCTTTATTAGGGAGTGGGGATTCCTAAAGCTACGATCATCATAAATGGCAAAGACCAAACCACAAGTGGATCAGATGGCTCATTTAGTCTGGAGAACATGAAGACTGGGGCCTATAGGCTGACTGCTAGGGTTGATAATGTTGCTTTTGAGGAGATGTCTGTGGAGATCACACCCAAGACCCCACAGCTACCAAATTTAATTGCTTCAGGGTATATACATTTTGTGTGTTTCTTTTGGTCAGTGGCTTAAACTTGTTGTCTATTGGGAGTAGGTAGAGTCCACCTTTTTTGTGATGCAGTCAACGAAGGGACTTAGTGATGTAACGGACACCAATCTATCAGCCAGATAGATGGCGAACGCTCCCGGATTCGTTTAACTGATTACACACAGATGGCAACAAGCCTAAATAAAAGAAAATTGACTCACTAGTTCGCTAGGACTCGTAATTGATGTCTAGGGGAAACACTAGAGAAACTAATGATGCCAACAAAACCTTTAATCTGCATATAACTTGTAATGAGTGTACAAAGTCGTGGCAGAACACTAGATTTAAACAAGAATAAAATGGATATACAGAATGATCAAAACCCAACTTACAATAGAGTCCTTGCAAACACGTGATCTAAATCACGTGATACCTACGCCCGCCGCCACAGTGGTGTACATCAGACGTAAACACAATCAGCTGTTCGCCAGCGCTGGACGTGTTCACCAGCGCTGGACGTGTTCACCGTATGTAAAGAATCGCGCCGCGGAAAAGGAAAAATACGTTAAAAAACTTGAACTCTTAGGAATTGAAGATCCTTATACAGTTATTGACAGTTTCGTGGATAAAATAGATCTAAATATGTGGCCGAAATTTCTAAATAAAAATACTGTTAGTAATACCGTTTGCGTTTAGAGTTTAAGTAGACGAAGCTGATCAAATGCAGTAATATATTATAGGTTATCTACTGTAGCAAACGTGAGACCACTTAACTCCTACAAAACCCACACTACAACGGCTAATATAATCCATGGGTAATAACCATTCTGGGAGCATGTTATACAATTTAAGACCCTTATAATCCAGCAGGGAAGTGATCAGACACATTAATACTGATGTGCAACCCTCATGATTTCTAGCCGCCACCTGTATCTAGCCCACAATAAAACCAAAGAGGAGTCTGCCCTGCCCTCCCCTGAAAATGTCTCACCTCCGTGATACCCAGCCCCACAGAGATAGTATTTCTGATATAATTTTGACCCTCAGGGCCCAGCAGGGAGAACAAAGGGGAAAATCCCACTGCTCTCCCCTCAACATTTCTCACCTCGGTGTCATGTTATGTCATTTATAGCACACATGGCTTATCAGGGGAAAGCATTAAGGCATTAAGAATCTTAACTCTGGACAGCTACACACTAGTATACTAGCTACACACTAGGTGCCTACTGTATAATACTAGACTGTAGGCCCTATGTACACCTGCAATTGTATCAATTGTAGACTGGGTCCATTGTTATTATTCTAAACCACCTCGCTTATGTTTCTAGCTTGATTTGTTTCTTTTATAAACAGTGGATTTTTTAAAAAAATGAGCCTAATCATTAACCAAATAATAATAATGTGGTTATTTGTTGTTGGCTGGTATGATCTAGATTGTACTTCTAGGCTACAAAAACTTAGTAGACCAATTACTAGATATGAATTTGAATTTAATTAAACTCAGTCCAGTATCAGATACATATTGCTGTAAAAAGACAACAAAGTAGGTAGGCCTTAGTAATTTATTAGTAATTTATTAAAGCCTTCTACTACAATAATATCAACTACATGCTTGCATAAAGTTTTTACAATTTAATTTAAGTAGCAGATTCTAGATCTAAGTCTAGTCATACAATCTATTTCAATTTCAGAAAATATCGTTTGCTAAAAAAATGATTAGATTATAGAGCGAGATTTTAGATCTTAGAGACAATTAAAATAAATGCTTTATTAGGCCTATTATGACTACTTTTGATTTTATTATGGGTGTATTTTGAATCGAATGTAGATCTAAATTTTGTAATTAAATTTAAGTAAAGAAGTAGATTCTATGTCTACCCAGCGGAGCCAGTCATCCTAAATCCAGAATCTAGATCTGTGGTCCGAATTTTGTTTACGCCATGTTTAGAGCTAGATTCTAGATCTAGATATTAAAACACTATTATTAGGCCTACTATTAGATCTTATTATTCTTATTATTACTTTTGACTTTGTCTTTTACTATTAGTATTTGTGAAGGTCGAACATATACAATCACTTTTCCAGCTCTAACCCACTGATCCTAACCCTCACTGCTATCCAGCACCTTGCCCTGGGGACTGTGACCACGGACATCCCTGTGGACGACATAGTCATCACCATCAAGTAAGTTCTCCTAGTTTTTCTAGTCTTCACTCTTATCACAATCCAAGTGACTGTTGGACCTATGAGTGTAATGAACCTATCAACAGGTCCTCTGTGGATGATATCCCAACTGTCCTGGGTCCACTCAAGCCAAACACAACAGCAACATCAGCAGCCAAAGCTTCAGCTGCCAGTGCTGATAAGGAAAACAAGAAGCAGCCGACAACAATAGTCTATAACTTCTCACACTGGGCCAGGTATGTCATGTAATGTTCCACCACAGTTTGTAGACAGGTATGTCATTAAATGTTAAACCACAGTCTTTAGGCATTTAAATTTTCTTTCCATAAAGCTTTCAAATAAGTGAGTTGTTCAGGTTTAATCTTTCACTAAGAGCTTGTATGCTAGTATGATTTTCAGGGTTCACTTCAGCCTTACACTGGTATGTTATTCAGGTTGAATAACTGCAGCCTTTAGACAAATAGATTGTATCAAGTACCATTCTGTAGCTGCTATATTTAAACAGTCTCTGAGTGTAAATCTTTTGGTCACAGGTCTGGTGAGACTCTGACTGTATCAGCCAAGTCATCTGATGTCCTGTTTTACCCCAGCTCTGTTGATGCTTTTATCAGTGGTGGTAAGTACCCTCACGTGACTTGCCTTAATTACAAGCTTTGCTTTTTAATTCTAAATTTAAAAATTCCTTATGCACTTAAATTTGCTTAAATAAAGGTTTCCCTTTTTAGTTGTGTTTTTAGTCCTTACAGAACTAGGCTAATTTAATACAATTCATCGTTTGAATTCTATATATTATTCATGTGTAGTTCTTTGAACATTGGTATTTCAATCTAACTAAATGTTTTTTAATCTTAAAACTATTTGTATGACTTTTTATTCTATTTTAGATGGGTGTCCAGGGAAGATTGTTGATTTGATTGGTCGTAAAGGAGTGTTTATTGAGGGTAAAATAACACCGTCACTTAGCGGTGTCACAGTCACTGTGAGTGATGAGAGTGGTACTATGACACCCATTGTCCTCATCACAGACAGCCAAGGGAAGTACAGGTTAGCTTTGTCTTCATTTTAATAGCTGGCTTCCATCAATCAGTTGATAATCATTCTATCAATTAATTGTATTAATGCATCAATTATATCATGAATATATTTGTATTTAAAAAAAAATCTCCAGAGTTGGTCCCCTACATGCTGACAAGAAATATCTGGTAGCTGCAGAGAAAGAAGGTTATGTGATGTCTAAAGAAAAGGAGGACTCCCTGCTATTTAGAGCATTTAAGCTAGGGGAAATTGCAGTACAGGTACAGTGTTGGGTAGTGCCTGTTTGGTTAAAGTATTGTAGGTTATAAAGGTATATGAAAAGTTAAATAAATAAATTATGCAATAATGGCTAGAAAGATAAAAAAAAAAAGATTAAAAACTCTGGTTAAATATCAGTATAAAAAATGAATATGAGTACACAGCTAAAAAAAACTTTGTTACTTATTCAACACTGGCTTATTGTTATTTTATGTTAAAAAAAATGGCTTTTTAAAAATTAATTTGTATGAATGTCTTGTATAGTTAAAAATAAATTTTGCTATTAAGAGTGGTAATAATTACTCTGGTCCCACAGATGTTGGATGAAAAAGGTCAGCCTCTGCCCAGTGTCCTTCTTTCTCTGAGTGGTGACCACCAGTACAGGTCCAATAATGTGACTGGGACAGATGGTCACATGATTTTCACAGGCCTCGTGAGTAGCATATCAGTATTTAGTATTTTTTTTTTTTAAATTGACAAAAGCTACACATTTTTAAATGATGGAATTTTACATTAAACAAAATCTTTGTAATTCTATTATATATAAACATTTACAAACTTACTTAATTATTAACTTAAAAGTGTAAGGTATGAATACAGTTTTATCAGTCATAAAATGTATCAATTCCTATTTGTTAGAACATGATATTCTTTTCCTTTTAAAATTTTACTTTCCGTCTTTATGGCACTAAACTATGGTCCACTCTAAATCACAGATAGCTATGTGGAAGTATTAAAAAGTGTTGCATACAATTATAAATAGTACATGGTAATCTAGAGCTTAGATTTGTATTTAAAAGTATTGAGTGACATTTTTACAGAGCCCTGGTCAGTATTTTCTCCGCCCAATGATGAAGGAATACAAGTTTGAACCAGCCTCACAAATCATCATTGTACAAGAGGGGACAACTGAGAAAATTAGCATCAAAGGTGCTAGGGTTGCCTTCAGGTGAGTAAACAGCCTTGTACTTTGTAATGCTGTTATCATTAACTTCTTAATAACATGATAGTGATCAGTATATTGATGAAATCAGAAGTAAAATATGAAGAAACAAAATAAGTATAAGATTATATAATTTTTTTGTTTTAGCAAGGTGACATCTATAATTATCTGTAAATATTTGTTTCTTTCAAAATGTTCCTCTAAATTTTGCTTTAGTTTAGGCAAGGCTACATCCTTCATAGTGAAATTTTCTAAATTTTTTTTTCGACAAACGTATCAACCTGCATTTTGGTGTTTAAGTGAAGTGACCCCAAAATTTTTTTGTTTTTAGCTGTTTTGGCAAAGTGACCTCCCTGAATGGTGAACCTGAGCCTGGCATCATCATAGAAGCTCTGGGCAAGGGTGACTGCAGCGTGTACCAGGAGGAGAGCAAGACAGAGACAGATGGCTCCTACAGGATCAGAGGGCTGCAGGTAACCATTTTTTTACTGGCTGGACTGGATCTCACCTAGGCTTGACTGAAAACATCCCTGAATTTATAGTCTACAATTGTATGTGTGTTGATTCATAAATCCTGTTTTATGAATTTTTTAATTTAAAAAATTAATTAATTTTTTAATTTAAAAAATTTATTGTAAGTTTGATATAGGGAAGCCACATTTCTAATGACATGAGTATTGTTGATTGATTTGTTTCCAGCCCAACTGTCTGTATGACATTCACCTCAAGTCTGGTGAAGTCAACACACACATAGAGCGTACAGCACCTACTGCAAGACAGGTTCAGGTACCATACACTGCTTTATATGTGGATCATGTGTTACATGTATACTTCCCGATAGATATTCTTTACCTAGATTGTACTTTACATGGACTGAATATGTTAATTTCATGTTTCATGTAAACAGGTATCAACTGCTGATCTCCAAGACATCAACATCATTGCTTTCCGTCGCATGAATCAAATGGACATCAGTGGCAATATCAGAACAAATCTGAAATTTTTACACACTCTCAAGGTAATTCAGAACAAATCTGAAATTTTTACACACTCTCAAGGTAATTCAGAACAAATCTGAAATTTTTACACACTCTCAAGGTAATTCAGAACAAATCTGAAATTTTTACACACTCTCAAGGTAATTCAGAACAAATCTGAAATTTTTACACACTCTCAAGGTAATTCAGAACGAATCTAAAATTTTTGCATACTCTCAAGGTAATCGAACAATGTTTGATTAGTTCATAGAATTGTACAAGTTACATAGAACACCTATGTGTACGAATAATAAAAACTGACCTTATTTCTGTACAGGTGAGCCTAGTCAGTGAAGCCCAACCTGACACACCTATACATATTGTGGCCCTCAGCAAGTCATCTTTCTTCTTCCTGCCTACACTAGTGATGGACAATAAGGTGAGGAATTTGTTGCCCAATCACTATAACTTATAACTATATTTTACTAGGCCTAGTCAGTATCAGTATGTTCAGTATGTTCAAATATATATATTATTATATTTATTTTAATTATTAGTAGGCCTAGTGATTTAGCTTGAAATAGCAACTAGGTTGTCCTAGATCCTAGCTATCAGATAGTAGGCCTACTTTGACAACAAGGTCTGAAGATTAAAAAATATTAAGTCATTAAAAAAAACTCCAGGCCTATTACTTTTTGCATGTAAGTTATGATAATGAAAATGCAATTAGAATTATTAAATAAAAAGTATTAAAATGGAAGAGGCACAGTAGGCTGTATAGATATACTATATTTTGAAGTAGCTGATTGCCGTTAAAGCTTAAAAATTGTGCTAATTTATTATTAGGCCTACTTAACATATAATAATATCTACTTTATACTACCTAGTCCTACATAATATTATGCTGTATAAAAAGATAGGTATGTCAAACGGCTTTAAACACATGCAGTTTTTCGCTCGCATAGCCCAAACGTAGTACATTTTCCCTTCCGTAGTTTCTATAATAAAAGGGGCTCTTATAGTAATAAGCTTAATACAATTAAAAAGTGTAAAAGTAAATTTTAAGCTCTCAAATTGTGCGTAATTTTTATGGTTGTTGAAATTACACAATATATCTCATTTAGTGATTGAAAACTGTCACTGAGATGATCTTTCAAAGGCAGTCGAGCAAAAGATTTTGACCACTCTCCCATTCTATTCGCGGGTCTTTTTTCAGCGTTCTACGTATTTCTTTACAAATACCTGTAAAATGTGCAGAATCAAATAGCCTTTAGTAGGATACTAAAACATTTGCATAAAAGACTAAATATTTTAAATGTTAAAAAAAGTAAGCAATTAAAAAATTAGTATATGATTCTGACAACATATAAATTTTTTATTTGCATTTTAAGGAAGGTGGTCCTTTTTTCTGTTAAAACGCTAAAATTGTTTATCGTTTCTGAGCGTGGTCAAAAAAGGCAGAACTTGACAAAACTAACTAGAGCAATCAATAAAGTCGCTCAAAATCTCGTCGCAGAACTGGCAGTTTTCTTCGTTAACATTCAACGCACCACTAAGTTTTTCTAAATTGATGTTAGCAAATTTTAAAGGCTTTATATTTCTGTAAAAAAAATTAAAATATGTAGCTACTTAGTAAACAAGTTTGTCAGTCTACTTTTTGTAGTTTATTTCTTTAATATATTTCTTTATTATTAAAGCTATAACTTTGTACAATGATTAGACTTCTATGTAAATTTTCAGCTTCCCATGAACTAAACCATCCTTCACTTTGAAGCTGAGTCTAATTTTTTTCTGATTGCTTATAGTTCAAATATTTTTTCTTTTCTGACAGACGGTACTTCATAAATAAATTAAAACATATATTTATAAACTTTTTAGAATAGCTGAATATTTTTATCTATGACATGTAAAAGGTCCTGTGATCATACATTTTGTCACCATTGTCAACAATATATGGTTATAGTTTAAAGTAGAAAACCCCGCAATATTCATGGCTGGGTTGGGTTTTAGCGTTGATTTTAAACTAAATAGCACACGATGTGTAGCTTGAAATACTTTACATTACCAAAAAAAAATCAACAATTTAGCATGTTAGTGTGCTCTTTAATCTTTTGTGAATAATTTCAACTTCAACTAGATGTTATGTTAATGCCTCCAACACTCACCTGAAATGGGGGAAGGGGTAAGCAAGATCTTTACTACAATTGTAACAATGTCAATATATATTAATGATCAGTGCACTAGTGCAGATGCATTAGCACTTTGCAGTCAGCATGGAAATAAACCTTTATAAGAGCCCTTTAAAAAGAATGTCTTCAAAAAATATACCTTATGAAGTCCTCTCAATTATGTTGACTGTAAAAGGTGATTAATAATAACATATTTACATGTTATAGTTGTGAAGAATGACTGTTAAGATACTAAGGGTGAGAATGCATGACTAGTATGGTTATCTGTTTAGCCGATGTAGTTGTATCTAATAAGCAAATGTATTTTGTTAGCCGATGTAGTTGTATCTAATAAGCAAATGTATTTTGTTAGCCGATGTAGTTGTATCTAATAAGCAAATGTATTTTGTTAGCCGATGTAGTTGTATCTAATAAGCAAATGTATTTTGTTAGCCGATGTAGTTGTATCTAATAAGCAAATGTATTTTGTTAGCCGATGTAGTTGTATCTAATAAGCAAATGTATTTTGTTAGCCGATGTAGTTGTATCTAATAAGCCAATGTATTTTGTTAGCCGATGTAGTTGTATCTAATAAGCAAATGTATTTTGTTAGCCGATGTAGTTGTATCTAATAAGCAAATGTATTTTGTTAGCCGATGTAGTTGTATCTAATAAGCAAATGTATTTTGTTAGCCGATGTAGTTGTATCTAATAAGCAAATGTATTTTGTTAGCCGATGTAGTTGTATCTAATAAGCAAATGTATTTTGTTAGCCGATGTAGTTGTATCTAATAAGCAAATGTATTTTGTTAGCCTATGTAGTTGTATCTAATAATCAAGTGTATTTTGTTAGCCGATGTAGTTGTATCTAATAAGCAAATGTATTTTGTTAGCCGATGTAGTTGTATCTAATAAGCAAATGTATTTTGTTAGCCGATGTAGTTGTATCTAATAAGCAAATGTATTTTGTTAGCCGATGTAGTTGTATCTAATAAGCAAATGTATTTTGTTAGCCGATGTAGTTGTATCTAATAAGCAAATGTATTTTGTTAGCCTATGTAGTTGTATCTAATAATCAAGTGTATTTTGTTAGCCGATGTAGTTGTATCTAATAAGCAAATGTATTTTGTTAGCCGATGTAGTTGTATCTAATAAGCAAATGTATTTTGTTAGCCGATGTAGTTGTATCTAATAAGCAAATGTATTTTGTTAGCCGATGTAGTTGTATCTAATAAGCAAATGTATTTTGTTAGCCGATGTAGTTGTATCTAATAAGCAAATGTATTTTGTTAGCCTATGTAGTTGTATCTAATAATCAAGTGTATTTTGTTAGCCGATGTAGTTGTATCTAATAATCAAGTGTATTTTGTTAGCCAATGTAGTTGTATCTAATAAGCAAGTGTATTTTGTTAGCCTATGTAGTTGTATCTAATAAGTGTTGTGTATTTTGTTAGCCTATGTAGTTGTATCTAATAAGTGTTGTGTATTTTGGTGTAGCCCCACCATCAGTGGCATGGCTAGGTTGGGTGTCACCTGTTGTAGTAACTCATGGTGTCACCCCCCACCAAAGGCTTCTGTGAAAAACCTATCTGTTAAGGACCATGATATCTGTTTAGTAATCAGCATATACCCGGCATTGCCCATCCTAACCACAACCATTTAAAACTAAAACACCCTAACCACAACCAACCAAAACTAAATCAAAATAAAAGACAAAAAAATGCAAACATAACACAAATGCAAATACAACTACAAATGCAAACACAAACCCAACCACAAACACAAAGAAAACACAAACAAAAAAAGCAAATGAAAACCAACCAAATCCAAACACAAACCCAAACCCAACCCCAACCTTAACCCAAATACAAAGAAAACACAAACGCAAACAAAAAAGCAAACACAAAAACAAATTAAAAACACAAACGCAAACCTAAATGCAAATAATATCAAACACAAACCCAAACCCAACCCCAACCTTAACCCAAATACAAAGAAAACACAAACGCAAACAAAAAAGCAAACACAAAAACAAATTAAAAACACAAACGCAAACCTAAATGCAAATAATATCTCAAAATAATGCAAATAAACGCGAACATAAACACAAACTTAAATTTAAACATACCGCCTGATTCAACTTAGTAAACCACTATAGTACCCCAACTTATTCTTAGTCTTATGCATTCACGTATGCATTTTGGAGGGCACTCACAAATTGGGCCTGGAGCCCCAAATAGCACCCTGTCGGGGCGCCAAAATATCACCCTGTTGGGGCGCAGATTCAGTTAAAGACTATAGTAACCTTTCGTATTTATAGTCAATCGCACTGTTTAAAATAAAATTATGCCCCATAGCAACCACAGGACAGCCCAGGGCACCAAATCAAACTCTGGGGTCAGAAGAGGGCTGGTCACCTCCATGTGACACTTAGCTACATCAATTAGTCAAAAGACACTTAGCTACATCAATTAGTCAAATGACACTTAGCTACATCAATTAGTCAAATGACACTTAGCTACATCAATTAGTCAAATGACACTTAGCTACATCAATTAGTCAAATGACTTTTAGCTACATCAATTAGTCAAATGACACTTAGCTACATCGATTAGTCAAATGACACTTAGCTACATCAATTAGTCAAATGACACTTAGCTACATCAATTAGTCAAATGACACTTAGCTACATCAATTAGTCAAATGACACTTAGCTACGTCAATTAGTCAAATGACACTTAGCTACATCAATTAGTCAAATGACACTTAGCTACATCAATTAGTCAAATGACACTTAGCTACATCAATTAGTCAAATGACACTTAGCTACATCAATTAGTCAAATGACACTTAGCTACATCAATTAGTCAAATGACACTTAGCTACATCAATTAGTCAAATGATACTTAGCTACATCAATTAGTCAAATGACACTTAGCTACATCAATTAGTCAAATGACACTTAGCTACATCAATTAGTCAAATGACACTTAGCTACATCAATTAGTCAAATGACACTTAGCTACATCAATTAGTCAAATGACACTTAGCTACATCAATTAGTCAAATGATACTTAGCTACATCAATTAGTCAAATGACATTTAGCTACATCAATTAGTCAAATGACACTTAGCTACATCAATTAGTCAAATGACACTTAGCTACGTCAATTAGTCAAATGACACTTAGCTACATCAATTAGTCAAATGACACTTAGCTACGTCAATTAGTCAAATGACACTTAGCTACATCAATTAGTCAAATGACACTTAGCTACATCAATTAGTCAAATGACACTTAGCTACATCAATTAGTCAAATGACACTTAGCTACGTCAATTAGTCAAATGACACTTAGCTACATCAATTAGTCAAATGACACTTAGCTACGTCAATTAGTCAAATGACACTTAGCTACATCAATTAGTCAAATGACACTTAGCTACATCAATTAGTCAAATGACACTTAGCTACATCAATTAGTCAAATGACACTTAGCTACATCAATTAGTCAAATGATACTTAGCTACATCAATTAGTCAAATGACACTTAGCTACATCAATTAGTCAAATGACACTTAGCTACATCAATTAGTCAAATGACACTTAGCTACATCAATTAGTCAAATGACACTTAGCTACATCAATTAGTCAAATGACACTTAGCTACATCAATTAGTCAAATGACACTTAGCTACATCAATTAGTCAAATGACACTTAGCTACATCAATTAGTCAAATGACACTTAGCTACATCAATTAGTCAAATGACACTTAGCTACATTAATTAGTCAAATGACACTTATCTACATCAATTAGTCAAGTGACACTTAGCTACATCAATTAGTCAAATGACACTTAGCTACATCAATTAGTCATTGTTCAGTCAGCCATGATAAAAAAAAATGCCATGAAGTGTAAACAATTGTGAAATAAAATTGGGATCTGTAGTTTTCATTTTTTGGATGGGCTAAATTGCTTTGTACCTTAAAACCTTGTTATTAAACTGCTAGATCAATGTTTTTTTAATGTTATGTTTAGTAACAATCTTAGGTGTACACAAGTTTTTGAGTTGGTATTAAAATAGACCCTATTTAATTATGACCTTTCATATAATGTCATTGTCTGTAGCTGGAGTTATTTTTTAATTTCTCGTATAAGAAGTAAAAAAAAATGAAATATTCTTTCTGTGTAAGACAGTGATGCTTCATGTCATGATTCAAAACAGCAAAGTAATCAGCTCTGAGTTATGTAATGTGCATTAATTGTTATTTTTGATAATCAGATTAATAGACCCTTTAGAGGCAAATGTAGATTAACAGTTCATTTTTAATAAGTTCAGATTAGGGGTCGTCCATAAATGATGTCACACTCATAGGGGGGAGTAATTTTATGATGGTGTTTGATGAGAGGGAGGGGATATCCGATGGTATGACATTGCACATTTGCATACTAAAAAAGCAATGTTAATAAACGAATTTTAGCTATTATTTTGTGTTTTAGAAAACTGATTGAATACATTTTAATACATTAAAATATTCTATGGTGACAATATCTTGGAAAAATATCCATCTTGTAAAAAAATATCCATCTTGTAAAAAAAAATTCAACTGCAAAGTCGAGGGGTATGTAGGCTGGGGTGTGACGTCATTTATGGGGGGGGGTCTAGCTTTTTGTGACATGGGGGGGGGGGGTAAAGAAGGAAAATAAAGCATGATGTCATTTATAGATGATTCCTTAATAGGTCTTTCATAAAATTGCTGCGGATTTAGCAATAAACCATTTTCAACCTTTCATACACTTAAAAATATTTTTCTATTGGTCAAATGAATCAAATGATAGAAGAAAAATAAACACGTAATTCAGGCTAGTTAAAAGATTTTTTGTAACATGTTTGTCTAAATAGGCCAAATGTGCTTAATAAAAACTATGTCCATAACAGATTGTTGTGCTGTCTGCCATGGTCAAGTTAACACTAGACTTTATAGCTCGGGGCACATCAGGATATACTCAAAAGAAAAGGGATGAAACGCTTCCACAGTATATCAGAAGGCTGACTCATTTGTACTTGGAAAACAAAAATATTGATGATGTTGTAAGTTTTTATAAATTTGGAAAAAAGCATATTGTCATTTAAAGTAATAAATTATTATCTCTCTTTATATAGATGAATATTTTTACTTCAATTTCATGTTATACAATGTTTTTTTTATTCTTTTAAAATTGAAAAATTTCATGTGGAACACCAGCGCCTGCCTGCAGGAGAACAGTTGTTATTTGATCCACGCACACTTAACGCACTCTCTGTAAGTTGTCACTGTCTGATTGAAGTCGAATTATTTTTTTTAATTTCTTGTATAAGAACTTTCGAGGAAGTCTTGCAATCCTGCAAATAATTGAAATAAAAGTTTTCACAAATCTTAACATTTTATACCCCCTCAGTTGGAAAAGTATTACATTGTAGGTGCATGTTTCTTTCAGATTTTGAATGATTTCCAGTAACCAGAAGTGGTTTTTACTCTATTTTCATGTGAACACTATATTTTGAGAACTATCTCAGTTAGGTACATGAAATTTCAAATAGAAATATAAAATCTTATACTTGGATTACTTACAATTTGTGAGTGACCTCCGAAAATGGAAGTGATATTGTACTCTATTTATGGTATCTAAAATTCCAATAATTTGCATACCATTTTAGTTAGGTGAACTAAATTTGAAACAATGTTTTTATTTTCATTACTCAGTAACATATGGTGACCAGATGTATTTCTTTAGTTCTGAAAAAAGATTACCAATTAACTTTTCATGTAGGGTTAGGTGTTAGGTCTTTAATCCATGCCCTAGGATTAGGGTTAGGTCTTTAATCCATGCCCTAGGGTTAGGGTTAGGGTTAGGGTTAGGTCTTTAATCCATGCCCTAAGGTTAGGGTAGGTTAAAGGTTAGGTCTTTAATCCATGCCCAGATATTCTGACATCAAATTTGGTTTAATTAGATGTTAAAAAATAACTTTTTAAAAATTAATCGGTTTGCTTTATAAAGCTCATATTTTCCACTCTCTTATACACACATTGTTTATGTTCATTTGTATCACATTATATTTTTTTCTATATGATTCTATATTATTTTCAAAATGTAAAATGTGAGAAAGTTTATGTGATCCCTTAAGCTCTAGTTGACTAGTAACTAGAAATGTAGTTTATTTATATGTATTCACACGTGAATCAACACACACACACATCACAGTGTGAATCAACCCACACACCGATCACAGCCTATATATTATATATATATGTGTGTGTGTCTGTGTGTCTCTTTTGATACATATATATATATATATATATATATATATATATATATATATATATATATATATATATATATATATGTATATATATATATATATATATATATATATATGTATATGTATATGTATATATATAGGGTTGTTTGCAAGTTTTAAATGTGTCTGGGAACCATCTGACTGACATCAACGAACTGAGCCAACTTTGCCACCTGAGCAGCCTGATAGCAGCTGACAATCTACTGAACGGCATGAAGGAACTGGCACAGCTCTTGGCTACATGGACCTCCCTGACTCGCCTGGATCTCACAGGTAACCCCATATGTCAGCAAACAAAGTTCAAGGACATAATTATTGTCTTGGGGAGTAGCTTGGGTAAGCTCTTCATCTTAGACTAGTCCATGTCTGTTGAGCATCAGCTAATGACAACATCCTTCCATGCATTTGAGCTACACACACACGAACATCCACACGAACACACATACAAACATCCTAACAAACATCCACATGAACACACACGAATATCCACACAAACATCCACACGAAAGCACACGCCAACATCCACACAGTACACAGGTGAATCAACAAACATGTACACAGGTGAGTCAACAAACACTTATAGAGGTAGTATAACTGTATAATCATTGATAAATGAACTGAATATTTGCAACTATGATAAATTACATTCTGTAGCCTATATCACTAGCTGGTTTTATTCCCAGGAGATCTGCCTCCCTTACGTAGTGCCCCACTAAGGCAGAGAAGTATTTCCAGTTATGTCATGGCAGGTAGTGTATGTCATGTCAGGTAGTGTATTTCATGTTATGTGAGCTAGTGTATGTCATGTTATGTGAAGTAGTGTATGTCATGTTATGTGAGGTAGTGAATGTCATGCTATGTGAGGTAATGTATGTCATGTTATGTGAGGTAGTGTATGTCATGGTATGTGAGGTAGTATATCTCATGTTATGTGAGGTAGTGTATGTCATGTTATGTGAGGTAGTGTATGTTATGTGAGGTAGTGTATGTCACTGTTATGTAGTGTATGTCGTGTTATGTAAGGTAGTGTATGTCATGTTATTTGAGGTAGTGTATGTTATGTTATGTGAGTTAGCGTAAATCATGTTATGTGAGGTAGTGTATGTCATGCTATGTGAGGTAGTGTATGTCATGTTATGTGAGGTAGTGTATGTCATTTTAGGTAGTGTATGTCATGTTATGTGATGTAGTGTATGTTATGTTATGTGAGTTAGCGTAAATCATGTTATGTGAGGTAGTGTATGTCATGCTATGTGAGGTAGTGTATGTCATGTTATGTGAGGTAGTGTAAGTCATGTTATGTGAAGTAGTGTATGTCATGTTATGTGAGGTAGTGAATGTCATGCTATGTGAGGTAATGTATGTCATGTTATGTGAGGTAGTGTATGTCATGGTATTTGAGGTAGTGTATGTTATGTTATGTGAGTTAGCGTAAATCATGTTATGTGAGGAAGTGTATGTCATGTTATGTGAGGTAGTGTATGTCATGTTATGTGAGGTAGTGTATGTCATGTTATGTGAAGTAGTGTATGTCATGTTATGTGAGGTAGTGAATGTCATGCTATGTGAGGTAATGTATGTCATGTTATGTGAGGTAGTGTATGTCATGGTATGTGAGCTAGTGTATGTCATGTTATGTGAGGAAGTGTATGTCATGTTATGTGAGGTAGTGTATGTCATGTTATGTGAGGTAGTGCATCTCATGTTATGAGAGCTAGTGTATGTCATGTTATGTTAGGTAGTGTATGTCATGTCAGGTAGTGTATGTCATGTTATGTGAGCTAGTGTATGTCATGTTATGTGAGGAAGTGTATGTCATGTTATGTGAGGTAGTGTATGTCATGTTATGTGAGGTAGTGCATCTCATGTTATGAGAGCTAGTGTATGTCATGTTATGTTAGGTAGTTTATGTCATGTCATGTGAGGTAGTGTATGTCATATGAGGTAGTGTATGTCATGTTATGTGAGGTAGTGTATGTCATGTTATGTGAGCTAGTGTATGTCATGTTATGTGAGGTAGTGTATCACATGTTATGTGAGGTAGTGTATGTCATGTTATGTGAGGTAGTGTATGTTATGTGAGGTAGTGTATGTCACTATTATGAGGTGTATGTCATGTTATGTGAGGTAGTGTACGTCATATTATGTGAGCTAGAGATGTCATGGTATATGAGGTAGTGTATGTCATGTTATGTGAGGTAGTGTATGTCATGCTATGTGAGGTAGTGTATGTTATGTGAGGTAGTGTATGTCACTATTATGTGAGGCAGTGTATGTCATGTTATTTGAGGTAGTGTATGTTATGTTATGTGAGGTAGTGTATGTTATGTGAGGTAGTGTATGTCACTATTATGTGAGGTAGTGTATGTCATGTGAGGTAGTGTAGTGTATGTCATGTTATGTGAGCTAGTGTATAACATGCCATGTGAGGTAGTGTATGTCATGTTATGTGAGAAATGTGTTTGTCATGTCATGTGAGGTAGTGTATGTCATGTTATGTGAGATAGTGTATGTCATGTTATGTGAGGTAGTGTATGTCATGTTATGTGAGCTAGTGTATGTCATGTTATGTGAGCTAGTGTATGTCATGTGAGGTAGTGTATGTCACTATTATGTAGTTTATGTCATGTTCTTTGGGGAATTGTATTTCATGGTATGTGAGGTAAAGTATGTCGTGTTATGTTAGGTAGTGTATGTCATGTTATGTGAGCTAGTTTATGTGATGTTATGTGAGGTAGTGTATGTTATGTGAGGTAGTGTATGTCATTATTATGAGTTTTCGTCATGTTATGTGAGGTAGTGTATGTCATGTTATGTGAGGAAGAGATGTCATGATATTTGAGGTAGTGTATGTCATGTTATGTGAGGTAGTGTATGTCATGCTATGTGAGGTAGTGTTTGTCATGTTATGTGAGGTAGTGTATGTCATGTTATGTGAGGTAGTGTATGTCATGTTATGTTAGGTAGTGCATCTCATGTTATGAGAGCTAGTGTATGTCATGTTATGTTAGGTAGTGTATGCCATGTTATGTGAGGCAGTGTATGTTATGTGAGGTAGTGTATGTCATGTTATGTGAGGTAGTGTATGTCATGTTATGTGACGTAGTGTATGTCATGTCATGTGAGGTAGTGTATGTCATGTCATGTGAGGTAGTGTATGTCATGTTATGTGATGAAGTGTATGTCATGTTTTGTGAGGTGGTGTATGTCATGTTATGTGAGCTAGTGTATGTCATGTTATGTGAGGTAGTGTATCTCGTGTTATGTGAGGTTGTGTATGTCATATGAGGTAGTGTATGTCATGTTATGTGAGCTATGGTATGTCATGTTATGTGAGGTGGTGTATGTCATGTTATGTGAGCTAGTGTATGTCATGTTATGTGAGGTAGTGTATGTCATGCTATGTGAGGTAGTGTATGTCATATGAGGTAGTGTATGTCATGTTATGTGAGGTAGTGTATGTCATGTTATGTGAGCTAGTGTATGTCATGTTATGTGAGGTAGTGTATCTCGTGTTATGTGAGGTAGTGTATGTCATGTTATGTGAGGTAGTGTATGTCATGTTATGTGAGCTATGGTATGTCATGTTATGTGAGGTAGTGTACGTTATGTGAGCTAGTGTATGTCACTATTATGTGAGGCAGTGTATGTCATGTTATGTGAGCTATGGTATGTCATGTTATGTGAGGTAGTGTACGTTATGTGAGCTAGTGTATGTCACTATTATGTGAGGCAGTGTATGTCATGTTATTTGAGTTAGTGTATGCCATTATTATGTGAGGAAGTGTATGTCATATGAGGTAGTGTAAAGTATGTCATGTTATGTGAGGTAGTGTATGTTATGTTATGTGAGTTAGCGTAAATCATGTTATGTGAGGTAGTGTATGTCATGCTATGTGAGGAAGTGTATGTCATGTTTTGTGAGGTAGTGTATGTTATGTGAGGTAGTGTATGTCACTATTATGAGGTGTATGTCATGTTATGTGAGGTAGTGTAGTGTATGTCATGTTATGTAAGGTAGTGTATGTCATGCCAGGTAGTGTATGTCATGTTATGTGAGGTAGTGTATGTCATGACAGGTAGTGTATGTCATGTTATGTTAGGTAGTGTATGTCATGTTATGTGAGGTAGTGTATGTCATGTTATGTGAGGTAGTGTATGGCATGTTAGGTAGTGTATATAAAATTGTACTAACTAGAAGACCTCTGCAGGTTTACCACCCAAGCAGTTTGATGACATCCTAACTATATCAAAAACCCATCAAAAACCTGGAGGTGGTTTACGAAGGTATTTTTTTTTCTCTTTAGCCGCTCTGGATTCTGGGCTCATAATCGTATAATGAGAAAAATCAAATCTTCCCAGGGTGCTACCCTTAAGAAAAAATTTTCCCCTATATAAATTCCATTTCGTTCGGGAGTTAGATTCTGCTCCGCCCCCCCCCCCCGCGCCCCGCCCCCCCCCCCGACGAGATGTCTGGAAAAAATTGTGTTCACAAAAATTAATTTCATAAATAGATATCTATCTATATATATAATTCTCTTCTGGGAGCCGTTAGAAAACAAGCTGCAAGCGCCTCCTTGCAGTCCCCTCTCTTTCTCTCTATCACTATCACTACCACCCCCACCCCATCCCCACATTGTCTGGTGAGCTGTGGTCACGATAAATGTTTACAAAGCTAAATGTTTACAAATCGAGCCGGGTTTCTATTAGGGGCGGATAATTTAGTTCGATTTATATCGATATATATATATAATATATATATATATATATATATATATATATATATATATATATATATATATATATATATATATATATATATATATTTATATATTGCAAATTTTATTTATGTCTTGTTATTAAATGTATTTACTCGACTGATATATATATATATATATATATATATATATATATATATATATATATATATATATATATATATATATACGTGCGTGTGCGTGTATGTGTAGATAGATAGTAATTTTTTGCTGAGTTTTAATATTTTGACGCAGGCGTTTCATGTTCCTGGTAATGCTTCTTCTCTTGCGACTTCCAACAGCTATGGGAATTCCAGAAAAAGGTAACTTTTGTTTTCATGTACATGACAGTGACTGCTAACCCGAGTCTTAAGTTAAAACCTTCGGGCAGATGAGGCTCGTCTTCTGGGGTTAGCAACCCATCTATGAGAGAATACCCCGAAATCAAATAGGAATGGAGCCCCTTAGGCGATAGAATGACCAACCCTGGTTCCCCTTCGGTAGCTCATGCGAGAATGCTGATTCCAATCTGCGCAGGTAACATTCTGTATCTTGAGACCATCAGCAGTCTGAAGAGAAGGGGGCCTGATAAATGGGCAACATCTTACTCTTCTCAACATAGAAAACAGGCTCTGATACGCAATCATCCAATGGTCTATTAGACTATTGAGCCGCAATATTATTTTTACTCTCTCGTATACAAAGTATAGAGAAATTCTTGTAATCGTGCACAAGAAATCTAGATTTTTGCAAATCTCGATGTTTTACACATCCCTGAGTCGGAAAAAACATAGTTTCCGTGTGTGTGTGTGTGTGCCTGTAAACACGATAACTTGAGTACAGTTACAGCTACAGGTTGATGAAATTTCACATATAAGTATTATATCAAATTTGTAGATCTGTATCAACTTTTCAGCAATTTCCGATAACCGGAAGTAAAATTTTTTCTACTTGTGATTTTTTTTTAAAGCCTATAACTCGAGTACTGTTTCAGAAAGATAAATTGAATTTCACATGTAAGTGAAAGACGTAATTCTCTGCCTTCTGTCAAATTTTAAGTAATAATTTTAAGTAGTAATTTACGCTATTTCCGATGTCTCAAAAACGCATGTGAATTTATTAAGTACTAATAATATCCCGCTAATCTGAAAGTCTCGAGTTCGGACCCTGAGCTCGACCAGTACGACGTCCCTGCATATATTAAAAAAAAATTCTCTTTTCTAACCTAGGGTTAGGGTTAGGGTTAGTGTAGCAGAGTTCGACTGTTTCTGTGACCTCGGCATGCGAAGAGATAGTGTGGTTTTCAGTCAACAATATGCCCAAGCGCCTTTGTTATGCCTAGTGTGAGTTATGTACTCATCAAAACTGGGTGGACTCAGTGACATCTACTGACTTGAACCCGGAATTGACCTTGATAATTTCGGGTTAACAGTACCACTAGGTCACTCCTGACCACACTATTCCCATGTATGCCGTGGATTCTGACACATGAACTCAACTTCACATGCCATACGAAAAAAAGCTGAAGTTGCTTAGGGTACAAACTGGCAGATTCAATTATATCTTAATTACTTAGATCTTAGTATTTCCTTTTTTTTTATCAGTAACATATGGCGCCTGCATTGGCACATTCCCAAACCGAACCTGCGAGGTTTTACGTAGTGAGGAAGGACAAGATGAGTTTGGACACTTTGCTCCGTTTGGATACTTTGCAATATTCATTGCATTATTAATTGGTAAAGTATAATTTAATTTTAAAAATTAGATTAAACGCGATATATAGGTGTATCTTTTTATGCATTCCAACACCGTTCATCTTTGGGAAGTTGTTGAGAATACTTCCGGAGAAGTTTCTGCGAAAAAAAAATCAAATTCGAGATGGTGTCGTACCGATTCTTCTCTATATACGGTATTTAAAAATAAAAGTCGATTGCGGTTCGACACCTTTTATCCGATCAGCATTGTTTAAATTTAAATATTGTTAGAAAACAATACATTAATTGCATAATTTTAAAAAATTATAAAAATTAATAAAAAATGATGTTAAGATTTATAAATAGGCCTACATGTTTAATCCTTTAGCGATGGTGTACGCTGGATACCAGCGTCGAACGCAGCCAGCAGACTATGCGCAAAGGATTCCAAACGTAGGAGCACGGCAATTCAATGGTAACTGTCCGCTTGCACAGTTAAATGTTTAATTAATAACAGATTTTTAAAAGGCGATTTTTTTACTTGATTCCTCTGTCTGTCTTTCTGTATATCTGTCTTTCTATCTTTGTCTAAATCCAAAACGGGCGAATTAAATTTCGAACCTTTCTAACAAATTTCACTGAAATTCGGCACGTGGGTCAAAACCCGATGACAATGCAATCTGTCATCAAATTTGAATTAACTGTTTATGAAATTGTTAACATTTTTGTGAAATTTGTTGGGTGCCTCACTACCACTATTCCGCAATACTATACACGTTCATTTGGTGTGAAAAAGTTTCTACTCATGCAACTCTATTACAAATTTTAAAGCACTGAAAAGAAAGCATAAAATCATTTTGATAAGCTTTTATATTAAATAATGCAGTACAAAGGGAGAAAATAAATGACTTTCTCTAAATATATATAAAAACGCTACTATTTAAAGACTATAAGAAAAGTGCGGGTTTCTTACTAAATAATAGTAAAGGTATCCAATGGATAATATAGTGACCCACGCTTTTCATTATAATTGTTTAAATCGCATATTAGTAATAGTAGTGTATTATTTATATTAAATTAATTATATTGATTTTTGCTTATGATCAAAAACTTATTTTTATTTTAACTTGTACTAAAATCAATACTATTACGAATAGTAGAAAGTGTCAGATCTTATCTTCTAATTAAATTATTGGTGTAATATATTGCTGAAAAATTAACATTTAAGAAATAAGTCATTCTGTGGTCGTAGTTGTTTAAGAATGTGCCTTGTCATATTTTGGGTGGGTGGGTAGGGGGTGTATATTATACGGCCATTTTTAGCAACAGAGGAGGGATTCTCTAAAACAATAATGATGTGACTACTATCTGCAGAATGGTTATTTTCTGCTAAAATGGTTTTGTTATAAGTATAAATGAATAACAAAATGTATCAAATCTAGTTTTAAAAAGCTCTATGTCACCTGATTGAGTAAACCTTAATCAATTTATTCCAGTATTTTAGGTAATAACCCCTAAGTATAAACTAATGCAATTGTTTCTCATCACCATATTTTCCCTTTTGAGTCCAAGAAACATGGGAGTGCCATAAAACTTTAGTCGGTCTCTGGCAGATTTCTGACAGTCCCCCCATTACAGTCCTTCCTTTGTCATTTGCTCTTCTGATGTGTTCTTCCCCGTCTCGCTTTGCCCCGAAGAAAGTCTACCAGCCACCCCCTCCCCCCAACAAAATGAAATTGATAAAGAAAACATACTTTTACCCGTGTCCGCCCCCGGAAAATGTCCGCCCCACAAAAATATCAAGTGCCTCCCCCCCCCCTCCCCCGAAGAAAAACGTCTGGAAGAGAAGAAACACTTTTTGCTGGTGGCGTTAACTAGGCCTACTTCCAGCAATCGCTGCAAAACCGTAGGACTCTAAGGATATTAGTGCAAGTAAAAGCTTTTTGTAATAAAGGTTGTTTTTTTTAAAATTTCGCAAATACTGTTTATAGACAGTAATGAAAATCAAAACTTTTGCATTTAATTTTGGAGGAGGTATTTTTCTAGCGCAGCGTTTTTGTGAGATTTAGTTTTGCTACTACTAAGTAGTTATCGCTACCATTGTCAGCTTGTTTCTTCACGATTATTTCTTAGAGGAATCTTTTTACTTTTTTTGTTGATTAATAGATGATCAATTTGGTCTTTCGTTTTCCCATATGGCGATTTTCATGTAGTTTTATACATGCTCATGTGTTGAAACTATGTATCTTGTAATGCGAGTTTGTTTTCTTCGCAATGACTTATTAGCTTCCTCCACTTGGGTTCTTAGTTCCTAAGCCGTCTTTCCACAAATTTTTTGTTTTGTTCGCTGCTAATTACAACTGTGGCATTTAAGTCATCGAAGACTACTAGAATATCATGGTAAGGCACTGTATCTACTAAAGCTAGTAAATGGTAATTGTGTACTTTTTTTCTTCTTCTACATTCGATAATAGGTTGCGTTATGAATTATATAAATATTTTTATTTCAAAAGGGATTAAACGTTGTGGGGTTGACTTGCTTATTGTTGCATTAAATAGGCTTTGGTCTTGAGGTGATATTTCTTTCATGTTATCACTAAATGGGAGCTTCTGCTATCATTTGTCTGTATTCAATGTGGGTTATTTCATTGTAAATTGTACCCATGAATTCATTCATATCTCATTTACAAATAAATGCACTTTTAATTTCAAATTTAGCAACGAATGACACCTGTTATTTTCCCATATTACAGTCAAAAACTTGTATTTGAAATTATGTTTTTCGGTGTCTCCAGTCGAAAACAATATATTGATTTAGTCTCCTTATTTCTAACCTCATGAGGATGTTTGGTTGGTCTTGTTCAGTTTTTCTTCCATTGTTAAAAGTATATATTTTCTATATAAATTCTATTTCGTTCGGGGGGGGGGGGGGGGGGGGAAGGGGGGTATTAGAGATGCCTGGAAGAACCTCTGGTCGTGTTTTGGTCTAATCTGCTACTGATGATAAAGATACGTGTTAGCTTCCTCTCATTATCAACGCTCACTCAAAGAAGCTAAAGCTAGGGTGCATCGTGTATTTTGTGCGAACTGTGTTCTAAAAGTTTTATGCAAGGTTAATTTTCTTCCTTTTACAAACTTACTGCGCGGTAGGTTCAAAACTACTGCATGACCGCGCGACAGCGAAGCTTAGAGGGAACATTGATTAATTTAATAGGTGAGATCGACAACGTATGCTATGTGTGCAAAACAGAATTACCAGAAAAATAAGCAGGCCTTATAACGGTGGTGACAACCTGTGCTTGAACTAGAGTAGATCGCTCCCTAATAACCTCCACATAGATTTTGTCGACATTTTCACATCTTCTTTATCAAAAACCATGGTTTTTTCATTGTCTATAAACAGTATTTGCTGAATTAAAAAAAAACCTCTATAACAAAAAGAGTTTACTTGTACTGGAATTAGGTAAATAAAACTAATTTGTTTTCTTTTAATAAAAGCTTTAGTGTTTCATTAGATCTTATACATATTGTTTTTAAATGTATCACTTTTTTCCCCTCTTTCTGAAGATGGGAATGTTGAACCACTGCCTGCTGAAGACCACCTATGCGAGCCAATGAATGATATTATGCTTGTATTAGATGCCTCCAGGAGTATTGGGCCCAGACAATTTGAGGAAATTCTGTTTTTTATCGTATCCATAATACGATCATTTGAGCTAGACAGTCAATCAGCAAGCTTTGCCATTCTTAAATACAGCACTGTTGTGCATTTTATCCATGCCTTTAGCGATGAGCAGGAGAGAATTAATCTGTCGAAGGTAAAGATATTTAATTGTTGTATTACTGTTTGTTTTGTATTGATGTATACATCTAAATTATATTTACAATTGAAAAATGACATGGAATGTCATGTTTGCTGTTTTTTTCATATCAACTCACAGAAAGTCCTAAGCATCACATACTCAGGAAAAGAGACATATCTCTCAAGGGCTTTGACTTACATATTAACCAGAGATTTGTTCAGCCCCTCTTATGGCGGAAGAAGAAAAGCTGGAAAAATAGTCTTCATTGTAACAGATGGGGTACCAAGAAAAGATAGGCCACTATGTAAGCTTCCCATTTTGTTACGTCATTGACAGTTTATTATATGTGTTCAATGTTCTTTTTAAAAAAAAGGGTAAGAATTTTTATTTTGTGTACTGTTTTAGGCAGAGAAAAAGCAGACCAATTAAGGCAACTAGGAATTCATGTTCAATGTTTAGGAGTCGGTCTACAATCATATCAATACTTGGTTGATATTTGCGGAAGCGCAGATAATGTTTTCAGAGCTGCAAATTTCATCCAAATGCATGCCCAAATAACAAGTGTAGTCCAACGCTTATGCATGTAGGTATGTATCGATGTATATACTTGATCTTCTTTTTTTTCGTTCTTATTGTTGGAATGGATCCTAACCCCAACAAAATTAAGGATACGTGTCGACTGGTTATGTGCCATTGAGGCAATTGACTGCGATTTCAGCCTGCTTTTATTTTTGGATTTGCTTCCATAGCCTTTGTCCAACCAAGAACAAACTACAAGGCAGCAGTTGTTTGATTTTTTTTTACATTAAATCGAAATACAAAGCATGCTCACACATAGGGTCCGGTCACGCCGGTCTCCGGCCACAGTCCACGTCTGTGAACACTCGTAAATTATTCTTGACACACTAGCAGACCACCGCCCGTGAGAACCGGGCGCCGGCCTGTCGTTTAGGGGTGGGTGAAACATTACCCCCATCCAGCTACGACCAACCAAGAATACAACTACACACAAAAAGCACAAGCAACCTGTGACAACTATTTAAAATAACAAGCCAACCATAGCGTACTAGCCAACATATATACATATATATATACGAGAAAAATGGCCCGTTGAGGAAGGATACAACGGGCGCTAGGCTGATAGTGCTGTCTCTTTTCTCGAAACTAAAACCACCCCACCCCCACCCGCACACACACCCCCCACCCCCATTCCCCCCCCCCCCCCCCCCCCCCAAAAAAAAACATGTCTACCGTCCCATTCAACGAAATATAATTATATACTTTTTCCAGTGTCCGCCCCTTCCCCGAAAATTCAACACCCGCCCCCGAAAATTTCAAGTACCCCCACCCCTCTCCGGGGAGGAAAACGTCTGAAAGAAACACTGGTGTCGCGCTTAGCAACTACCCGAAGAATTGCATTAAAGAAATTGCAAGAATACCACTTTTTAGATTAGGCACACTAATTAGGCGGTAATTTTATTATAGAGTATCGATGAAGAATTTCTTTTGAGTTGGGGAGGGGGGGGGGGGCTCAGACGTTCTTACGCGGGGGGTGGGGCTTCGCCCCAAGCCGAAGAATTGTATGCAAGAAACTCTTCACGCAAACCATTTAGATTAGACAAAATTTCCTTTTTATTCAATGTTTACTCGAGAATCAATGACGTCATATTACTGTATATTTGATGTTCCTGAGAACATACCTAGCATTAGTTACAATGTTCCTGAGAACATACCTAGCATTAGTTACAATGTTCCTGAGAACATACCTAGCATTAGTTACAATGTTCCTGAGAACATACTTAGCATTAGTTACAATGTTCTTGAGAACATACTTAGCATTAGTTACAATGTTCCTGAGAACATACCTAGCATTAGTTACAATGTTCCTGAGAACATACTTAGCATTAGTTACAATGTTCCTGAGAACATACTTGGCATTAGTTACAATGTTCCTGAGAACATACTTGGCATTAGTTACAATGTTCCTGAGAACATACTTAGCATTAGTTACAATGTTCCTGAGAACATACTTAGCATTAGTTACAATGTTCCTGAGAACATACTTGGCATTAGTTACAATGTTCCTGAGAACATACCTAGCATTAGTTACAATGTTCCTGAGAACATACTTAGCATTAGTTACAATGTTCCTGAGAACATACCTAGCATTAGTTACAATGTTCCTGAGAACATACCTAGCATTAGTTACAATGTTCCTGAGAACATACTTAGCATTAGTTACAATGTTCCTGAGAACATACCTAGCATTAGTTACAATGTTCCTGAGAACATACCTAGCATTAGTTACAATGTTCCTAAGAACATACCTAGCATTAGTTACAATGTTCCTGAGAACATACCTAGCATTAGTTACAATGTTCCTGAGAACATACCTAGCATTAGTTACAATGTTCCTGAGAACATACCTAGCATTAGTTACAATGTTCCTGAGAACATACCTAGCATTAGTTACAATGTTCCTGAGAACATACCTAGCATTAGTTACAATGTTCCTGAGAACATACCTAGCATTAGTTACAATGTTCCTGAGAACATACCTAGCATTAGTTACAATGTTCCTGAGAACATACTTAGCATTAGTTACAATGTTCCTGAGAACATACCTAGCATTAGTTACAATGTTCCTGAGAACATACCTAGCATTAGTTACAATGTTCCTAAGAACATACCTAGCATTAGTTACAATGTTCCTGAGAACATACCTAGCATTAGTTACAATGTTCCTGAGAACATACCTAGCATTAGTTACAATGTTCCTGAGAACATACCTAGCATTAGTTACAATGTTCCTGAGAACATACTTAGCATTAGTTACAATGTTCCTGAGAACATACCTAGCATTAGTTACAATGTTCCTGAGAACATACCTAGCATTAGTTACAATGTTCCTGAGAACATACCTAGCATTAGTTACAATGTTCCTGAGAACATACCTAGCATTAGTTACAATGTTCCTGAGAACATACTTAGCATTAGTTACAATGTTCCTGAGAACATACCTAGCATTAGTTACAATGTTCCTGAGAACATACTTAGCATTAGTTACAATGTTCCTGAGAACATACTTGGCATTAGTTACAATGTTCCTGAGAACATACTTGGCATTAGTTACAATGTTCCTGAGAACATACTTAGCATTAGTTACAATGTTCCTGAGAACATACTTAGCATTAGTTACAATGTTCCTGAGAACATACTTGGCATTAGTTACAATGTTCCTGAGAACATACTTAGCATTAGTTACAATGTTCCTGAGAACATACTTAGCATTAGTTACAATGTTCCTGAGAACATACCTAGCATTAGTTACAATGTTCCTGAGAACATACCTAGCATTAGTTACAATGTTCCTGAGAACATACTTAGCATTAGTTACAATGTTCCTGAGAACATACCTAGCATTAGTTACAATGTTCCTGAGAACATACCTAGCATTAGTTACAATGTTCCTAAGAACATACCTAGCATTAGTTACAATGTTCCTGAGAACATACCTAGCATTAGTTACAATGTTCCTGAGAACATACCTAGCATTAGTTACAATGTTCCTGAGAACATACCTAGCATTAGTTACAATGTTCCTGAGAACATACCTAGCATTAGTTACAATGTTCCTGAGAACATACCTAGCATTAGTTACAATGTTCCTGAGAACATACCTAGCATTAGTTACAATGTTCCTGAGAACATACCTAGCATTAGTTACAATGTTCCTGAGAACATACCTAGCATTAGTTACAATGTTCCTGAGAACATACCTAGCATTAGTTACAATGTTCCTGAGAACATACCTAGCATTAGTTACAATGTTCCTGAGAACATACCTAGCATTAGTTACAATGTTCCTGAGAACATACCTAGCATTAGTTACAATGTTCCTGAGAACATACCTAGCATTAGTTACAATGTTCCTGAGAACATACCTAGCATTAGTTACAATGTTCCTGAGAACATACCTAGCATTAGTTACAATGTTCCTGAGAACATACCTAGCATTAGTTACAATGTTCCTGAGAACATACCTAGCATTAGTTACAATGTTCCTGAGAACATACTTAGCATTAGTTACAATGTTCCTGAGAACATACCTAGCATTAGTTACAATGTTCCTGAGAACATACCTAGCATTAGTTACAATGTTCCTGAGAACATACCTAGCATTAGTTACAATGTTCCTGAGAACATACTTAGCATTAGTTACAATGTTCCTGAGAACACTCCGGCTTGAGATGCTAAATATGGCGACGTCATACTTCGTTTTTCGAATTACTATGCAGATTTTTAATTTGCTTGTGTTTTCTCTAGAGCGTTCTTGTCAGACAGAGCGTTCTTGTCAGACAGATAGATAGATAGATAGATACACAGACAGCGAAACTATTATATATATATATATATATATATATATATATATATATATATATATATATATATATATATATATATATATATATATATATATATCTACATATATATATACATATAATTAAATATTTCCTTAGCGTTATACAAATAATTTAGAGCAATGTCAACGATAAAAATATATTTAAAATTATAGATACTAAAATTAATCTTTATCGGCAGGGAAATAACCAAGTTAATACTATAACTAATTAGGAACAGAAGAGTTGCATACCTTTTTATGTTAGTAGACAATTTCTATTATTACAACTGAGCGACATCAGGGGAAATAACCAAGTTAAAACTAGAACTAAATAGTAACAGAAGAGTTGCATACCCTTTTAAGTGAAGACACTATTTCTATTATTACTACTAAGCGACATCAGGGGAAATAGCCAAGTTAATACTAGAACTAAATAGTAATAGAAGAGTTGCATCCCTTTTTATGTTAGTAAACTATTGATATTTTTATTGAAGTGTAAAATAATAATTCATGTGTAATGAATGATTTATGTTTTCTCTTTTATCCAACTGTAGGATTGTATTTGATATGATGAACTAAGAGAATTGGATGTGTAAACAGATGTAACTATACACTGTGAATAAAATTTTTGAAAATAAAAAAAACATCTGAA